TCGGACTCACCAATTCCCTCGCGACATTTCAATGGATGATGAACGACATATTCAAAGACCTCATAACGGCAGGGGAAGTGTCAGTTTATCTCGATGACATACTCATCGCATCTAAAACAAAAGCGGATCACCGACGCATCGTACGCGAGGTGCTCCGGATACTCCGCGACAATAAGTTATTCCTAAAGGCAGAGAAATGCGAATTTGAAGTCGAAGAAACCGAGTATTTGGGTGTCCTCATTAGTGAAGGAAAGGTTCGCATGGACCCGGTAAAGATCGCGGGCCTCCTGGATTGGCCAGTTCCGTCGAAGAAGCAAGAGTTGCAGTCATTCCTAGGCTTCTGCAATTTCTACCGACGGTTCATTCGCGATTACAGTCGACACGTCAAGCCGCTCACGGCCTTGACCGGGAAGGTGGAGTGGAAGTGGGGAGCATCTCAGCAGGAAGCATTTGAAAGGTTAAAGAAACTATTCCGTGAAGATGTGGTGCTAGCCATTCCTCTCGATGAAGGCAAATTTCGAGTGGAAGCTGACTCTAGTGAAGGGGCGATCGGGGCGGTATTGTCCCAGTGGCAGGAGGAGAAGTGGCGACCAGTCGCCTTTCTCTCCAAGTCGTTATCCGTGACTGAAAGGAATTACGAAATCTACGACAAAGAGCTCTTAGCGATAATGATCGCACTGGAGGAATGGCATCAATACCTGATGGGCGCCCGAGAGGACTTCGAGATATGGACGGACCATTCCAATCTCCAATATTTCCGTAAACCCCAGAAGCTTAACCGACGGCAAGCCCGATGGGTAACGGAACTGGCGGAATACCAGTTCACTCTTCACCATAAACCCGGGGCCCAGAATCGAAAAGCAGACTTACTATCGAGAAGGGCAGATCACAATCAGGGAAAGGAGGACAACAAGGATGTGACGGTTCTAAAGCCCGAACATTTTCGCGCCCTAGTTATGCCTACCGCGGAGGAACTTCAAGAGAGGATTAAACTTGTCGTTCACGACCCGTGCAAGTGGGACCGGGGCATCTCCGACTCCCTTAATCATGAGAAGGGGATCTCCCGAGATCAAGAGCTACTATGGTACGATGGACGTATCTATGTACCCCGGGATAAACAGTTGCGAGGCGAGATCATAGTGCTACGGCATGACCACATAACCGCTGGACATCCGGGAATCGAGAAGACTAAGGAGCTGATACTACGCGATTACTGGTGGCCCCGAATGCGCATAGATGTGGACGCCTACGTGAAAGGATGTGAGGTTTGCCAACGTACCAAAGCGGATCGTCGACCGAAGAAGGCACCTCTTCATCCTAACACGGTACCAAATCGCCCGTGGACTCATATCTCCATCGATATGATCACTAAACTCCCTGATTCCAAAGGGAACAATGCCATTCTAGTCATCGTGGATCAATTTTCCAAGACCATCATCCCAATTGCCTGCACAGAGGAAATCTCATCCCTAGGCTTCGCCAAGATCTTACGGGACCACGTTTATGTACCGTATGGCATTATGCCCGAGAAGGTTATCTCTGACCGAGGAGCAGTTTTCGTTTCCAAGTTCATGAAAGAGTTCTACGCTCTTCTCCAAGTCACCGGGAACCCGTCCATGGCCTATCACCCACAGACGGATGGACAAACCAAGAGGGTGAATCAAGAAATTGAAAAATACCTCAAGATGTTCATAGCCTACCGACAAGACGATTGGAGCGAGTGGTTGCCCCTTGCGGCATTTACTCACAACAATCGAAAGCATTCCGCCACCGGTTTTTCCCCCTATAAAGTTGTCTTTGGCCGTGACGGGGAGGTTATCAAAACCACCCAACGTCGAGACGCAGTACCAGCTGCCTCCAAACTAGTTCAAGGGATCCAGGAAATCCAAGACAAGGCTCGGGAATCCCTAGAACGAGCAGCTGAGTCAATGAAGAAAGCTTATGACAAACACAAGGGGGAGGCATGAAAGTATCAGGTGAGAGATAAGGTTTGGTTGGACTCCACCAACCTAAATCTTCCGCGACCAACGAAGAAACTAGGGGACCGACGAGTAGGGCCATTCGCAATCCTTGCAAAAAAGGGAGCGTCAGCATATGAACTGAAGCTTCCCGTGAAATGGCGAATTCACAACTGGTTCAACGAATCATTGTTAACTCCGTACCATCCCCCGGAATTCACCAACCAACCGCGTCCTGAAAGGCCACCCCCAGAGCTTATTGATGATGAAGAAGAATATGAAATCGAGGAAATCGTCGAAGAAAGAGACCGAATCATCGGCCGTGGACAGACTCGCCGCACCATTACTGAATACTTGGTGAAATGGAAGGGTTACCCAATTGAAGAGAATTCTTGGGTAAAACGTTCGGACATGGCCAATGCCGAGGAACTCGTCAACAACTACGAGGCACGTATCCAAAAGGTTACTTGGACCGTGAATGCAAAAGGAAAGACAGTCAGAGTCGACGACAAGATACCTCGAAACTTGCCAGTCAAGTACCATGACCCCGACACGCCATGTGTCACCGACATCGAGATGGTGTACTCCTCTGAGTGTACCAATCCAAGACACTCCAACGCCCAACAAGACTCCTATGCCTCTTCTGAAGTCATCGATATTATCCACCTCTTCGATGACTGTCCTGACAAAGAAAACGAGGTGAACCTACAGAACCTCGAACGCATATGAGAAAACTGGGACTCAGATACCAACAACGATGACGACACAGACGATGATACTTGGTCATTCCATTCCGATTCACAATATTCATCCTCAAACGGCGCCGGCGATTCAAACGACTCGTCTCAGACGAGCGCAAACTAGATGTCAAATTTCAACGGTGTAGAAGGGGATTTCCACTGCTCAATCATGAGCATTGAACCCTTAGGGACCGTGGGTCCCGACAGACAGATGAGGCCTAACCAGCGCAAGGTGGCTCAGGAAGGCTAGGAACCTGAGTCCAGGGGGAGAGAGGGTCAGAGGCCGAACACCACCACAAAAAGTGTGAATATGTTATTGAACATTACAAACTGTTGGATGGTATATAAGTGGATCCAATTATGGCGCTGGAGTATAAAACAGTATAACCGGGCCATATTATTATTTCAGGTAATATGTCTTTATATCCCCTCCTGAGCAGGGTTATAACTGCTAGTAAGGGAAAGCAATCTTGGCCTGGGTTCTTTCGGGTTTATAACTGGTTATGAGATATATAAGCTCAATCACTGGTCACCTACATTCAATCCTAGGTGCAGCTAGCTCTTTTCTCTTGCTCTGTATCTTCCAAACGCTGCAGCCTCAAAGTGTGCTGACATCCAAACTTAGCAATAGCCGGCCTTTGAGGCTGGATGTCACGTGATGTCACACGTCAACGGTTACGATTGTGACAATCTGAGCTTTGTCCTTCCCTCCCACCTTCATCTATGACATTACCCCAACCTGCATCCTACATCTATTCTTCTCCCGATTCTCAAGATCAGCCCCATAGAAGACCAACATCAAGCCAAAGAAGACCGAGTTGTGTCCCTATCTGTTGACAGGACCTTAGCACGGATCACGACTCCCGAGGATGCATGAGATTTGCACTGACGAGTGGGAAGAGGGGATAAAGGGTGAGGACAGTGATATTGAGAGTCAAGAGGGATGAGAACGGTAGGAATAGAACAACGGCGAGTCGAAGCATGCAGGATATACAAAAAGTGAGTGAATTCTGGAGCATATATGCGCATATGTTCTCATTTTTGTGAACGCTAGACAACGCTTCATGCTCAGCATCGGATTCCGCCTTAGTAAGTACACTGACGTTCTTCGGTGTGACTAATGCGCGTTCCATATATTCAAAGCACAAGTAGGATTGCGTGAGATAAGTCCTCTCACTCATTTATCTGCCTTTTCGCTAATATTGTTCTTTAAGCACGTTTTTGATTCACCCAGCGGATGTACCAATACTGGCAATGCACATGCACATCCGCCCGAGAGTCCCATCACAAGGATGGATGCTGCCTCGTATTGGGCTGAAGCTATCACCGGTCACTGCCTAGATGCCTTCATATTTTTGTCAGTGCTTTTTTCCGTTGCCATTTTTGCAATCTAACTGATCTCTTGAAGTTTGCCTTGGCTTGCAGCGATTTTTATCTAGAATACTACTATTGCTTACCGTTAACATATTGAATGATATTGCATTAATCCCATCTGATATGTGCGAGCTGTGAGGACCTAGTGAGCTGTGATATTCAGTAATTCAAAGTAATCTGTCGTAAAATCTTTCTTAAGTATTATAATCTCCTCAAACCCTTATCTATAGATATTATCTCCAACCTGTTGCGGCTCAGATTATAAAGGTATTTCATCGTTCACTGGGTTTATTTGCTATTATATTCGGACTCATATTCCTCTTACGATAAATTGGAGTTACGTCAGATATCTTTATAACCAATGCTACCGTTTACATTGTTTATAACGGGTTCTCTTGTTTATCTAGTGTTACGATGAGTGACTTTGGTATGTACCCGTTCCTAAAACTTGCCCTCTTTTTGTGGTGACACGAAGTGACTTTTTTGTGGTGTAGCGGAGGCCCAATCGATCCTGTTTTAAAGCAGAAGGGAGACCCTCATACTCGCTCATGTGGAAGGAAGGAGAAACGAAGGTTCAGTGTCTCATCGGGACGAATGAGCCTTAAGGAGGGGGTAATGTTACGGTTATTCTTTTTCTTTTTCTTTTTCCTTTTCTTTTCTTTTCCTTTCTTTAGTCAGCCGGATTACGCACAAGCGATCATCACAGACTGACTCCCACAGTACTATTTTTAGCTACCAACGTGTATTTAAGTAGAGCCTCAGCTGGTCTAAACCCCAGCTTCGGCTAAGGTTTAATCTACCTAACATCGAACTCCGTCCTTCATGACTACTTGTCCCATCGACTTTCATCGCCTTTGACTTGTTAGAGTATCGTCTACCGAAGTGCGAGTAGCGATCCTAGCATGATCTAAGTCGATAGAGTTAGTGGCTAACAGGAATACAGAGGGAAAATGTATTGTGACAACGGTGTCTTGTATGGGCACGAGGGGTATATGATGGGAAGGAAGTTGGTGACGAGATATACAGCAAACGATATGAATGTGATAGCCCCAATGACAGATGCAATCGACACTTGTAGCGGGGCTAGAAAAACAACTAGACCCATTAGAAAGACGAAAAGCGACGCGCTCATCAGGACCGGTAGTAGTCCAATAATGACACCCACCCCCCACTGCTCTAGTCCCATGTATTGGAATTGACGGACACGGCATCTATCTCGAGGCGTGCCTGATGGAACTGCCATGTATTGATGGATCCATTGTTTGGTCAGGACAGCGAAGAGTGCGGTAGTCAGACTGAATGAGAGACTGGTGAACCACAGTCCGTTGACCAACAAATCGGAAATTGTAGGACGAAAGTTTGAGAATGGAGTGAGGTCTGAACGAGGAACGTCGTTCACGAGGGAACCATTGGCGGCTGCATGCTGGACGTCGATGAGCTCAAACAGCAGCGATGCGGTGACTTGACCATAGTCGACTTGAAGGTTCTGCGACGTCTGTGCGACAAACGTGGTGACCACGGCAGAGAAAAGACCAGCCTATCCATTCATCAACAAGACAAATTAGATCTATTAGTATTTTACTCACAAAAACAAGCAAAACATCCAATCCGTCCCTCCATCCTTCCGCCATCTCAGTGTCAAATCTAGCACATTCTTCGAGGTATGTCATCCATACCCGGGCAATTGGACCCAGCTCCTCGTACTGCTTGTCTTCGGGAAATCTTTGCTCATAATCGAACATGTTATTCCCTTTACTCTTAATGAGACATATGGAGAGGACTACGATAAATCAACACACCTCCAGCCTGTGGTACACGTTGCTGCATGCCAAATACACTGCAAAGTAACTTGCGCCATCGGGGCAGGGAAAAAGCTGGGGAATTCTCATCTAGGGCCAGAGATTGAGAATCAGTGGCAGTATCATCCAGTGTCTCTGCGTTGCCTTGAGTTTCATCGGGCGGTCCGTGCGAGTTTTCATTGTTTGCATCCTGTGCTGCATGGATCGAAGGCATAGCTGTTGTACGTTGAGTGATCAAAATGAAACAAAGAAAAAGTAAATTACACACACATTTAACTGAATCTTCTTGTGTTCTCATGTCCATCAGTCCTCCACTAGCTTTTCTTCCTCTGCGAGATGAGGAGTCGGTCGAATTCTCGACCTCAGGACGCTCATCATTGTCGGATTGGGTTTCCCCTTCGGCAGGTTTCTTCTGAATTGAATTCTCTGGTACGTCAGAGGAAGACATGTTCACAGAAGATGGTGTTACGAGGCAAGCCTTGCGATAGGCACCGGTACCGCATAGCTTCAGACAAGTCGGTCTGGAGTTCTGCTGTTTTCTTTTCGAACTCCGCACGGACCTGCACGATGGCAGACAAGTGCTAAATGGGCTGGGGCTGTCTTCCTGCATGAAGCAGCCTGCAGCCTGTGAGCCGGTATGGATCCAATCTTCCCAAAGTGACCAATCCTATAAACGAAGTTATAGATTTTGTATTCAGGATAACAAAAACCTATGACAAAAGACGAATGAAAGCGACAATTCTAAGAGTATGTCAATATGTACGTTACATATTCAAAAAGCAAGGATAACAAACGCAAACGAGTCATAGAAGTAGTTAATCAATGGTGTCCGTTTTTTAGTCGTACATGTCGTTACGATGACTTTCCTACCCTTCCAAAATGGCTCATATGTGCAACCCCCAATCCTGAACGTCGGCCTTCACTCTGCCGCTGCTCCCAGGATGGTCGTACATCCCTAGTGCTCTCTAGCGTCTCATTGATCATCACTCAGGCCCCTCAACCTCAAAATTTTTTGGAATATAACCCCCACTCAACACAGCTGGCCACATGTTGTCCAGCCACGAGACGTTAGATTACCTTCACAGCCAGACTGAAGCTGCCTTCGTCGCTGCCGGTGGTGAACCATCATCCTCAGCTGCACCACAGAAGAAGAAACGCAAGAAGGATCCTAACCCCTCTGATCTTCACGCTCTCTCTCCAACCGCGGAATGGCCTTCCCTGTTGGCAGATCTACATTCCCGAACAGAGATACAGCTCAACTCTCTTCATGACCAAGTTCAGTCACTCGCAGCGGCCACTACCACTCCTCATTCGCCTGTTGACATGGGCCACCTGCCTACCGACATCGCTAATCTTCAGAAATGTGTGTCCGAGTTGTCTGCCATCGTCACTAGCCGCTTCCTTCAGCAACATTCAGCCATTGCTGGTTTGACAGCATCCACCGCCTCCCTCCCCTCTCTGTCTGAGACGTTGAAACGCAACTCGAATCGCTTGACAAATATCGAAACACAAATTCTGTCCATGCCACGTACTGGCCCCTCAACAGACACGTATCGTGTCCTAGAGAGCCGAGTGGCTGAGTTGGAAAAAACCTTGCTTTCAATCTCGACGCCCACCACGATTGCAAAGCCCTCTTCCTGGCTGACTTCAGACATCTCCCCTCACGCTCCTGCTCCATTACCCACACATTCAGTCGACCCATCCCTCCAGGTCGTCGTCAGTGGGGTTCGTGCTGTAGGCAATCATTACGACTATGTCGCACAGCTCATGGGATGCATGCCCACTCTTTCAATGACTGTGGTTTCTTCCGTGGAGCATCTAATAAGTTCGCCGGGTACCATCGTAATCACGTTCCGGACGGCGCAGAACGCTAAAGACTTCATGTCTGCTGCCCGTTCCCTGCCGGAGCGCTTCCGTCATTATTGGTTCCTCTGGGCTGACAACCCAGATTCTCCGATTGCGTCGGCTTCCGCCTCTCTATCAAAAGGTTCTCCCTTGACTGGACCCTTTGTTGATGACCGTCATGGGTAGGTGGCATCGTATCATCTCCCAGGACGCCCGATAATTTAGTTCTGTGCTTGATTAACAGTACTCTTACCAACACTACTGATTTTTTACCTAACCTTGATGATCATGTATCGCCTATGTATGTAATTGTATCTCATTGTTTCCTATTCCTACTTCATGTCTACCCCTTCTGTTCCCATAGGCCTATAGTGTCACCACCACCTCACTTGTATGTACCATCACTATGCTTAATACTGTCTGTCGAATCAGTCTTCATCTCGTGTAGGAATGAGTGTGTTCCTCAATGGCTTTCATTATGCTCGTGGAACATCAACGGTCATTTGCCATTAAAGATAAGACGACGAGATGTTTCTTCAGTCATTTGGAGGAACGACGTCACCGTATTCTTTGAGACCTGGTTGACTCCCCATACAGAGTCTTATACCAAAATACCACTAGGCCACAGGGCTGTCTTTCGATCCCGACCACATACTGGTGGGAGGCCATGGGGCAGCCTATGTGCTATCGTTAAAGACGATCTGCGTTGCTCCATGATCGATGAGCTCTCACGCCCTGATCTTTTGGTTTTGCAACTTCCCTGTTGCTACTTAGTTGCGGCTTACATCGCTCCCATAACCTCAAAGGCATGCACAAGAGCACCTATCCATCCTTTCCAATACTTTACAGAAGCTGTAACTTTCTTGGCGGCGAATTCTACCCTGCCAATTGTTGGCTTGACCGACGTTAATGGTCGGATTGGTACTAACCTCCCGGCCAATGCACCTTCATGCCTGTCGCGACCAAGATCTGTGGACGTGAAGACGAATGCAAGAGGCAATGACTTCATCGAGTTATGTTACGATACAAATATGAGTGTTCTCAACGGCTTGGAGCTGAATGACACCACACACAATCGCAGTTTCACCTACGCCAATGCTTTTACCTCCTTCCAGCCCGGTGGCACCTCCGTCGTGGATTACGCATTTGTATCTCATGCCCTTGCCTTGGACCCTGATAACATTCGCTTCACCATCGGAAACAGAGGTCCCGCCGATCATACTCCTCTGACAGTATCATTACAATCTATGGACAGTTTATATGATTTGCCACAGTCGACAGAGAACATCCCTCGAATCACAGACCTTCGTGCGGAAAAGCATGCCGAAATTGCTGGTCCACTTGACCAAGATGTTATTGATGTTCTCGACACCGCTGTTTCAGCAATTCCGACCGACGCCGATCGTTTACATTTATATGGAGCTTTGTGTCCATGCGTGAAGAAGAATGCTGGACCATGTTACTCTGCATGGATCACCAGTACTCCGGGCAATACACACGGACATCGCCTATTAACTGCCGCCATTCATTGGGGTCTATGTTCCCCCCGTAATCGAACAATTGCTTATGGAACAGTCCCTGATTCTCGCTCCGCCTTTGGTTCAGCCACACATAGGGTTTTACTTGCAGCAGTGATGGTTGCTGTCACCTCTTTGGGAGTCGACTCTCCCTTACAGATTGTGGTCAATAATCAAGATGTCATTGATCTCATATGCTATGAGGCCCCTTTACGTGCTGCTAGAGGCTGGATCGGACCCAACGATGACATCCTCAAGTTGGTGGTGCAATGTTTGACTGAAAGGAGGGCTTCTACACAGTTTCTTCTCCTTAGAACGGGTGAGAGGAACGAGACTTTTGATAACGCAACCGTAGCGGCGCAGAATGCATCTCGCAACCCTGGTGCATTGCCTTCTCATATGGGTAGAGCAGAATGGGTAGATCTGTCTCAATCATTCCTTGAGGACTGTAGGGATTTGGAACAAGCTGAACTATTGGATCATGCAGACGATTGTCATCCACTTCTGAAAGTATGGTCAAGGGTTCGCTACTCCAAGCTTCCTCCCACCCGTTCCTCATCACCTATTGATTCCCAACACCCGATATCCGCTCCTCCTACGAAATGTAAACAGACTGGCATCCCTGTCCCTCTTACAGATGGTGGTGACATAGATGTTGCTTCCGAGGCCCATCGTGGTAGACGGGCAACGAGAAAGGCCATGTGGACAAATTTACAGGCTCTTACGGAGGTTGCTTGTCACGCTGATTTTTGGAAGTTGATTCGTTCCTGGTCAAATCCTGCCCATAGTTCACTACCACGAGTCTCTCTTCCATCCCTCACAGGTACCTTCCAGAGTCGAATGAATCTACCCGACACTCTCCCTGAACATTGGGATAAAGAGGCTCGTGCGTATGCTGCAGCAGCAGCGGAAGCACTTCCTACCACAACTATCGATAGCACACCTGGAAGAATTTTTTCCCGTGATTTCTTAGTTGATGACATCGTAGAGTGGAAACGGTTTATACATCGTAAGAGGAAGAAGAAAAAAGTTTGCGGTCTCGATGACATCAGTACAGATGACATTCTGCTCATTCCCAGTGACATCCTTGCAGATTTTTTCAACAGATGCTTGGCTGCACTTGATGCACCGAACATTTGGTTTACAACTATTCTTACTGCCGTGCTCAAATCCAACAAGAGCGATTTGGACCCCGAGAATTACCGCATCATTGGCTTGCAATCTTGCTTCCTGAAGGCCTTCACTTGGCTCATAGATCGTCGGTTCAGGGAATGGATGGAGCTTAACGACATCTTGCCCCCTTCTCAGAATGGATTTCGAGAGCATTATCGCACCAATAACAATATGTTCATTTTGCGCACTGCAATCGATCGTTCCCGAACAGAAGGGAAGCGCCTTTACGTCGCGTTCGTTGATCTCGTCAATGCCTTCCCTTCCACTGACCAGCCAACTCTCTGGGCCAAAATGACCACACTAGGAGCTGCGGGTCCAATTATGGATTGGCTGCGTATGATGTACCGAAAGATGGAATACGTTGTGAAATTGGGTCCCCATCACTCCGACGCCTTTCAGTCCATCATAGGCATTCTCGCCGGGGATAGCTTGTCTCCCGGGTTATGGAACATCTACTTCTCTGATTTTGCTGTGCCTGACCGACCAGACGATATCATTTTCAATGGTCACCATATTTCTCATGTCGAACAAGCCGATGACATTGTGTTGTTTTCAACGTCAGTAGAAGGACTGCAGGCGAAGCTGGACTGCTTGTTTCATTGGTGCTGCCATAATTCGATGACTATTTCGGACTCCAAAACCAAAATTTGGATTGCAGGTCCCTTGCCTACACGTTTGCCTGTTCTCTTCGTTGGCGGTCGCGCCCTTCAGTGTGTCTCCAAGCACAAATATGTTGGGATCACTTTGTCATCTACAGACAGGTACTACATCTCTCGGAGTTCCTTATTTCCTTGTCTCACGCCTCGTTACTTCTCGTGCAGGTTAATTTTTAAAGAGCACTACTACATTAAAGCTTCAAAGGCACGGAAATCTGTTAACGCTTTGTTTGGAGCAGAGAACTTCGTGGGCACAATCCCTCCGAAAGGCGGTATTGATGTCTACATGGCTACTGTTGATCCGCATTTGATGTCTGCGTGTGACGTATCCATCGATATTGATTCCACATTGCTTTCCCAAATGGAGCGTGTTCAGAACCAGAACCGTTTCATTCGGCGATTGCTAGGCATCGCTCAGCGTTCGCCCCTCGCCATGCTGTTTTCTGAGTCCGGCATATGGCCCATCAAGTATCGTAGAATCATGCTCGCCCTTCGCTACTGGGAATACGCGTTATCACTTCCCGACGATCATTTCTTATCCTATGCCATGACCGACTCACTCGCTCTTGCCAGAGCAAAGAAAGCCTCGTGGATCGGGGACCTCGTTCATGTCTTACGAAACCTGAATAAGCCTGTGTTCATTGATTTGGCTCACAATTGGCTTCCGGGCGATATCGAGAGGATTATAACTGATGTTGAGCAATCCTGCCTCTCAGACATTTCCTCGTTCATGGCGACATCCTCCAAGGCCCTCTTGCTACGTCATCGACCTCATCCCCCTGCCCATGCACATCCTGAAATGCTGCAGAAATCAGCTGTGGCAAGTTTTCGTTCTTATCTCAATGTTCCCATTCCTGCCCATCGAAAAGCGCTAGTGCGCCTGTTGACGTCTTCTCATACACTTGCCGTCGAGGTCCTCCGATGGGCGGAACGAAGGCGTCCTCCCGTTCCCCGCTGTCAGCGTTTGTGCCGTCTTTGTGGTTCAGAGGTCGAGGATGAGGCACATGTTTTGCTGTACTGCGACGGAACTGGCGACTTACAGGATTTACGTGCCCGTTTCTTTCACAACATTTTCGCACTGGCAAGTCCTCCCCTTGCAGCTGCGCTGAAGTCCGCATCATTTGGACTCCATGTTCTCCATATCCTTCTGGATAGTGACGATAGTCGAGTCCTTACTTCTTTTGCCAAGTACGTTTTTGACGTGTTCCGAGTTATCAACTGTACACCACTGTATCATCCATAAATACTCGAATTCTGTAAACTTCTGTGTTTCGTTTCTCCGTTTCGATACCCACTTGAGCACCCTGCGAAGAGTCTCTACTCCGCGAGACGCACTCAACAGTGTGATTACAACGGTATGAGCCTTCGCAGCCACAGCACATGGTTCGCCATGTCAGGGCTGTGGACCCGGCCGTTCCTTATTGGGACCTGGCGCCGGTAACACCACCACCACCACCACCTTCGCCCGCATCTGCTGCTTGTGCACATTAATCAACGGCTCCATCTGTATCCCAGCCGGTAATGGCTGCAGCGCGCTGAATACTTCAGGGTGAGAGAGCGTATCGTAACTGTATGTGACCAAGTCGATGGAAGCAGGTGTGGTGGGAGACGTGCCAGGGTCAATCAAATCGGGCTGATGAGAATACTCTGTCAGCTGAGAAAGATATATCCCGATGAAAGGAATACATTCCGTAGTATCGGCCTGTTTGGACGACGTGCTGGTGCTATTATGGGTGGAATGCGTAGGGCTCGCTTTGATTGGTGCGCTGTTAGCTCTGTCCCCATTAGTTGTATGGGCGGTTCCATTCGTCTTCCTGACACCCCCACTGACAATGGACGACGCATGTGAAGATGGCTCGATTGGCTTTGCGTCGATAATGGTGTCCACTGCACATCGAATGTGCCTGAAATTGTCGTCACTCGTCGTCCAGACGTCCACGTCTTCAAATCATCGAAGGTGCGTTTGTCTTGGTACGAGAGGCTCTCCCATCTACGTTTCATAGCCCTCTTTACCCTTCACCCACACTATCTCACCCTCGTCCTCACACAAGCAAACGATGGACACGAGATGAGGATCTTCATACCACGACGTTGCTGGCGACTGGTCCTCGTCGTCGAAGGGAAGATCATCGAGGCAGATCGCAATAGGGTGAGCATCCTTGAATGTAGACGAGGCAGGACTCCTAGGACTTGATCTGCCGTCGAGTCCTGGTAACAAAGGCATGGCGCCTCCTCTAACAGTTGGTCAAAATCGGGTCATTCCATCAACGGAGAGCCTATTGCTAGCGGAAAAGATTGATGTGCAAAGTCGTGCCAATTGTCTGAATTTTGACCTTATTAAGCGATAAATAGAAACAAATTAGCTAAAATGAAAAACTAGATACCACATGCGATCAAACTTACCCACAGGACGCCACTCAGTGGTTTAAGAGATGCCTTCGAAACAGGATATCGTGAGGGACCGAAGCAGAGAGGTAAGGCAGTGAAACAGAAAATAGATGAGAGCCGTTAACACGGAGGCGTAACGACTGGCTTCTTTAACTCGACGTTGTTCCGGTATTCGATTTCGGATATCGTGTTCTGCGACGCATCAGATAGAGAACGGGACAGCTGCCGACGGACATGGGAGGACGTCAACGTCATCGAGCCAGAAGTGACATTACGTCATTCCACGAGGTTGATTCTCTGGGCTCGCCGTTTGATCTTGCGACGTCTACTTGGAGACGTGAAGATAACAAAGGTCAGCAAGTCCTGACAAGTGCTCTTGAAGGACAGAGATCTACTCCTCGTCGATTTACTCCCATTGCAACATGAACAAGGGGGTTATCTACGCGTTGAATGTGAGTAGGTAGGTATAACTAATCGACATGTCCTTCCTCACCAATTACATGAGACACGCGATTCCCAATCCGTAACTGTACAAGGGAAATAGTACCCTATCGATCCCACCAAAGAGTTGACAACTTGACACGGTGACCCTGCTTGATATCCAGCGCGAACATCACTCGATTTCCCTCCTTGAGTCACCCTCAGGCTGATGTGCACGGGATGAGAGCGTGCGGAAGAGGAGCGCATGGATGGTGTATGCAGAGAGTGTACAAGTCAACGGATGGCGGGGTAGGCTCTCCCGATTGGTCGGGGGAGGGACTGAATCGAGGAAGGGAGGTGCTGGGTCGGAGTAGTCTACGTCGCAAAATGCTTTCTCCGGACCGTCTCAAGCGAACGACGCAGCGTCAGAATGAAATCAAGAGAATTGACGCAGAGGGAAAATGGTGGCGAGTCGAAGGAGGTAGTAAGCGGGAGTGGAGGTCGCGAAAACGAGTCAAGGATACTACCTGACATGCGTCGCCGTGCACTCTGAAGCGATGTATGTCGTCGTCCTTTCGGTGAAAGGGATAAAGACGACGCTGCGGAAAGGGTAAGTACTGTGGAGGTGGGTGTCATAGCTCGACGGGATAGGAGGGTTCGAGGTTCAGCTAACGAGCGTAGGAATCACCGGCGCCCCCTTCTGAGAACGACACACCACGTCTTCCATATGACTTCTTGTCGTTGAAACACCTCAGGAGAACACCAGTGTCTTGTTCCGACCTTTCACTCCCAGAGGAAATCAGAACAGGCTCGAAATGCCTGGTGGATACTACGACTCTCTGGGTCTTGCGTCTGGGGATTGAAGGTGAGCAGACCGTGGGCAGAAGGTCGTCATGTCGGAATCGCTCGCGCCTTGACGCGCTGATGTATGTCACCGTTCTTCAGGATGCACCGCCGTGAGAAGATGGCACTGCAGGAAGGGTGCCATCAAGGTGGACGACGCGACTTCCCCGCCTTTACCTGCACTCGCTTTCCGCAACAAATCTATCCTTGTTTCTACGGATGAAAGCATGTCAGTTCGAAGCGAGCTTCCTCGGTGACACGGTGAACTGTCGGCGAATAACTACGTCGAGGGAGCGGGAGAGGATTTATCAAAGCGGAAACGGAGGCCTCGGTTCTTTTCCCACGCTTCTGGGACCTCAACGTAACGTTTACGCGCAACACTCCCATACAGAACGTCGCTTCTCCCGCGCACAACCTTCCCATCGCTACCATTCTCACTTATTCCACCTTCACGGTACTCAGCCTTCCCACAGTCGTTATCACGGTGACATCTCCCTGAAAGGATGGCAGCATACACTGTTTCAGAATACATCAATCCGTCGTGACGACTTATCGATACGTCGCCTCGATTACTGGGTGTTAACCACCTAGGGCAGCGTCGTCACTGGAGGAGATTTCAGGAGCAAGCTTTCTACGATGTGTTCCCTCTTCCACCACCTTCCCGTATGCGCTCCCATCAACTTTGCGCAACAAGTGCTCTTCCCTCCTAGGACAAGTTCTCCATCAACGATGTCCTACTACTCACTTGATGGGAACCACTCCAAATCCTCCTCTTCAGTTAATCATCTTCGCCTACTCTCATCTGCAACGTCGCTGAATGAGGTCAGGGGGGAACGAATCACTTCCACTGGGCACTCACCTTTCCGTAGCCCTCTTGTTGTAGCTCGGCGCGATGGTAGCTGTGGAGAGAGAATAGCAGCGGTTCTGCTCAACTCGTATGCGCGGAGACTCAGCCCATCCATTCCTCGTACGAGAGGTTGGGGTCGTTCACGGAAATTTGACCCTGCCTCGACGCACTCGTTCCAAATATGCGAGCCTCTACCATCATTGATGGTAAGCGCTTAGCCTCTTTTTCTTTTCACATCTCACTTGTCATTGTCTCTCCTCAGCTCAATTGAGCAGAATGGTTCGCTCGATTTTGGCTCCCAGTGACCAGTACATGCGTCGACGGACTGAAAGTAGCCTCATCATGGCGATGTCTCAAATCCTTTTTATGTTAGGGTACTATAAACGAAGGTTTGGGATGTTGAAGGTGCGTCAACTGTATACTCATTCCGTTTTTCATTATAATGCCCGGCAGCGCAGAACGCGTGCGCGCACCCACCAACAACCACGACACGACACGTCGGCACCACGACACCCTGCATCCATCCGGTGTGGATGTGCATGCTGCCCGAATGACATCCCTCTCCCTTGCACGACGCTCGCCTACCTCGTCTGGCGCCGACACGAATACGCATCCTTCTTGTGATACTGCCGTCATGGAGGGGTGAGTGTCGTCGTCCTCGGCCTTTGGTTTCTGCTAATGGCTGTTCTCTGCAGTTTCCGCATCGTTGCCCTGGCTGGCGACAGAACGCACGAAAGGAACGCAGCGACCCCCGTTTTCACGGCGACGCTGAAGACGACTCTTGTGGTATCCTTGGGAAGTAGACCGTGCGTCTACTATACGATCATTCCATCTGGATTCTAAGATCAAGCTGCCTATGCAGAACCACACGCGCGTCGACCAACAGCGACGACAACACACATTCCCGTACGCTGACATGATCATGTAGCGATGCTGCGCTGTTATGGAGGTTGACGACGAGGACTTGCAGTCTGTATGGGTATCTGTCAATGCCTCGCGTGGCCCGTACACACAAAACATCGACGAATATATCAGTTTACTCTTCACATGACAGTTCAGAGCAAGGGGAACCTCCCCCATCACCTTTTGCATCTCTCCACTGTTCGATACGGGCGTGTACGCAGCCTGGCTCCCAGCTTAGCAACAGAAAATAAAGGCACGCACCCATCGAATTCCCTGCATACCGGCCCAAAATCCCTCTCCGTCAGCAACACGATCTCTTTCTTCCGGCTTCGTATCAAGAGGCACGGCAAACACGTCATTAACACCGCTGCCCTCCCATGCAACGGGAAACATCCACTTGTATCTCGTTACCTGCTCAGTGCTCACTGAACCGTCTGCGATACTTGGGAACAGATACAGTAGAATTGACCGTCCCTCGGCAAGTTGTGGTAATAGAAGAATTCCTCCATCCGGGGAGGAAAGACGAGATACTTTGACGACTCATTCAGTACATCTGTGCTGGAATGAGATGTCTTTACTTCTGATGGTGTGATTACGAGGCTTCTTGTAGAAGGGAAGGTCGTGGAGATCCGTAGTCTGGATGTGTTCGGGCTGGAAAAAGTTGGTTATATGGATGAGAAGAGAAAGAAATGGAGACTGTACCTCAAAACCAATGCGCGAAGAAATGTGCTGTTGATGGATGGCGCTGTAATTTTGACGATGAATGAAGGCCCTGGCGTCCAGGGAGAGGCCGACGACGAGGAATTTGGGTATAACTTGGATGGTACTAGTAGAAAACGAGCCGGTCCGGGTCTGATACTTGTCACCAGTCACGTGGCAGTTGTCACAGCGTCGGATCTCGAGGAGCTCAGCTTGAACTAATGGCCGACACTGTATCTGAGATGGAATGGTATCGCGGCTACGTCCCGCTATTTCCATACGAATTCGACCCTTCTGATCCCAAAAACAGTGAAACAATACTGTCGTCAACTCGCACACTTCCGCCAGCTCGCTTTCAAAAACCCTCTGCACCCCGGACTCGTCTTTGACATTACCATCGCACCCCGCCGAGAAGCTGTTCGCACAGATTCCAAGTTCCGCGAGCTTCCCCAGTTCGCTCTCCAAGGTGGTGATTTCCAGTTTGTTTTGAAAAATGCGATACAATGCGAGCCGGAACTCGGACTGTCTCAGATTTGGGTTGCAGAAGTGAGAAAGAAGGGTGGTCCTGAGCCTGAGTCTTCTTCTTGGGGACAGGTAGTTCTCAAGCTGTTCCAAGCTTCTCTCCTTCGGTTTCCTCAGCCTACCTGGCAAGACCCTTTCAGCGAGTACTCGTGTCCCAGACAATTAGCCTGCGTCGAAGAGCTCGTGTATAACTCGCTTCAAGACATCCAAGGATGGACAATACCCTATTTTTATGGGAAACACAGGGTGCGTTTTGAATGAATGTTTATGGACTCGGAGCTGTATCGCTGATGACTAGTACCACAGTTGACGTTGCCTAATGGAGAGTCTACGAGGGTTAATGTGCTCGAATACATCGATGGCATGACCCTTGCTCAGCTGCATGACATGTATCCCACCCATATGACTACGCCATTGAAGCCGAAATTACACCATGAGTTGTTGGAGAAACTGAAAGAGCTCGTGAGTCTTTTCCCCGAATGTCTCCTTCATCATCCAATAATCTCTCTCTAGTACGTCCCAGCAATGCAAGGTATATCCGAAATCAACGCACGTCATATCGTTCTGTGTGATCTCGAACCGGAGAATATCATGATCGCCCCCGAGCCTTCGTTGAACCAGGTTGTCTTCATTGACTTTGGGCATGCGTTTATCAACACGCCCAAGGAAGTTGTCGATTCGTACAGGAATTCCCTCAAGCTGGCAACTTGCATCATTGGATGTTGTCGTCGGCATAGGGCTGACGTTACAAAGGGGGCAAAGAGGTGTTTATCTGCTGACCTGCAGGTCCCTACTTCTAGTCCTTTGTAGCTAGAGTCAATATGATTATACAAAGGCTCTAGCATTTAGGAAGAGGATTATGGTGGTGGTGAGTCAGAGCCGGCAATTTCTCCACATAGTCGTCACCTCATATGGTAGCTGGTAGCCGGCTTCTTATTGTAACTCATGCATCTCTGACGCTCCCTCGACAGTTTCGCTGCCTACTACCAAGCCTTCTATGAGCTGGACGACCTGAGTTGGCACTGAGTACCTTGGGAGTAGCACGTTGGCATCACGAACAATTGTCTGTTAACAACGAGGAGTGAGTGCAGGTGTCGGCGGGACTATTATGCATTCATGCACTGCTGTCGGAATGAACATTGTGCTCTCCGAAGTAGTATATGCTACCATCCTTTCAGGGAAAGTGACCAAAGGAATAAAGATGCATTGCGGGAAGGGTGAATACCATGAAATCATTGCCAATGCATTAGGCAGGTTCAAAAAGAAAACACTACAACGGAGCTCCGGACCGACGTTTCCGAGGCTTCCTTCAAGAATCAACATGCGGTACCGGCGCCTATCGATGCTTGCCTCGTAGCACCTCTTCCATGGCCATGCCTTCCTCTGAGGTCGAGAATTCGACCTACTACTCGTCCCGCAGAAGAAGAAAATCTACTAGAGGACTGATGGGCATGAGGACACGCGAATATTTAGTCAAAGGTATGCGTTATCAACCTTTGCTTTAGTGTCGCAAAACTTATTGAAAATTAAGGAAATGACCCATTCGACTACGAACAGAAATTCTCCGAAGATCAGCGGTACGAAGAACTGGGACCTGCTGCCAGGGTATGGAGAACATACCTTGAAGAGTGCGTTGCATTTGACATTGAGATGGTGGAAGGATGGAGGGATGGATTAGATGTTTTGTTGGTTTTCGTGGGTGCATGTAATCCAAACATATTCTTTCATTGACGGTCCATTAGGCTGGTCTTTTCTCTGCCGTAGTCACTACTTTCGTCACTCAGACATCCCAGAGCCTTCAAGTCAACTACAGCCAGGTCACCGCGTCCCTTCTTTTCGAACTCATCGACGTCACGCGTGCAGCGGCCAATGGTTCTCTTGTGAACAACATTCCTCGCTCAGATCTTACTCCCTTCTCAAGCTTTCGTCCCACAACATCTGATACCTGGGTAAATGGCCTGTGGTTCACTAGTCTCTCGTTCAGTCTCGCTACCGCATTATTCGCCGTCTTGACAAAGCAGTGGATACACCAGTACATAGGGGCTTCATCAGGGACACCCCGAGAACGATGTCACATACGTCAATTCCGGTATATGGGGCTGCAACAGTGGGGTGTAGGTCTCGTCATTGGGTTGTTACCCGTGCTCTTGAGCGTGTCGCTTGGTGTGTTTCTAGTCGGTTTGGTTATCTTCCTTATCCCGTTACAAGTGTCGATCGCATCTATCGTCGGAGTCATCAGTTTTATGTCATTTGCGGCGTACTTTGTCACCAACCTCCTTCCGATTTGGTACCCTTCATGCTCGTACAAGACACCACTGTCGCAGTATGCCTTCCTCCTCTATACGCACATCACCTGTCATCCCTTCTTCGTATCTGCGATTTCCAGACTTTGGGTACCGCCGCCTTCAGTTCAGACGGACGAGTCTCAGGACGAGCCGCCGGAGTCGTCTTCCATCAGAACACTCCGAGACGCTGAACGTGCAGTTGTAGAGATCAGCGCGGATGAGATGGACGTACATGCACTGGCTTGGCTCTTTAACATGTCTACTAACCCCAGCGTACAGAGCATCATTGTACAATCAACCAGTGCTTTACCGTTGTCATCCGTGGAGCCTCTAAAGCAGCATGCAAAAGGAATATCGGACATGTGCGAAACTTTCATCTGGCACATGGGCTGTCATCCCTGGCAGGAAAGCATCGTTGATCGCCTTGCTCGCGCAAGCCTTCGTCTTGTCATGGATGGTGAACAATCTGGGCTAGCGTGGACTCTCCCAGACGCAGAAGCGGGACGCGAAAGATGGTCCCAGGATGTCTATGCAGAGGCTTTGGCTGTTGTTGCCTACCCGGGCTATCCCGAATGTGTCCCCACAATCCGACATCTAGTGGAAACTCAGTTCAGACCATCTGAAGATAAGCGGCTTCTTCTGCAGCCCATTGTATGGGGACACCTGCTTCAGAGACTCATATCCTCTGATCTAGAAGATACCCTGATCTAACCTTTATTCCATGCTATTCCCTCACGCTATTGGCACGCTGACTACATCCCTCCACCTCTTTTCTTGGCAAAAAATGGATTGAAGATCTGTTTGCCCTCTGATTTAAGAGATGGTGCAGAATCTCTTCTGTCGGCTATTGAATCTTATCTGTATCCCTATATCGTCGATGCCATCTACCAGCGTTTCAGAGACGCTGCTGACATTGCTTTCCATCCTGATCCCACCGATGAATTCCCCGTACCTCCGGATCCACAATTACGCATACTGTTGACGATGGTCGCCTCACATTCTGTCCAAAGGGTGACCATCACTGATCCATCGATCGATAGCCTTTTCATCATGATTATCCGACACATCGGAGTGTACGTGGGCGTCGATTCATTACGGTTGCATGACGGCCCTGCATTGGGGGGCAATACACCTTCTTCGAACTGGATTGCAATCGACACGCAGTATTAAAGGTCCTGTATATGATGGTTTCCTCTGACGAATTTGGTGACACAGCCCGGATGCGAAGCAGAGATCAGTGTATCACATTGATGCTCTTCAAATACTCAAATCCACTTTCCGACGTCCTCAGTTTATTTCTGAGGACTGGTGTACACCAGCCATGGCTTCCAACTTTGTCCGGATTGCTTTTCAGGATCATTCATTAACACTTCAATCTGACAACTCCCTTTCCCATGGTGCTTCACCTGAACTTCAACTTGTTCTTTATTTCCTCCAGTTCCCCCGTGTCATAAACGAAGCCTTTGCTTATATCATTTCGGAGCGTCTCCTCGACCAGATGATCAGTTTACGCAGTGTAGCAGTAAGACTCTTACTACGAAGAATAGTACAGTCCCGAATATCGCTGCAAACAGTCCTCAGTGCCTTTATCACTGGTCTCGAGTCTGATACATTGGACCGTGGGATCTTTCATTGGGCCAGGGCATACTTGTTCCAGCCTACGAATCTCCTCACCGTTTGGGTGATTTACGTTCTACGTGACGATACCTACAACCTTCGTCGTCTCGCGCTACTGCGAAGAGATGACTTGGACCCGACTTGGACCGAGCACTTGAAGGACCTGGATACTATTGGTACGTACTATGAATTGCAAACCTTCAAGGAGAACCACGCTCGTACCATCTCAGACTTCAGGGCATTTGTTGATGGAGACTGCATGGGAGATTATGGACTTAGTTCTGAGCCTGGGCCAACCGTGACACGGAAAGTCTTGCAACTTGAAAGTCTTGCTCTGGATGAAGACCAGCCGACGGTGGGGTCGCTACGGAACCTTTGGCAACGTCTGCGACGGCATCCCGATATTGGGTCTCAGAAAAAGGTATCCGTGTAATACATATCAATATCTCCTACTCGTTCCGAACTTTTGGTGAACATTTTACTACGTGATATCTCCATTTCATTGTTTACATTATTACACCATTCATCCTATACATCTGTCTTGACTCTGCTCGCTCCTTAACGCACGAAAGATTCGGGTCTCCATGTACTCAGACTGCTCTCCCTCTTGCCTCGTCGTAGGCATGAACGACTCTGTACCCATCAGGCGCCGTCAGCTTCAAGAAAGGAAGTGAGAGTAGGTAGGCTACCTTTATATACCCTGATCTCAGCGATGTCGTTCTCCGGGTCTTGGCACCAACGTTGCAGCCTGGACACTTTGTTTCAGTTCAAGATACCCAGGTCTGGGGTGCTTCAGATTGTTACTAGGCGCGCACCAGCATCTAATGCGCATTAAGACTAAAAACTTCCGGCGTTATCGACTATAGGTATGGTGAAGCATATACAACGGAAAGGGCTACGAAACACGCGTAACCCGTTCGATGCAACACGTGTATTGACAATCATGAACGCATTTGCTGGTCAGATATCTGTCTGCCGAGTATCCTAGCATCGCGCCCTGGCTACAGCAGAAATTTTTACCGGCTAGCCAACTCTCATTATTCTTCAACTCCAGATAAATGGTATCTGTCGATATATATATAAGGTCTTGAGCTCTGCGAGCAGCTGTCGAGCAGGTTTCTGCATGTTACACTGGTTTGGCATCGCAGAAAGCTCGTACGTCTCGAGCGAACGATGCAGCGTCAGAAGGAATCGATGTTGAAGGCAGGCGGTAACTTATAAGTTGTCACGTCAGAAAAGCATGAGCATGGTTGTGGGAGGTAGCGAGTCGAGGAAGGGAGGCGCTGAGTAGGAATGGAGGTCGCGAGAACACACGCTACTGCTTGACATGCGTCGTATTCTTCGCGTCACAGAAAATTTGTTCCTAAGTGACACGGCATCAGGGTGAAAAACATCCTCCAGTAATGCTACCTTCGTGCTTGGGGGCGGTTAATACCCAGGAATTGATGTTGAGAGCAGGTGTTGTATCGAAAAGTCTTCGTGTCGGAATTGCTCGTGTTGCTCGTATTCTGAAGCGACATATGCCGCCATCCTTTCAGGGAGAGATGTCGCCGGAACCAAAGGTATAAAGACGACACTTCAGAAGGGTTCCGGTGAGTACCGTGGGGGTGGACAAAGAGTGAGTATTTGCTACTTACCATTCCCCGCCTGTCCTGCCGCTGCCTGTACCCCCCTTCCGTCATTGAGAACAGTGACGAATGTATCTTCTCCCCTGACGAAAACACGTCGTCTCAAGAAAAAATTGGATCGTGGGTTGACGCGCTCCTGCCGAGAACGCGGACGTCGTGAGGGAATGGAATCCGGCTAACGAGAGGATGAGCAACCAGTAACGTAGACTGAATGGGAGTGACTGACCATCCCCGGTTCCTCCTTCCTTCTACAGCTGCTTTCACCACTTCCGTCACACTCCGAGCTTGTCCTATGCATCGTCTGGCGACAAGATGTCCTCTTCGCGTTGCAGAAGTTGACGCGTTTCCAGGATGTGCCTCCCTGTGCTGTGCATGGTATCGTCGTGACCGAGGGAATGGAGATGGCACTACGGAAATGCTGAGTATCGGTGAAGGTGAGTGAGAAGACAACACTTACCATTACTCCTCCAATAGTCTCTCCGCTGCACAAACACACTCACTTTCCGTAGAGACAAACGTTCATGACGCCAATATGCCGTTCCCCAGATACCAACTCGGGTTGTCCAGCCTACAAAAGGCTTCTTATATGGCGAAAATGTCGCGGGAGCTGCAGGTCTTAAACTTGACAAGTCAGCTACAAAAATGAATTGTAAATCTCGTATAAAACCAACTCACAGAACGTTCAACCATCTTCACAGAGTAATCGAAGGCCTCGAATGATGTTGAGGGGCGATAAAAAGTGATAGCAAAAAGAGCATGGATGTCGCTTTGTTTGGACGGGCTCGACTCGCCGGCATCGCTTTTGGTCATCGACACTCGTCATCGGCCCAGGAATGGATCTTTTTGACGTTCTCTGGTCTCCTTCGTTTCTTCCTGAGATTCTCTATCAGGACGCGTGCTAGGCGTTGATGAATATTTGGCTGGCGTCGAATCAAGCATTCCAGTCGTCTGTCTCCCGCCAACGTTCTTGTCTCTTACCGCCATGCTCCTATATTTTACCTCTCCGTTTTACTTGTTACCCTAGTTCAAAGTTTTGCGAGATGAATTCAACACCTTCTCAAGCTACTGGGTGCTGTGTTGTGGGTAAGGATTAACGCTGATTTCATATAGTCACGGTATTGATCTCTCATTTCAGCCAACTTTTTTTAACCAAGCCAAGAGCACGATTTTTTCGCCCCACCCCACGTTAGGATATGGAGGAGACGGCCAAACGCGTATCCTAGGTGTCGGTAAGTTCTCTCGCATGCCAAAAGATGTACACACCCTCATCGACATCTTTTCATAGAGTCCATGGATGCATTCTTTGACGAATTTTTGGGACGACTCGTCATTGCTGACACGCGACGAGCTCTCCGCTAGCAACGGGACCAAATTTTGAACTTTCTACCCAAAGGCGAGGCGAGGCTGCCTTGTAGACGATGACGATGAGGAGCACGACAAATCGGAGTGAGGAAATGACGGAGCAGTGGGAGAAGATCTTGATGATGATGATGATGATCTGGATTGGTTACCCGCAACACGCCTCGTAATGGGCGAAGACGTGGGGGTATAGTACGCTACTGTAATGTAAGCCTATACCGCTACTCGTTTGAATGCTCTTCTACTTTTCGGCTCTATGGACTGTATAACTATCTGGTAAAATTCTACGTAACTTTTTTTGTGGTCTCGTTGTTTCCGTTGTATGGGTACTCTAACTACTGAGGGGGAGAAAAATAAATAAGTTGGGTGGGGGATGGGCCTTGCTCAGGCCTAGTTGACGCTGCGTCAGTTCTATCACTCTTCGTCTTCTGGTTCATGCGGCTCGGGCTCGTCTTCCCATAGCGGCATGCCCACTTCTTGCCTCGGATTTCCGGTCTTCGTGAAGGCTCCTGACTCTGCTAGGAAGCTCGCCACTGCTTCGATGCCTTCTTTTGTACCCAAGAGGTCGCACATGATTAGGTTCTGTGACCCTTCCCGTAGGATGTGTCGATAATCACTGTATCTTGGGCACGTTCGTATGATATGTTCTCGTGTTTGTAATCGCTCGCCACATTCGCAGTCAGTTGCCTCTGGAATGTTGAAAAGTTCGTAGTACTCGCCTATGTGTGCATGTCCCGTTCTGCACTGTACAAGTCTCCCAAACACCTCACGTGGTGTGTCCTTAAATCTCTGCGTCGGTCTGAGTTTTGGTTCGAGACGGTTTGTGAGTCCAAAGCGTCCAGTTGGGTTTGTCTTCTCCCACTCCTGTACCCACTTCCCTTGTGCTCGTTCCCTCATTCGCCTACGTGAGTTTGCATATGTGCGCTGTCCCAGGTGATGCATCGTGCACGCTTCCTTTGCCAAAGCATCTGCTTTTTCGTTTCCAGGTATGTCTTGGTGTCCTGGCGCCCATGATATCTCTAGCGTTGTTTCTTCGTCATCCTCCAGGATCTTTGTGGCTATCTTGAAGAACAATGTTGCATGCTTTTGGCCTGGTCTACGTTTGGGACGTATAATGGATTCAACTGCAGATGAGTTATCTGCAAAGAAATGGATGTGACGTACGCTTGGGTGGGCTGCACGCAAACGTTGTACATTCCGTGCGGCCCACGCTAAGCCAATAAGCTCTGAATCATATACCTCGGCATAGGGTCCTGTCCCTATGGGAGAAGATCTTGAAGAGTGGTAGGTTCTCTCCCTCGTCACCTGTATTCAGAAGGCCTCATCCTTTCCGCAGTCTGAACTTCTGTGACGGAGATGGTCCGCTTACTGCCTCCTCGACTCATCAATGCATCAGCAATATTAATGTCGACTCGAAATTTTTTGTGTTGTTGTCCCGATTTTGCATTGGAATGGCGTATTGTCATCCGGCGTGTGTGAGCGAGGATGCGGCAGGGACCGGAGGTATGCGAGAGAGAGGTAAGTCCTTCCCGTTCGCTGATTCCACTTGCACTCACCTCTCCGTAGCCACCTATCTACGCGCAACACTCTCCTTCAAATGATAACCTGAGGCGTCGAGCTTTAGCCTCTCAATGACCAGAGTGGAATGTCGAACCAACACCGATCGAGGCAAACAACCTGGCCGTCATCTTTCTTGTTCCTCGCTGCCAGGCTCGTTAATTATTCGACCTCTACTTCTGAGTAATTTCAGTCGACTTTTTGATCAACGCAAGACTAGACATTCGAGAATTCTTTGCCCCACGGCGACCGAAGAGGAAGATGACGCCAGACAGGGATGTGACGGGGATCTTAGGTGAGTTCTCTCGCACGCTGCATGATACGTCCCATCTTATCTTTATCCTCTTCGTGCAGTATCATCTCCTTCCATCAAATCTGCCCGACTTTGCATGCTCGACGGCAACAGTAAACGCGATAAATTGGAGGTGGAGTAGCGGGAAGAGATCTGGAAACGCGAACGGCGGTGCTCTTTGTCCGCACTCAGGGATACTTACCCCTACCGCGACCCCGTCTCCAATTAACTTGATGGCCTTACCTTCAACGATGACGATCGGCGCGCCAAGATCCATCAGCAATGTCGACGTCTCTGTGCGGCTTTCGTGCCCGGACTATGTATCATTTGCCAGCGAGCAGGGGTAAGGCGAGATGGTGTGGGCGAAGGAAAGAGAAAAGGCGAACGTGCCACAACAGGAAGGATATCGCGGGACCATGACGACTTATAAATACCTCTCTCGCTAACGGTAGGCAATATCTGTACTGATCGTGTCGAGCCTATTGACGACATCTTCACGCAGACTAATCTATGTGCCGAATCCTAGAATCAACGTAACAAGATGGAGGATTCGATTTACGATGCTTTTTAGGGGGGCTAGGAGCGGTACCTCTGCTTCACGAAGACGAGGAGGGCACGTTCATCGTCCTCCGCAGTTACGGGAATCCGTATCCCACACCTTTCATCCTCGGGCCACACTCCGGCTTTCCAGCCGCGCCTACACATCGTCGACGGCGAAGTTTGACAGTTTATCGAGCACATTGCATGTCTCTCCATACTTCTCCACATTAACCGTCTCCTAGAAGAAAACCACCAATTTGGGTGGACTACATACCTGACGACGAGCTCGAGCAGCTCGAAGAAACTCTTACCAGCCGTGAGGGGTACAAGCAGCAAGACTGCAGAACCTCTACCGCGCCACCGCCAGACGGCTCGCTTTGGACCTTCTTCCCCATCTCGATGCGCTACACATCACTCACTTATCGAGCGGCCCTGACTCCGACTGGAGATCCAACACCGTCACTTTTCTCACCCTCGACAACATGGCAGTGGGCGCGCAAACCTTCTGACAGATCCTCTCCGACTTGCACGTTCTCGCATTCCTATCCGCAGCTCGTGTCAAAGAGGGGTGGGAGGCGACCAACGTCGACGACGAGGAAGACAGCACAGACATCGACCTGCCCTTGCAGGTACTGGACATCATAAACTCACCAATCCTCCTCCTCCTCAATTGAGGGCACCAGTTCGCTCTCCACAACCTGAAAAAGCTCTCCCTCCTGTATCTCGAACGAGACCACGTATGGGCAGCTCAGCAACTCCTCGTTGCCCCTAGCAACACCTTCCAGAAACTCGTCCTGAGTGATACTTTGGTCGGGAGTAAGAATTAATGTCCTCCCTTATCGTATTGGCCCTTACTGATTGTCATACTCTTAGTGTACGACAGTTAGCCTTCTCATGAGCTCCTGGACCTTTCTTTGGTTCCCCGCGTAGCCATGCACGCCTCCGGGAACGACACCTTCGGACCACATAACCTAGTATGGTTCTTCGCCTGTCTCACCCTCACCAATGCCATTTGACTAACTCACATAACCATCCATGTCGACCTGGAAAATGTTTTCTCCAAATTTCTCGAAGACACCAAGATCCGGGCACCGCTGGATGCCCTCTAACAAGTCCGAGCTTTCATGCGCGTGCTTATCTTTTTGGTTTTGAAAGAAAGGGATGTGAAACTGAGGAAGAGTAATTTCAAGCCTGAACAGATGCAGGCGTTTGGGGAGGTGATGCTGGCGAGGTTGGATGCGAGGGGGAAGGTGGAATGTAGCATTTAAGTCGTAGCGGAGTAGGGGGGGTAGCCAGGTAGGACGGACACACGTTCCTGCCAGAGTAGGTCGAGTTGCGAGCAGATTGTCTTTTGACCTCTATAATACCTTCTCACCAGCAAGTCGAGGCATACCAGAGTCAACTCAGAATCATGAATCTTACGACTTATCCGAATCTCGCAACCCTTGATGGGCGCGCGTAAACTCTGTACTTAGCCTGGCCAGGTCTGTTGTTACGGATCTGACCGAAGGCCGTTGCGGTGTGAAAGCCTCGCGACGCTTATTCCCATCTTCCTTCCCTCACACTACACCACAACCATGCCTTCCATCCACGATGCGCAAGATGGAGATGGGGAAAACCCACAAAGAGCACCCAATGGTGTACAAGTGCTATCCGATGATCCCACAGGTGAATCCCAGCCAGAGGTTCAGCAACCGGCGCAGGCAGTTCACCAGCAAAATTCGGATCGCATTTTTTTTGGGATCTCTCAACATGGACCCCAGGTCAGAGGTATGCGACTTCATTCTTCATACCCGCCCTGTTTCTCATTTGGATTCAAGGGAATGACCCATTCGATTATGAACAGAGATTTCCGGAAGATAAACGGCTCGAGGAGCTGGGGCCGCTTGCTAGGGTCTGGAGGACATATCTTGAGGAATGTGGTACATTTGACCTTGAGATGTTGGAGGGATGGAGGGACGGATTAGATGTCTTGTTGGTTTTCGTGAGTGCCTCATTCAAAAGTCATCGTTTCTTTCATGACTCATAGTTATATAGGCTGGTCTTTTCTCTGCCGTGGTCACTACCTTCGTTGTTCAAACGTCGCAGAACCTTCAAGTCGACTACGGTCAGGTCACGGCGACACTGCTGTTCGAGCTCATCGATGTACAGCGTGCAGCGGCCAACGGTTCTCTTGTCAACAATGTTCCTCGTTCAGATCTTACTCCCTTTTCAAATTTCCATCCCACAACATCTGATTCGTTAATCAATGGATTATGGTTCACCAGTCTCTCATTCAGTCTCGCTACTGCTCTGTTCGCAGTCCTGACAAAACAGTGGATCCACCAGTATATCGCGGTTCCATCAGGCACTCCTCGTGATAGATGTCGCGTACGTCAGTTTCGGTACATGGGGCTGCAGCAGTGGGGTGTGGGTTTCATCATTGGATTGTTACCCGTTCTCCTGAGTGTGTCGCTTGGTATATTTTTAGTGGGATTGGTTCTTTTCCTTACCCCGCTGCAAGTGACGATTGCATCTGTTGTCGGAACCATCACATTCATATCTTTCGCTGCATACTTCATCACCAACTTCCTGCCGATTATCTACCCTTCATGTCCATACAAGACACCGTTGTCACAGTACATCTTTCCTCTCTATACATACATCGCCCACAATGGTTTCTTCTTTTCAGGCATCTCTTCACTCGAGCCGGAGCCTCCCATTCGTACAATCCGAGATGCTGAACGTTCCACTGTGGAATCTAGTGCGGACGACATGGACACATATGCATTGGCTTGGCTGTTTAACATGTCCTCCAACCCCAGTGTGCAGACCATTGTTGTGCAGTCAATCGGGGCTTTACCGTTGGCGTCTATCAAGTCTATCAAGCAACATGCCAAAGGGGTATCAGAATTGTGCAACACTCTCACTCACAGCCTACTCTACCCCATTGCAGAAAGCAGATTTGATTGTCTCACTCGTGCAAGCTTTTGCCTCAGTACTGCACCTCCCACTTTCTCCGCGGATCTGCGAAAACGGAGCAAGGAACAACTTTCTCCAGAAGTCTATGCAGAGCTTTTAGCTTCCGATCACCATGACTTTTCCAGTGAAACTCAGAAGATGATTCACAATCTGGTTGAAGCCCAGTTCATGCCATCGGCAGACTATACACGGATTCATCTGCAGCCCATTGTATGGGGGCGTCTCTTCTGGATGCTCCTGCCCTTCTCCAATCTAGACGATAGTCTGATTCAGCCTTTATTCCGTGCAATTCCTTCATACTATTGGTTGGCAGACTATAAACCCCTTCCTCTTTTCTCGGGAAGGAACACATTGGATATTTGTCTAACTCCTAACAGAGATGATCACGGTGTGCCCAGTCTTGAGGAAGCCATTAACAAGTATCTGTATCCATCTATTGCTGATGCAATCATCTGGTGTTTCAGAGATGAATACACTGTTTTCCACCCTGATCCCACCGATGACTTTCCCACACCTCAGGATCCACGGCTATGTGCGCTGTTGACAATGGCCGGCTCGCCTTCTGCCCAAACGGTGGCCATGTCCAATTCCCTTCATGACAGTTTTTTTGGAATGGTTGTATCTAACATTGGAACTTTCATGGATGTCTGTGGGTTCCATCTGCATGACGACAAGATTCCTTCCCTCACACTAGATGCCAATCGTTACGCCGTGTTGAAGCTGCTGTACACGTTGATTTCATCGGACGTGCTTGATGGCACTTCAATGCGAAGTCTAGACCAGCGTATCACGTTGGTAACGTTCTTTCGGGTGCTTAATTCAACGTCCCCTTGCCCTCGTTTTCTTCTCGAGGATTGGTGCACACCGGTCATGGCTTCCAACTTTGTCCGAATTGCTTTCCAGGACCAAACCTGGACCATCCGAGAATATTATGGCCAGACTCGCCATTTGTTAGAATCGGATGAACTCATTCTTTTCTTCTCGCGGTTCGCTCCCACTGCCAATCTAATTTTCCCTCATTTTGTTTCTGGCTGTCATCTTGACAAGATAGGCAAGCTCCGCAGTTATGATCTGTTAGCCAACGAGTGTCTACATGTCATCCTAGATACCTTTATCACTCGGATCACACCTGATGTATTGAACCATGAGATCTTTCAGCGATCTATATCATACATCTTTGAACCCGAGAATCTCTTCACTATTTGTGCAGTGCACATTTCTAGGAGGGATACCCACTCTCTTCGTCGTCTCGCGCAAGTTCGTCCAGACCACCCGGCTTGGCCTGAGTGCTTGCGGAAGCTTGAGAATGTGGCTGAGCATTTTGATTTCTCTGATTTTTCTGATCTATTCGGGATTCCTAGTGCCGTTTCAGACTTTAGGCAGTTCGTCAAAGGAGGATGCGTGGGAAACTATGGACTGGATACGCCTGATCTCTTGCCGCAACAAGTCCGGGTTGAAGACAAACCCCTAATGAATAAACAGTCACTGATGAAGTGGCTACCAAGGCTTTCGCATTGGTTGCGGCGGCACTGTGACACCAGAGCGGGAACTGAGGAGATAATGATGACTTCTAGTAGTAGTGTTCAAGTATGAATGGGTTACTTTCCAGATAACGTATCCGTAGTATAAATCGACATCTTTTGCAATCATTCCAGCATCTACTATTGTTCTTTACCACTAAACAAGCTTATTCTCTGCCTGTTGTCAGTCCAACTACGATGATGGGCTTCACATTTGTGTATGAGTCCATTCACACCTCGGCCTTGTTGATGTATCCCATCGTAACTTGAACAAGGGGGGTCCACGCACTGAATAGAATGTCTACATATGTAACTATTTGATAATGCCATCCTTCCTCACCAATTACACAAAAGATACGCAAATCCCAATCCCCAACTGTAACCACTTCCATGTGACTAGAACTGAAGGGAAATAACACCCTATCAATTCCAAAGCGTTACACGGCGACTTGCTTAATTTTCAGCACTCGATTCCCTCTTTGGATTACCCTCAGACTGACATGTACGGGATGGATTGGGGATGAAAGCGTGCGGAGGAACGCATAAATGGTGTAACTGTATGCAGAAAGTGCACGAGCCCGGGTGGATAGGGTGCTCTCCTGATTGGTCAGGGTAGGGAGCAAGCCGTAAGGGAGGTGCTGACTCGGAGTGGAGGGAACGAGAAGTCACTGGGACTGAGTTGCGCGACTTGGTGAGCGAGTCTACGGAGCATTCTTGTCGCAGAAAGCTTGTCGTCTCGAGCGAACGACGCAGCGTCAGGATGAAACCAAGAAATCGATGTCGAGGCAGGCATTATTCCTGAGTCGTTACGTCGGTAGTTGAACGTTGAATGAGTTAGTAGGTGGAAGTCGCGAGAACGAGTCAAGGGTAGACTACGCACACACGCTACTGCCTGGCAAACGTCGCGTCGCAGAGCTTTGTCCTGAGGCAAACAGCGTCGGGGAAAAACTCCTTCAGTAACGCTGCCCTCGTGCTTGGAGGTGGTTGATACCCAGCGATTGATGTTGAGAGCAGGCGTTGTATCAATAAATTGTTGTGTTGGAATTGCTTGTGCATTGACGCGCTGCTGTCGAGACAAGGACCGCGTGAAGAGGTGTATGCCGCCGTCCTTTCAGGAAGAGATGTCGCCACGACCAAAGGAATAAAGATGACACTGCGGTAAGGGTGAGTACCGTGAGGGTGGACGAAGAGTGAGTGCTTACCATTCCCCACCTTTAAAGATCCTCGCCAGTCCTGCCGCCGCCTGTACTCCCTTACCGTCATGGAGAATATCGACGAATGTGCTCTCTTGACAAAAACACGTCGTCTCAGGGGAGAAATGGATTGCGAGTTGACGCACTCCTGCCGAGAACTGACGCGGACGTCGTAGCTCGAGGGGATGGGAAATCCAGCTAACGATGGTGTGAGCAACTAGTGACGTAGATTGAATGGGGAAGGACTGACCATCCCCAGCGCCCCCTTCTTTCTACACCTGCTTTTGCTACTTTCATCATACTCTGGGCCTTATCGATATCACCCGATAGCAAAAGATGTCCTCTTCGCGTCGCAGCAAACTTGCTCGAGAGCGGACGCGTTGACAGTAAGATGAGCAGGTGGTGGGTGTTCTCCAAAGTCACGTATGATGCCCTTTCCTTCAACAGAGACCGAAGGAATGAAAATGGCGCTACGAAGAGGAGTGAAAATGATAGTACCGCTACTACCTGCACTCACCTCCCGACATTGAGGTAGAGACAAATGTTCGTGCCGTTCCCCAGATACTCGGTACGAACACATGTCGTCCAGCTCGGCGTAGTCGGCGAGGGAGCAGGCCCAGGTCTTGAGCTTGAGCTACACAAGTCGGCTACTAAAACGAAGAGTGAAACCAATATCAAACATCACTTGAAAGCGGGGCATAAAAAGAGATAAGAGACACCGCTTCGCTTGACTTGAGGAAGGGTGAGTAACCTGTCAAGGTGGACGTGACGACTGTACTTACCGTTCCCCTCCTCTGCACTCACTTTCCGTTCCAACAAATCTATCCTCGTCTCCTGATAAGAATAAGTCGTTTAGGGGCAAGGTAGTGCAGTGTACTGTCGGTGAATAATGTTAAGGGAGCGTCAGAAATGCAAGGACGAGTTATCAAAGCGGAAACGGGGACCGGGCCGGCGGCTCAGCACTTGGTGTTTTCCCACGCTTCTGGGACATCAACGTAACGTCATTGCTCGCGGCTTTCGTTGCTTCGCACTAGTACTGGTTCTGACCCGAATCGGCTGATGATGTACCTCCGATTCTGCCTGTTGGTAATTGTCAAGATCTCCAATCGCCAAATTCCCTTTGCCAATTTTTTCTGGATAGGCCCGGGAAACTTGACTTCTCATACTGGCAGGAATAGAGATCAACTTGGTGCAACCTCACGGGCTTCCCCGAGCTATAGTCTTCCGAAACTGTCCCAACTCCTTGATCCTCCATGTCCTCCAGTGAATACCCCGACCAAGACCCACCCAGGACCTGGATCGGCCCCGAGCCTGTAGGCCCTTTTGTACGACGGTGGCATAACGTCCAAACTGATGACCCCATCCCAAATCTCCCCACTTCCATGACACCAGAAGAACCCGCCGAAAGCACCGACGTCCCAGAGTCAAAGAAAGAGCACCTAGATCCTGCGTACATGTTTTGCTGGCGAAAGCTCATGGCCGACGAAGAAATGCTCAAGCATTGTTCCCTGCCCATCATGTCTCTCGCCATTCTCCTCAAGACTACCGAGTTTGCGGAAGGGCGGTTCACTTACACCCTCGATAATTATTTCGAAGATCGATTGGTGCATATTGATCGCGTCGAGGATGGTGGGGACTCTGGAATGCCCGCCAAGGAGCTCATCCTTGAGCGCAAGGAAAAATATCCCAGGTGCAACGTTGGTGCGAAGAGATCCAAACGAGCCGGAGTCACAGTGATAATTCCCCACGATACGGCTTGGGGGGGGGGGGGGGGGGGCCGGACGCCTATAAGACGTCCCTTCCTTCGGTTCGCATCCGAAATCTTATCGATCTTTCTGGTGCCTTGTATTTGGTTAGGGGGATCGGAGCGCCTGGCACTCATTTCAGGGATGATGAGATTATCGTGAGGGTAGTTCAGCAGTCCGGGTCCACGATGTTGGGAAAGGAAGTCGCTGGCACTTTGCAAGCACCCTTCAATTTATCGCCGCCAAGTCCGACATCCCATCGTCTTCGACGAACCACTATCAGAACGTGCCGCCTCTCATTTAATTTTGCTTACCTGGACCTGGTTAGCCTTTATTGTGTTATACTATCGTCAGGTTGTCACTGGTCCCTCTCCTGCGCCGGATCTTCTCACAATACAAACAACGTTGCCGTTTCCGGTTTCCGTAGTTATCGCGTAGTGAATTTCACTGTTTTGCGGCGAGAACTTGGAGCTGACAGGAAGGCTTCCAAAGGTCAATCCCCAAAGGTGCCCGTCAAGTAAAGAACGTCTGTGGAACCGATTTGCGCCGCCAGGACAGATATATGCAACGTTGGTGGGCATCGGATGAGCGCAAGCTATTACCTGGGCTTCAAGTAAGATAAAGAATTCGGAGCACTGCCGTGTGCAAGTGCCTGTCACTGAAGGAATTCGTATTGGTTCGTCACGAACAAGGATTACTCGGGAGGCCTGCCTTTTGTGGAAAATCAGGTCCCGGGTCCACTTACGCGGAGAGCAGCTGGGAAGGGGGTTACTCGTTGTGCAAAGGCGGCCACGAGGGAGCGCACGAACGGCAGACAATGAAAGAGACTTCGTGATGAGGATGGGGTTCGCATTTATTAAATGAGTGCGCGAGAGCACTCACCTAGGACTCTCCTCCACATCCCGGCCTGACACCATTGTCAACATCCTCCTCTGCAACATAGATGCACTCGTCGGGGGGCAAAAATTCTCGAATATCTTACGTCGAGCTTGAGCTCGCGCTCGGCTGAAATGAAAGATAAACACGGGCCAAATTTTTCTCGCAGGACGTTTAAAATATCACCCAGTGGAGTGATAGAGTACTTGCAAAGGTAGAGGTCAGATAAACTAACGACTGGATTATCTCGACTTGACGTTGGCGCAACATCATATTTCGGTCATTGAATGTTTTGGTAGCCAGACAACACGTCCTTCCAAAAACAACACGAGATTAATTCGAAGTCGCCATTTGATCCTGCGGCGACGCGTGAATGGACTCGACTTACGGCAAAATCCATTCCCGGACTGATTTCCACGCTTCTTCTTCGTTGACTTACTGCTGTCCTAAACATTTGGACCCATATGCTTCACGTCGCAGAAAGCTTACCTGTGAGTAAACAACGCGGCATGAGGACAAAACCTCAGACTCCAGTAACAGTCCTCACCGTGCTTGTGGAGAACTTTAATTTATTTGGTTAAGTTTCCAGCGATACAACCAGAGATGAGGGAACTCGGAAGCATTGCGATGGTGACTAACAAGAAGGTTGGAAAACATTTTTTAATTAGCTGCCATGACGCAAAGAATGGGGAGGCACGAGGTAGGAGGGCAAGAACGAGCTGAATGAGCTGGCTCGGGCTGACGATTGGTCACTTTCTGGTGACTAAGTCAAGGATGAATAAGCACCTGGGATTACCAAAAGGGAAATCTTCGGGGTTATCAAACGACACAGCCACAGCCTCGACAACTGCGAACTTCGAAGACCGAATCCTGTAACACATAGGGCCCGGGACGGGCTGAGGGCATCTGGGCATTCAACAACAAGCCTTCTATGGTCGACACATTACCAGTGGAATATTTCCTAGTGTGTCTTCTTGAAATCTGATGTCTAAGTTGCTGATGTAGAGCGAGGGATGCTTTTTTAGCTTGTTCAGAATGTTGAACACTTTGCCTTACGGACGAACCATCATAAGCCGGCGGCAGAAGTTGCCAAGCCAGCTCTCAAGCGAGATATCGCACCATTCCTCCACTGATGATAAAAATTTTACAGCAAATATACTCTTGTTTAGAGTAATATTAATACGGAGTAGTGGAAGCTAGGTTCACTATTCGCTATTGAGAGCAGAGGCCGGGGGAGGGGGGAAGATAAATCCGCTATGATTCCATCCTGACGACGAGTCACTGAAGGAATGCGGGTCCGTTTAATGTTGACAAATCAAAAGCTGAGCTTCCACGTATAAAAAAGAACAATCACCCATGCAGACCTTGGGCCACCTCAATGGATACTCCCTCCCATACTAGCTGCAGCGAAATCCAGATTCAGCTTTGGGGCTGGAAATGGAGATCGTCCTATTGGTTTATAACATTTGTGGTATGGCTAGGTATGTTTCGCACAGTACCTAGAGGTCGAAATTGGATGATCATCGTAAACCAGGCATTGTTACAGATCTACTTGTCTATTCTATAGGCATCCCTGTCGTTCCTTTCCAGCTCAAGGAGCTTGGCTACAAGGACGTCGCCTCCCTGACCGGCTGGCTACTTTTTGCATTCGTATGATCATCTTCTCTCCTTTATATCTTAATCTAACGAGTTACCCATAATAGTCCGGAGGTCTTGCAATTTGTACGTTCGATCCTGGAAATAGCTTTCATCGTTAATTTTGGTCACAGCTACTATTCCCGTCGCGATATGGTCTGAAAAATACGACGTTCGAAAGCTTCCTCTTGTCATAGGAGTATTCATACTCATCGGCTCGCAAATCATGTTCATGGAAGCTCCAACGTATTGGCTTATGTGTCTTGCGCGAGTTCTTCAGGGTATAGGATCCACAATGGTGTGGGTTGTCGGGTTGGCTTTACTGTGAGTTATACTCACAGGCTATTTTACCATGATTCGTATACCACCTCCTAGATGTGATAAAACGCCTCCCGAACTTGTTGGAAGTGAGTGATATCATTTCCCTTCTCCCGAAATCTAACGCCCGTCCCAGGACAACTTGGGATTGCAATGTCCGGTCTCTCTCTTGGGTACGTGTTGTGATACCTAAGTATTCCTTCAAACCAGGCAATAACTTCTTTCCAGTGCGCTTGTCGGGCCTTCCGTTGGCGGCGCGCTATACACTCGGTTCGGTTTCCGTGGGCCCTTCATCTTCGGCGTCATCGTCGCCGCTTTGGATCTTGCCTTCCGGTTCCTCATCATCGAAGATGAGAATGCAAGAAAACTCCGATCCAGCACTACTGAGAAGCCAGGCAATGAGATCGCAAACGAAAACGGTCCGACAATCATTGGAGATGATGTCAACATCCAAAGCAGGAAGATTTTATTTGTACAGGTCCTCTGTCGGCTGTTCCGGTCACACCGCGCGCTTGCGGCGGCTTTCCTCACAATGGTGTATGGGTCCGTCGCGTGTCCTTCATCATTGTGGAACGCACCCTCACTCCCATAGTATCATCTACAGCAGTCAAGAACCCGTCATTTCCAATCATCTGAATAGCGTCTGGGGTTTGAACTCCTCAAAAGTCGGTCTCGTTCCTCTTGGCCTCTGTCTTTCCGACGTTTTTTTGTGCGTAACATTCACCAGCACATACACCCGGTCCTGATTTCAATGGCAGCGTCACTGCTCTCGGGTTGGTTAGCCGACCATCAAGGAGCGTCCGTGGTCATTATCGTCACTCTGATCCTTGCTGTACCGTGGTATGTTGTAATGATTATAGACGGGCACTTGGCGCTGTTTATTACGGCCTATGCATGCGCTTGTGAGTGACCCGAGACTTTCACCGCATTTCTTCTAATGGATTTCCAGATTTCTTTGCATATGGGGTCTTGTCTCCTTTAGCTGTTGAGCTCGCTTCTGTCGCACGCAGCATAGATGACATTGGATGTACGTGTACTACGACCAGCTTATTCTCTGTAGTTAACCTCATTTATTTAGATGCCCACGTCTACGGGGCTTTCAATCTAGCTTACGGGATTGGCACAACGAGTGTGTTTGCTTCAATTCATTTTTCCTAGTAACTCATCCTTCCTTTAGTTGGACCCGTTATCGGTGGCCAGGTTGGCCCATGTTTTCTTTTTTCATACAAGCGGTTCACTGAGAATGGACCATTGCAGATGTACGATCATATCACCGAAGGATGGCTGGCAATCTGTTTGCTGGCAGTTGGGTTACTTGTGCTTTCCGTAGCCGTAACTTTCTTCTACGTTGGGGACAAGCCTGTCGCTCAAATTTTTATCCGGCACATTAGATTACTGTAGATGTAATCCCAAAATATACAATATAGCAGAGACCAGAGTTTCTCATGGCCCACTCTTAGAAAACTGGAGGAAAAAATAATATCCGCGACAAGAACACGCAAGCATTATTGCTCTTCCACGTCTAACCATCGTCACGACGCGCGTGCCTGGTTGCGACGGCTGTACAATTTTGCTTTGTACATCGCAGGGATCTCAAATTTACATGTCTTCTTTTGTTCCCTCACGAGTTGACCGTCAAAATGTTGTATTGGAGAGAAGAGTATCGCCACAGGATTCTACGCGGGGGGCGTTGATACCGATATTGCATGGTCTGCGATGCAGGACATGACTTTCCTTAAGGCACTAAAGCTAAATATTAGTCCTCAGTTCCGCTACCGGCTTGTTGCCGATTCCCGAAGCAAGCCCGCCAGAATGTGATTGATTACGGTTTCATACGATCTGTCTACAATCTTTCGTGTGAGAGAACAAGACAAAGGTATCAGAAAATGTCCTTTGACTGGAGAATGAAGGAGTCGAACTTTATGCCATTACGGAGTGGGGTCGTCGTGTAGACTGAGCAATGCGAAATTTGACACCGCCGTCATAGTACAAGTGATACTGTCCTGTGTTTTGAAAGTGAGATCTATCAAAGAGACTCGAGTACTAACCTGTATGCCTAAGTGCTCCTGAACATTAGTACCCAGTCAGTGCCACATACATCTTCACCGATGAATAGAACTTCGCTCGGTAAGCAAAAACGCTCTCTCCAACAGACATGAACGCAGGACAGCAGAGACCCATTTCTTCGCTTTAGCTTGTCACTCAAGGAAAAGAATCGACCTTGAACGTTTTGAACCATGAATCGAGTTTGGTGTTGTGTTGTGGCAAATGCCGCGCGGTCTGGATATACGTGTCGTCAGAGTCCGGTCCGAAACCTCCGAAGCATCAATTTGAAAATATGAAACACTCCGCTTGGCCGTATTCGTTCCACGGTCACGCGTCAGGATAACATGCTACGTCAGGCTACGTCCAGGTGACATTCAGCCTCGGTTTTTGTAGTCGAACGAACACTTCATTTAGCGTCTACACGCAGACCGGGCCTCAGCCTGACAGTGATTCTTGCATGAAATATCCTGGCTGCCATTGCGACATGAAGAACCCAGTGGTCAACTTAATGATGTTTCGCCATTACTCTTTTCTGACTGACTGGTCTCAGATATTAATACTCTGACTCCGCAACATATATATAAGGGAGCACAGTCATTCGTCCTCCTTCGTAGCTATTAATTTTTCTGTCATGTCTGCCGGTGACTATCGCTTTTCAAAATATTCTAGACTAGCTCATTGCTTACCTTCTACATAGACTGGGATAGTGCCAAGTATCCGCATACCAAGAGCTCTGGGCTTCCACCGTACCCTTGCCCTGAGAACCCGGGTCAGGTCGGTATCCTTAGTGCATGCTTTTGATATTACTCAACCCTCTCCAGGTATACCCTCACACTGATCCTAATAAAGGTATCTTCAAACGTCTGAAACATATCCGGCGGACTTACATGTCAGCTATATAGCAAAGACCCCGCCCCTGCGACGAACGTCCGAACCGCCCGTCGGAAACCCGTTCTTCCTGAACGACGCACTGCGAAAGCTTGATAGCTCCCTTGGAAATGTCATTCAGATTCTAGAGCAAGAGGAAGCGGCCGCAACCAATAACCGACTGTTGCGGAAGTTTGTAGATATGAGGGATGAACTGGACAGGATCCGGACTGGGAGAAAGGTCTTAACGCCTAGTCATGTCTCTCCTGAACGCGACACGGACGGAGGGCTATTTGTGGATTGATTTTCCCTTAATATAAAAAAACCGCGTTGCGCAGCATAACTGGAGAAAAATTCATCTATATAGGTACACCGACAAAAAAAGAAAGGAAAGGAAGAGCAGAACGTTAGTACAAAAATTGAGCTAATCAATGCAAACGAAACATAGAAGAATTCTTGCTGCAAAAGATACCAAAATGCCTAGTCATGGGCTTCAGTAATACCGGCCGGAACGCTGTTTCCTCCGAATCATCCTTCATTCCTTCTTCGTCGGAGCGGTCTAACTCTTCGGTGACGTACAGCGGGAATACCATGGGCGGACCGCGTGGCTTCCTTGGTGTCCACTGACAAGTAAAGGTATTATCTTGCGACCGTGAAATTTTGTCTGGGGCTACGGAGAAGATTAAGCTGAGTTTCAGAAATATTTTAAGTACTTGAGGGCTTTCTTACGAGGCATTAGATCTTTATCGCTGCAATATGTCCCATTTTCGGCCAGAGTGAAATGCCGAGACTGAAGCTGAAACTCGTCCAGCATGCATTGCTCGTGGTCGTGAAGACCATCACATATTCGAAACGTAGTTACAAGAGGTAGAGTCAGTCTTGCCACGCGTTCTACGAGTGTTGTTTCGTCAGTTTAATATTCCGATGTATCAAGAGTAAGACCAGATTACCTCGAAGACCGGGAGGGAATAATTTACATCGAGATTTCAGCATGCGTAAGAGTTCATAGTAGACTTCTTTCAGCGGCTGATAGGAGGGGGGGCACGAGCAGAAACTGTGTAGCCGTATGTCTAGTCGCAAGAGGGTATCGCGGGATATCTGTGACAGGCATCAGTCAGCATTCGCATGTTTGTCATGGACTGGAACTAGGTAGTAAGAGATCTAAGTGGACACATTGTCGCTTCTATCTAACCTAAACTAACGGGTATTAAACTCACTTCAACAAGTTCAAGGACCTGCATGATAGTGGTACATTGCGTTAGTATAAAACTTGGACTAGGACTACAACAAATTTACCTTCGTACAATGGTCTTGAAATTCCTGAGGAGAAAATCTTGAACAGCACAAGAGTTCGCGTGCTGCATCTACATAACTATCTACTGAGGAAAGGCCACGCGATAATTGGACGACTTTGCTCCGGAACGATAAACCGGACATGATAGGCCCGTCCAGATTCATCATGCAGAAAGGAGTAAGGAGAGAGAAAGAAAAGATTTTTCGGGTGAGTTATAAGTAGTGAGAATGGGCCGGATTGGCGGGAGAGAAAAATTAACACGGGCCTCGCAGTAAGAGAACCCAGTTTAAACGACGTGGTCGAGAAGGTGTTGTAGCGGGGCACTGGGTTCGGCAACGCCCGTGAGTCAATAACAACGGATCGTTCTTCGTGTGATAGTTCTTGATCGGTGCGCTCTCTCACGACGCTTAAATAATCGCATAGCCTATCGAATGGAGTAACACCCAATGGCCGTCCGATTTTTATTCGCTCAATTTCTCGAGCTTTCGCGGCTAGCTTGAATTTTGCCCCGATGTTCGGCAATTTATCGGCACATAGCAAGTATAACCTTTTTTAGCAACTCTTTCCTTGAACTGAGGGGCCTGAAACTCGAGCGTGGTGTCAAAGATTGTTGAGACATGACAAGGGCATTGGAAATGATACTCTCAAGATATTTACCGAGCTATTGCCTGAGTTAGGACGCTCTGCCGGTTGTATCAGTCCGGTCACCCGCCATCATTGATCGCAAAACTAGCTTGGCATCGCCTACAGGCGTCTAAACAGGTAAACGAAAATTTGGCGAAAACCGCACGACAGTATAGCAGTCTCTATAATGATGCCGGTTAATGATGCGTCCTGATGGTCAACACCCCAGACTATAGAAAGAGTAGACGTTAGCTAGATAACTCTGCATTTTCGACAAGTCTCAAATTATGTGATATGCCCGTTCTTCTGTTCAAGAGACTATTTTATGAAATGAAAATGAAAATGAAATCCGACTCTACAAAAAAACCACATCGGCGGGTAGGGCAAAAAACGCGAGTCGACGACGTCTTGACCAATTGCCTTGGATACGAGGGAACGTGCTTCGCAATTCGAATTCCCGACCATTCCTACCAGTTCAGAATGAGAGCCATTAGCTCTAGACTCAAATGATCTCCCAGTGACTGTACGTGGACGATCTTTCACCGGAATACGTACCACATAATTTTACGTACCCCGCAGAGACTCGCTAGCCTGGAGGCTGCGTCGCAAGGCAGGGCAGCAGCCCATGAGAAGAAGAGCCGCATCATATAGGCTATAGCGTACAGCCGCACGGATTAAGAATCGGCGGATGGGCAAGGACGAGCCGACCAAAAACGAGATTGAAGACGTTTTGCATGCAGGAAAGTAACGTAGAATGGTCCCCGGGTCGTCACTGTAAGATCCATTACACCAAGTGATCCTGCCCCCGGTATCATTGCGTCACTTTGTCGGGGCGAAAATCATCGCTTACGCCTACAATCAACGGTAACAGGTAAACCCAATCACCGGTTATCCCCGTTCAGTATGAAATCCATGTTGAAAAGTCGGATTCAAAGAGCTCGCTGCTAGCAGTCGGTCCTCGGAAACGGGCGGAATGGAATATACTTCCGACGCAGAAGGAGTAGAACAATATGCCACGTTTACTAGCATTGACATAATATTCAATGCAGCAGATGGTGAAAGAGTAGGTAATAATCAGCCAGGTTGGCAAAAGTTTAGTGAATACCGAAGACTCCGGAGCTCGCACGTAAGAGAGGCAAAGACTTCGGTAATTTGCACAGAGGTCCTAGAGACACCTTTAGCCACAAATATAGTGGCGGCGGTAAAGAAAGGCCAAGCCTACGAGCGACGAGAAAAGTCGTATCTGCAGGAAAAGACAAAATCTGGGCAAGTTTTCGTCTATGATAGTTTTCCAAGTTCAAATTCAGGGACTGAAACGTATCGACCCGGCCGGCAGATTATCTAGACTCCTGCAAATAGATCGACTTCTTCGCCCATGGTATCGCGATTCATCTGGACATTTCTGATCAAATTCTGAAGTTCTGGATAAAACGTTAACGAAGTTCATCAAGACGAGTAGAAACAACGCAACCCCTTCCTTTGAAACGTCATGGAACAGTCCCAATGATCCCTTATGCTTCCACTGCTACGGGAGACCATAATATAAATGTTCCCTCCGAGCTGGAACGGGTTCAGTCGATTCGGTCAGTGCAAAGTGCCATAGCTTTTTCCCCGTACCCGGACGTTTTACGACAAAACTGGAATCCAGGCACAGATAACTCCAATAACCATGAATTATGCGTCAGGAATATCAGTGTGTGCGATATCAGATGTTGATGGCCAGATTTTTGTGTGTTACAGAGATCTAGTCCATTTTCTTGTGGGCGTCGGTGGGTGTCCGCTTCAAACAAAAATGTGAATTTCATATTTGTCCTCCGACTTCTGAGAGCTTCTGTGGTGGTTGTTACGTCATGCCGACGGACTCTAATGGTAGGAACACTAGTACTACAAAACACTGGGACGATGTTGAATGTCCCACTACAAATGAATGACTACAAATACAGACGTTGAATCTTCTCTACATGCATCATCTCACACTCAATCTTCGTGAATGCCCTCAGGCTTCTTGAACGACGCTGCGTCCACACCTGGGAGTGGCCACTGCTTGGCGAACTCCCGAACTTCATTCCTCAGTTGCTTGACCTTGGCAAAGCCTTCCTTGCCCCCCTCCTGTGTTGTAGCAACCCGAACGAAGTCCTTCAACATTTTTGTTCCGGCCTCCTTCTGTAGGACCAACGATAGCTGCACAGCTCGGTGCAAGAAGTCGGCGACGACCTTGATGTCGGACTCGACCATGTTACGCGATGTCAGTGCGGACGTGCCCAAGCGAATACCACCCGGAACCTGGGCAGAGGCATCACCAGAGACGGCGTTTTCTAGTGTGGGTCAGTCAGTCAGCCGGGATGGAAGACATTGAAGGAGAAGAGAACTGACTGTTGATGGTGATACCCATGAGATCGCAGACCTTCTCAATCTTGCTTCCAGTCAAGCCGAGAGGGCGCAAGTCCCAGAGAACGAGATGGTTGTCGGTTCCGCCAGTCTGGAGTTTGTAGCCATGTTCCGAGAGCGAGGCGGCGAGTGCACGAGCATTAAGGATAACTTGCTTAGCATACTCCTTGAATGCAGGCTGAGCAACTTGGAGGAGGGCAGTGGCGACAGCGGCAATCGTCTAGCGACGTGTAAGTATGAGACTACTCGAACAGCTAAAAGACTTACGTTGTTGTGGGGACCTCCTTGACACGCAGGGAAGACGGCCTCATTGACGCGTTTCTCAAGATCTTTGGTGTTCTCGAGGTCTTTGCGGAAGAAGATCAAACCAGCACGAGGACCACGGAGGGTCTTGTGACTAGCAGTACGGGTCAGCACACAAACGAGAGACAGCATTAGAAGGGTCTTACGTCGTAGTAGTAACGACATCACAGTAATCGAAGGGGCTATTAAGCTCCTGGGCGGCGACGAGACCACTGGTATGGGCCATATCACATAGGAGCCAAGCGCCTTCCTTCGTCGCCGTCTTCTTAAGCTCAGCGTAGTCCCAGTCGCGAGGGTATGCAGAAGCACCACAGACGATCATTTTTGGCTTGAAGATCTTGGCCTGGGCAGCGAGAGCGGAGTAATCAACGAGGTTGGTATCGGGAGTGATGGCGTAAGGTAGCGACTGGAAGTAGATGGAAGATGCGGTCATCTTCTTCTTAGCCGTCTGTTAGTTCGAGCGACGTCAGTTAGTTCCCTTTAACATGGATGAATGGATTCATACGTAGTAACCATGAGTGAGATGACCTCCATCGGGAAGACCAAGACCCATGAGACGATCCTGAGGCTGGAGGAGAGCAGTAAATGCAGCGAAGCTGCGATGGAGTCAGAGAAGGTCACGATGACAGTACGGTAAACTAACTTGGCTGTCTATAGATTCGAAAAAAAATAATAAACTATTAACAATAAAATAAAATGTAAAAGGCACGGGACTGACGCTTCCGGAGTAGGGCTGCACGTTAACACCCCATTGTGCGGGGTCGAGGTTGAACGCTTTGAGTGCTCGTTTGCGGCACAGGTTCTCGAGTTCATCGATGTATTCGTTACCACCATAGTAACGAGCAGAGGGGAGACCCTCGGAGTACTTGTTCGTCAAGATGGACCCGTTCGCCTCCATGACAGACAGACTGGTAAGGTTCTATTATGTCTGTCAGCATCATGATCCCCTTCTCCTATGAGATGTGACCGACCTCTGAAGCAATTAACTCCAGCCCAGAAAGCTGCCTCCATGTCTCTTTATCGATGATGTTCTGCACCTCTGGATCGATTTCTGCCAAGGGGGCATAAAGCATTTTGTTCTGCAATAAAAGCGAATCAGATCACATCATCTGCATTCAGACTAGGCTTACGAATTCCGGCGTCGATGAGGTAGCCATTTTTCTGATACCCAGACGAGAGAAACGGATGTAAGGAGGGAAGGAGGGTAACCGAGATGGTGGTCGAGGGAGGAGGAGTCGAATCATGGTTGAGAGCGAAGAAAAATGGTGGGAGGATCGGCCGGGTATCTCCGAACGGGAAGTGCACTGCCTTATGTAAGGTACCTCTGCGGTACTCGAGGCGCGAGACCTTTTTGATATCGAACCGTCACAACCTATACCAACCTTTCTAGATTTATCTTCACGCTATTCACGAATAATGAAACGAAACGACACCTGGGATTTGCTTGGACAAGGCGGGACTAGGTACGCCTTTTTTGGTTGTCCTGGCGCTCAATTCTCACCCTCCTTCGACGTGTAGCACCGTGACTAGGGGTAGCAACCGAGGAACGCCAGATGTCATGCCCTCACAAAAGAGACGGAAACTGGAACAGCAAATCAAGCTAAGGGCGCCTCTTGAAGAAATACAACAACGCCCTCCATGTCAACAGCTGGATGCCGAGAAGGACGACCTAAGTGAGCACCCTATTCATTCGCTCAAGCGCAATGTAAGCTAACAGGTACTTACTATCAGTTATTCAAATCGTTGATTTACATGAGATACCAAGCTCTGGGGATTTGATTCTCACCGGTTCTACACAGGTACGTTATATAACTCAACTGTACACTACATTTAACTTGAACAGAGGGAATACAGCGAGGAAACAGCGTGACAGCCCATATCCGTGGTTTTACGCCGTATTTCTATGCTCGACCTAATGAACCTGGCCCCTTTGGCTCATCTGATCATATGAAGGCATTTCACTCCCTCCTTAACGTGCGTCCCCTTTCGCTTACTATCAATGAAACATCTGGACATGACCGACGCAGGCTGCTACTGGCGTAATTAACGTAGAGATCGTCTCTAAAGTAATCACGGGCGCGACTGGAAAAGCGTGTATGCTCTTCAAGTTGACTTTCGAAGATTCAGAAAGTCTTCGTGCTGTACAAAATACACTTCTGGGTGCCCGATATGATGTCTATGAAGCGAATGTGGACTTTGCTACACGATTCCTAGTAGACCACGAGGTGACAAATCTGCATCCATTACGATTTGCTGTGTTCTCAAGTTTGATAGCTCCCAGGACTGGGCGGTTGGGTCAAGTTTCTTGCCGGAAAGTACAAAATGGTGGCCGCCGGTGACGCTAAATCTCACTCTCAAGTCGAGATCTTGATTTCGTACGTCGATTTATTGATTTTATCGTCCAATACACTTGTTCACACAACCACAGACACAACGCTGTAACAACTTGTGCTGAAGACTACCCCACGGCCCCTTTGAGAGTGCTGTCCTTTGATTTCGAAACCCTGTTCAACCTCGAAGAAAAGAATTCGAAACCATCGACAGATCCAATCATTCAAATATCAAACATAGTTTCTCGCCTAGGTCGGTCGAAGTACTTGATCCTGCCAATTGGTCAGTAACGATTAATATCGTAGGAGAGGCGAGCCCATTTCTTCGCGTCATTTTCACTCTTGATTCATGTGATCCCATCGATGTTGACGTCTATGTGTGTTCATACGATACGGAGAGGGAAATGCTTCAGGCGTGGCAGAGTTTCATACTCGCTGTGGACCCTGATGTGTTGACGGGCTACAATATCATGCATTTCGACCTCTCGTACATCATAGAGCGGGTTCATTTGACAATGCCCGGCTTTGATTTGAACTTGAGCCGATGGAAAGGTGCGAGTCGCGCATCAAATAAACGAGACGTACTCATCTTTGTCACTCAGTATCTTCGATGAATTGGTCGCAGCCATATTTCTATGAAGAGCTATTCCGTGTTAATGGGTTCTATAAGAATGGCCGACCTGGTAAGTATGTTGAGGTCGAAGGTCGAGTTGTCTTGGACTTGTACCGGTATTTTACCCGGAATCACGCTCGGTTCCAGCTTGACAGTTACTCTCTTAAGAACGTCGCCCAGAAGATTCTTTCCGATGACCCAGACTCACAGAAGCTAGACATGGAATATACAGATATACCAAGATGCCAGAACGAAAGCTCTGCTACCCGACGCCATCTAGCGATATACTGTCTACAGGTACGCATCATGTATTCTCCCTGATCGAGGTTGCTGATGGAGCGTTCTGGTCTTTGAAGGATGCCAAGGTGCCCCTGCAGCTTCTAAACAAACTCTGTATTTTAGAAGACTACCTGGGGAAGGGTAAGGAGAAACAGGTTCCTTTCGCGAACCTGTTAGCTCCGACACCTTGGCTTGAGGACCTAGGTGTCCAGCTCGCTGAAGCACGGTCTGTCCAATCGGTCATCATCAACTGATGGCAGGGACTATTTTTATGTACCAACATCTATATATACGAACTATGTATTCATCTGTGTATCTGTTCCAATGTGTCGTCCAATGTGTCGTACGCGACCAAACGTATCAAGTATTTCTTCACTGAATAACAACCAAATAGCAACTTGAAATCACATCAAGCGTGTTCCATATCATACGTGAGCGTCGAAGAGAAATTGGCGGGTCACTGATGCCATAGCATATCTTCGGGCATTCCCGAGTCCCGAGCACTTGGATGGGGGCCGGATTCGTATTTCACCTTATACTACCACGTCGATATATACCGACAGCTTTTTTTCACATCGTCCAAGGATAATGAAGCGAACAGACACCTGGGATCAGTCAAAACTTACCGGTGGAAGGTGTATCTCCTCCCACTCAACTCATTCTGTACTCCCAGGTTTATAATCTTTCCCAGCTCTGTAAACAAGCGCGATGCCTCCCCTCCAGCATCAGGACCAATAGCTTCAAGTTCTTCAAAGAGGCAGAGACTGGAACAGGAAGTCAAAAGTCGACCTGCTCTCGAGGAAATGCTGAAACGTCCTCTGGTCCCGCAGCTTGACCCTGAGACAGACGACCTCGGTACGCTTTGTTTATGCTCTCAGCTTGCGATTTATGTAATGCTTCAACAGTTATTCAGATTGTTGATGTTCACGAGTTACCTGACTCTGGTTACCTGGTTATTACAGGATCTACTAAGGCAAGTTCTCCTTTGGGTTATCCAACTTGTGCTGTATCTTCACTCGTGTGAATTGCAGGCGGGAAATAGCGTATCAGCTTTCATCGGCGGGTTTTCTCCCTACTTTTATGTTCGCCCCAAGTCTCCAGCGTTCCGCAGCAAGCGATGCGGACCTCGTTGCGCTGGAAGAGTATCTCGGCAGTATGCTTCCCCTCGCTTTCTTGATTCTCGTTCCTGAACAGTAGTTCGCATAGGGCGCTCAAGGATATGTAACAAAGCTAGAGACGGTTAAGAAATATCTGGAGGGAAATGAGTACATGCTTGTCAAAATAACTTTCGAAGACATAGGAAGTCTTGGCACTATTCGAGATGAGTCTTTTCACTGGACCCTCTCTACCGATTCACTTCAATTGACTTCCATCGTCCTCTCTCCATCCAATACAACGTCTCCTTACGAAGCTATCGAAGCAAACGTAGACTACCCGACACGGTTCTTGGTAGACCATGAGGTTCGTCAGACTCCCGTTGCCATGGCTCTATTACATTCTTACGTTTATGCCCAGTTGCCAGGACCTTGGTGGTTGGGTCAAGTTCCCCGCCAAAAAGTACGAAGTCATGCCTGACGCCGAGCGCCAATGCCGTACTCAAATCGAGATTGAAATCTCGTACGTTTGTCGTTGCTAGTATGACGGGTCGTGTTTCTTGTTTTGATTCTTCCACAGGCACGATGAGGTGGTGACCTACGAGGACCGTGGCAATTCCCCGCTGAGAGTTCTGTCCTTCGACATCGAATGCATGTATGATACAGAGAACAAATCGGTACCGTCTATTCATCCTATCATTCAGATTTCGAACATGGTCGTTCGAATGGGTGAGCGTTTTCGAGAGATCGGATGACTACTGAGGTCTGACTATATCCTTTAGGAGAGTCTGAGCCTTTTCTGCGTGCAATTTTCACGCTTAACTCGTGTGACCTGATTGAAGATGTCTACGTTTGTTCATACTCATCTGAGAGTAAGCTACTTGAGGCGTGGCAAGACTTCATCCACGATGTGGATCCCGATGTTTTAACAGGTTTTAACATCTTGAATTTTGATCTGTGGTTCATTATCGAGAGGGCTCAGAAGCTGGCTACCCTTAATGTGGAACTCAGTCGCTCCAAAGGTACGAAAACGTACCCTTCTCCGACACTTGTCAATATGCCCACTTCTATGTAGGATCGTTGGCGAAACATGTCAACTACAACTTTTATTCCGATAGATACGGATCCAGAGAGGGAAGAAATGTCCAGATACCAGGCAGAGTCGTTCTGGACTTATTTCGACATCTCCCTCGAAATCACTCTACGTTTAAGCTCCAAAATTATGGTTTGAAGGATGTCGCAAAATGTCTTCTTGGCGATGGCCCCGATTCACAGAAGATGGATCTTAGCTACCAGAGCATAACAGAACTGCAAGAAGGACCGGAAGCGAATGGGGCGACTCGCCGCAAAATGGCAGTATATTGCCTCCAGGTGAGAATCATCTTGGTTTTTGAGTCGATGCACAGACTGACTCCAGGATTCACAAAGGATGCTAGGCTGCCTTTGAAGCTTCTGCATAAATACGGTATTGTGGAGGGTTATTTGCAGAAGGGAAAGGAGAAACAGGTGCCCTTTGCGAATCTGTTGGGTCCATCTCATGCATTGCAGGAGTTGGGCGTCCCCAATGCACGGGCCTCTCAAGCCGTTATATCCGACTTCTGATTGCTTAGGGTGGTCCATAGGTGCTGTACTTCTCAGTGTAATAAAATATTATTGCATTAACTCACGTCGCGAGGCATCCTGGCAAGCCGCGTTGTCGCGGCGTTGACTGTCAGGTGATATTTTTCTCACAAGTTTTGCAAATTTATCTAAACTTTGTTTGGGTCGTGTTATACCTCCGTCAGTGGCCACTCAACGTTCAACATTCACTTCTCAGCAATAGGTCAGCTGCGACCACCAAAAATCTTGTACCAACCCTTACATTACGCGTCTATCGATACTGATGTTCGTGGGGCCCACGATGCCGTGGCGCTTTTCAGGCCTGCTGTCCACGAGGATGACCACCCGTCATGTGTGCGTAGCTGGTTTTATTTTGCTGCTAGATATTATGCTTATTTGTGTCTTGTAGCTTCCGGTCCCGGGCTATCTTCAGGCGGCCCATCGCCATTTTCACTGGCAATTTACTATCCACAATTCCTGGAGGTGCCACTCGTAGTGAAATAGAAGGGCTCATGATAAATTTTCGGGACCGTCTATCTATAGCTGCCAATGTCAACCAAAGAACTACCTGGAGGGGCCTATCAACGGATACCAGTACAACTCAGTCCTTAGAACAAACAAATCTGCAAGACCTCCAACAACGTCCTACATGCTCTCTGTCAGATTCCCTACGTGATAATATAGGTATATATCTCTTCCTTGCATCAGAGCCACATGGTGATATTCGCGGATTTGTTTACAGTATTCCAGCTCGTCGACATCCAAGAATCGCCCTATGAATGTGGCCACCTGTTGATGTATGGCGTCACAAAGGTATTTTCGAGTGGCGCCTCGTGCACATATACTGATTATGGCGTAATAAGTCCGGAAACAGCGTTTTGGCAACCATTACCGGCTTTACACCCTATCTTCACGCGTACCCCAAAACAATCTTAGATGATGAGCGAAACGTGGAAGCATTGAAGAATCATCTTCTTGTATGGATCAATTCTTCCTAACTCACTATATCGACGCGACCTGATAACTTTCAGGAACTCGGGCTCGGTAATGGAGGTATCGAAATTGGCATCGTTCCCAATGGGCCAGATATTCAGGGTGCTGACAGACCATTAAAACTAACATTTTCCGGACCAAACACCCTTCTTCGTAGCAAAAATAAGTTTCTTGATACTCAACAGATGCATCTTAACTCATATCGGACAATTACAGTTACTCGAGGATGCTGGCGTATACACACTTGTCCATCCGCAGACAGACACTATGACACGGTTTTTGGCCGACCATCAGGTTAGTGCGTTATGACGTGCCTTACGCGGATTATCATCATTGTTGCATTCGTATAGTTACCAGGCATGGGAGGCTGGATTGAATGTCCTGCCCAGGATTACGTGCTCACGAAAACCAGCGACCAAGTCTCGAGATGCCAGATTGAGCTAACCGTCCCGTACGTTTGTTGAAAGTGTATGTATCTTCCTATCTCTCATATTTGCAACAAGTCACGACGCGTTAAACACATCCGATTCGCGAAGCTCGGATGCTCCGCTAAGAATTCTATACTTTGATATCGAATCCATGACGCGAGAAGATCCCAAGAAACCAGGGAAATTCATTTCGGAATCTTCGCAAGATCCAGTCATACAGATATCCAATATGGTTTCGCACCCAGGCAAGTGCCACAATTTTTCTTTTGATTTACTCAGTCTTATAATGAAACTTCGAAAGGGACTAGGGACCCATTCTTGCGTGTCATCTTTACTGTCGGGTCGTGTGATCCCATCGAAGGGGCTCATATTCAATCGTACGCGTCGGAGAAGGAAATGTTAACTGCCTGGCAGCAATTTGTCCACGATGTAGATCCAGATGTCATGACCGGCTGGAACATCTTAAATTTCGACCTGGACTACCTCATTACTCGGAGCCGTCAATTAAAATTTGATCTGAGACTGGGAAGGTTGAAAAATGGTGCTGCGCCGATCCTGTCGCTCACCTTTCGTCATTTCTAATACATTTCTCTAGGACCGCCCACTTCCTCGAAAGCGCAAAAATGGTATAGCTTGAAATATAATCACTGGATGGGCCGAATGCTGTCCATTCCAGGCAGAGTGGTGCTTGATATGTTCCGCCACTTTGCTTGCAATCATGACAAGTTCAAACTTCGCGGCTACGCGCTCGGAAAAGTCGCGGCAAAGTTGCTGAACGATGAGCCCGGGATGCTGAAAGGGGATGTCGCATACAGCGATATACCGAAACTACAGGCCGGCCTAGACGCCAACTCCTCTACTAGACGAGAATTGGCAGTGTATTGTCTTCAGGTGCGTATTCGACATACAATACTTCCACTTTCTGACAATCGGTTGAAGGATTCGTATATACCACTGGTGCTACAACACAAATACCACATTCTCGAAGGGTACATTGAGATGGGAAAGACAAAGCGCATGCTATTCCATCGTATGATGGAAAGAGAAGAGCCTGTCACCAAAGCTACCTAGGTCCTTCCAGCAGACTAGTCGTCTATCACCGGATTTTCTGAAAGTATTTACGCTCATACATCATTGAATAAATCCTTGCACGACGGTTGTGCTAAAGACGTGATCAACGACATCGTGCTGAGTCTCCGTCGGAATGTTTCTCTGACCATCTGTCTCTGCTCAAGGATGCCCCTGCTCTGAGGTTTTGTACACTGCCACACGAACATGAGTTTTGGCATAGTCTGTCCAATAGATCATCTGCAGGCAATTAGGTTCTTGCCAGAAAGGATGAAGATGTATTAGATTTTACCATCGGTTTTTGACAAACTAGCTTCATCTTTCTCAGCACACGGGACTGTCTCATACGTTCTTATTCGTCACTGTATCTTCAAGGAGCTTTCGCTTGCGTCGCCACTGTCCTATAAACGTGATAATTCGGTCCAGTATGTTTCCAGATGTATCGCCGTGTGGTAAAGATTGTGGCAAGGAACTGACTCGGTGAGGCACCCACGTTTTAGGCGACGTGCCTCGCGCGGAATCGGGTTCCACTGTAATGAACGCCGAGGAGACGATCCTGCTGATAGCCGAAAGACGGTCCGGTTGCGAGTCAGGGACAACTGCATCGAAATGCTGCAAGCACACAGGCCACGCAGGGTCACTGGGTCGAATCAAGGCCAGTTGCTGGAGAGTGCTTTCGTCGGAACCCTGGAAGAGGGCTGTGCAGGCAACGACGAGACTGTGGGGTTCATGCAAGTAATCCAGAGCCTCCTGACGTATGCGTGGATCTAGGAGAATGGAATTCAACCCGACGATGAAACCGCGCACACTTTCATTCGGTAGAGATGATTGCAACAAGCGCTCTACGACATCGAAGTAGCGCATTTTTACAAAGGTCGAGTATGCCTCATTAGCAGTGGGGCTAAATTCGAAGAGGTACCCCATTATTTCTAACGTCGTCCGCAAGTCACGATACCGATAACTGGATAACCAATCCTTGACTGAACCTATTTCGAAGACGACGTCGACGAACTTTGCCGTTACAGCTGGTGTACACCACTCGTTGGCGTCTGCAAATTGACCGGGAAGTGGACTGGTGGAAGTGATAAGTCGCAAGAAAACGCGCAGTGTGCTATGCTGTGCAGGCCATCCAAGAACTGAAGCATTTCCAAACACGTCGGAGAGGATGAGCGAGTACAGCGTCTCCAGGGCCGCATGGCGATTACTGTCTAGGCCTGAGCAGGGTAGTAATCCGAGCGGATGCATGTCGACATTCAGATTAATTTCGATGTATTCTATCATTGTGTCCATCAGAGCAGACTGGATACTGGCACGTGATGAAAAGGAGGGTGTGATCATAGCTAGAAGAAACCCCAGCCGTTGGTCGTCAGGGACAATGTAATTCGAATCCTGTGGTCCTTCCATAGGCGGACGATAGGAGAGGATATATTCAGCCACAAAAGGGTAAATGCAGATTCGCACGGCTTCCTGGAATGTTAGAGGGTCATTGTGAAGAATCGAATCACAGATAAATGGAGGTGTTGCGCCGTGGACTGTAAATGCTGGGGCAGGACAAACCCAGTCCTGTCTCCAGTAGTAATTTGGAATAGCATCTAGGAGACTACGACTCAGGCCGATTCCGCCAGTACTCAAGGCATTACGAAGGAGATTGATCCAAACGATCGGCTGCAAACGTAATTGGCGTTCTGCAGGAGTGCCCGAAAGACTCCTTCTAACCACTTCTCGAGCCTCATAGCTTCGTGTCCAGAAAGGCGTTGAAGCAACGATACCAGCAAAAAGGTCTGGCTGGATGTAGTCCACGTTGAGTGCCGTTGATATGTGGAGAAATGTCTTATCGTCGCTTCTTCTGACGCGGAGGTGGGCGCGAATGAGACGCTCGACCTTGGCTTGTTGAGTTGGTTCAAGGATGGTTCGAGTATCAATACAATTGTTGATGACCTCGACACATGTTTGAGAAATACCCTTCATGCATTGCTTCAATAAGTTTACCGACTTTAGCGGCAGAGCACCGATGGACTGAGCGACAATGCTTTGGACGCTAGGATTGGATGACATCGAATACAACCATGATAGGGCATTGACGTCCGTGCTCTCAGCAGTACGTCTGACAGCATCCTGCTCCACATCTTTGAGAGTACGGACATGAGGTTGCTCTGAGAGTTGCGGTTTGAAGATGGGTAAGATGAGCCAATTGAGCAGGCCATCGTGAATGATATGCGTGTAAAGAGAATAAACATATTGGGACAGCGGAGTTTTGTAAGGGCATGACGGATAGAGAATGGGAAGAAAGTTGGTGATTGTGTATACTGCAAGCACAGTAAACGTGATGGCCCCTACTGCGGACGCAATTGCCCGCTGTAAGGGAACCAAAAATATTACCAGGCCAACGAGGAATATCCCGAGAGATGCGCTCATCAGGACAGGAAGGAATCCAATAATGAAGGGCACGCTCCACTCTTGGAGGCCCATGTATCGGAATTGACGTACGCGACAACGGTCGCGAGGCGTTCCAGACGGAACGGACATGTATTGATGAATCCATTGCTTCGTTAGCACCGCGACCAGCGCGGTGGCGAGACTGAGAGAGAGACTTGTGAACCAGAGCCCGTTGATCCATGAGTCGGATGTCGCTGGTCGAAAATCAGAAAAAGGCGTGAGACCCGAGCGAGGGATGCTGTCTACAAGTGTACCGTTTGCAGCCGCCCGTTGGACATTAACAAGTTCGTACAGAAGTGACGCCGTAACCAGGGTATAGTCGAGCTGTAAACTTTGCGATGTTTGCACGACGAAGGTGGTAACCACAGCTGAGAACAGACCGGCCTGCCAATGGGAGTTAATGAGAAAGTAGTATGTGTGGCGAGCTGACACGCACAAAGACGAGCAACACATCTAGGCTATCCTTCCATCCTTCCACCAATTCACGGTCGAACGCTGCACATTCTTCGAGGAATGTTCTCCATACACGAGCTGCTGGGCCCAGTTCTTCATATTGCTTATCCTCCGGGAGCTTCTGTTCGTAGTCAAAGGGATCGTTTCCTTGGGTTCCCATGAGACTTTGCTTTATTTTGAGGGAAGAAAAATATTACCTTTCATGATAAAATCGTGGCTCTTGATGCCAAATAGTCCACGCCTGGACCGCCTACGACTTGGAGAAGATTCGTAGATTAGATTTTCGACATGAGGCTCCTGAATAGGTGCATCGACGCGCTCAGACGACATTAAGCTGCTTCTGTCGTCACAGTCGCAATGAACTGAATGAAATGGGCAGGCAGGCAGGCAGGGCAGAATGAACTGGCTGAACTGGAGCAACGAGTGGACCAGTTTCCTACTTCGAATTGTGCGGAACTTCCCATTGCAAGGTCCCAATAAGGAACGGCCGGGCCCACCTGACATGACCAGCCATGTACCACTGCGAAGGCGTAAACTTTTCGCAGGGTAAACAATCCAACGAAAAGAGATATAGAGATATCTCCCACATTGTCTTGAAGTTGCCAGGTGGAATTATTTTTTAGGGCAATAACGCGCTGAAAATGTCCAAAAATGTACTTACTAAGCAAAATTACTCAGGTTAGGAATATCATCAGCATGGAAAAGAATGTGCACAATATTGAATACAGGGAAGCTGAACATGGAGAGTGCGGAGGTGTGGCAGAAGCCAAAACCCTTTGAAGAATTATTTGCGAGCTCAAATGATTAAATCCTGTATCAAGCATAAACGTTAACAACGAAGAACTAGAGGGCAGTGCTCGGCTCATATAAGAACCTGTATTGTGGGAGCATGTGAAGACGTTAATAGACATACGAGGAACTTTCTATGCATGGGAATAGGTCTTCAAACGCTGCGTGCACGAGAATTGCATGAAAGAAAATTTGTTCAATAGGCAACTATCCGAGTCCTACGTCTAATGATATTGATATATATATATATCCAGAAGGAATTTTACACTTGACCATTACCGCTGAACATTGCGACTTCCGCGCTGGTGGACCGACCACGATGCAACCAAAACTGATTCCATAGCCTCAGCCATAATTTAGTTCTCGGCGGCGTATTTTCCGGACGGTAGCTCCCATCGTGATCTCGTCGCGGTGTCTGACAACCAGGCATATTGATCCTGTAGACTCCGACGCAACCTCCTTCAACAAATGTTTGAAAGTCCCAAATGGCGTGAGAAAGGCGCGTAGAAGAATATTCGACTTCGAAGTGCGCAGGAAAGGTGTCAAGTTTCTTTAAGCACTCTCGCCATGCGGGATTATCCGGGCGAAGGAGCGCGAGGCGACGAAGAGCCGAAGGGGCCTTGTTCTGCATGAGGAGAACTGCGCAAACGGTGAAAAGATTTTTGGGCTCGAATAGGTACGCTATAGACTGCTGAAAAGTCTCAGGTTTCAGTACATCGGATTCCAACCCGGCGATAAACGCATCCAAAACCATTGATAAGGCACGGTGAAAGTATAAATCACCACCGCGTAAATTCGCTATTGGATCAAGAAGACGCCCAGAAACAAAACGAGAAAAAGTCTCATTCATCACGGGAGGGAATCGGAGAAAATAATGGACTAGTTCAGCCGCTGCTGAAAAATGATCAAAGGTTGCGTCGTCGCGAGAGTGAAGTGGTTCATCGCGTGATGTCCATGCTTCATCCTGGAAAGCAATTCGGACAAAGTTAGCTGCCATGATTGGTGTGCACCAGTCCTCAGGAAGGAAACGAGGACGAGGAGACGTCGAATTGAGCACCCGAAGAAATACCATCAATGTGATACGCAGGTCTTGACTTCGAACAGAAGCATCACCACCAAATTCGTTGTTTGAAATTAGTGTATATAGGAGCTTCAACACTCCGTAACGATTGCCGTCTAGTTTGAAAGAAGGAATTTCGTCATGCAGCTGAAACGAGTCGACAGCCATACAAGTCCCGATGCTGCGAATAACACCTCCAAACAAGCTATCAAGAGAAAGAATGCGGCCATAGGTTTTTTGGATGGAGGGTGAGCCAGCTACCGTCAACAGAGAACATAGCCGGGAATTCGTCAACGGTGCCATGATGATAAACACTGTTCATAGCATCTGCATGCCTTTGAAGTATGACATCAGCTACGTATGGGTACAGATGAGTGTTGACGGCTGTCCAAAGGGGTACCGCACGATGATCTGTGCCGGGAACCGAACAAATCTGGAGTCCGTTCGATGTCAATACTAGAGGAGGGGTGGAGCCGATACGCCAATAAGATAATGGAATTGCATGGAATAACCATTGGACAAGATCTTCTTCTAAGATACTTGCTGCTGGAGCAGATTGCCCCATACAATGGGCTGCAGATCAAGGTCCAAGTCTGTCGAGACTAAATTTCGGATCTCTCGAAGATAGAGTTGACCGAACTGGATAGACAAAAGTTCTGCGTAGACATCTGGAGATAACCGTTTTCTTTCCACTTCGGGATCCGGTGTCGGTATAAAGAAGAACTTGTCATCCATGGCAAGGCGCAGGCTTGTGCGAATAAGCCTATCAAGTTTGCCTTCCTGAGGATGACGTGGGCAGAACACGACACTGGCGTGGATCTCGCACATCTCTGATATTCCTTTTGCGCGGTGCTTTAGAGATGCCACGGACTTCAACGGTAATGCACTAACTGCCTCCACAACAATCCTCTGTACGGCCGGATTGGAAGATGTGCAAAATAACCAGGACAAGGCACACGCGTCTGTTTCATCGGCACTCAGCTTAACAGCTTCACGCTCTGCTTCTCGAAGTGTACGAATTGGAGCTTTTTCGGGGACGGGGACTGGTGAAGATCCAGACCAGTATCTGGAAATCGGGGAGATGACTGAAGTGAAGATGCCGTTATGGGCAATATGGGAATAAAGAGGGAAAATGTACTGTGACAACGGCGTCTTGTATGGGCACGAGGGGTATATGATGGGCAGGAAGTTGGCGACGAAATACGCAGTGAAGGATATGAATGTGATAGACCCAACGATGGATGCAATCGACACTTGGAGCGGGACTAGAAAAACAACTAGACCAACTACAAAGACGCAGAGCGACGCACTCATTAGGACAGGTAGTAGTCCAATAATGAAAGCTACACGCCACTGCTGTAGTCCCATGTATCGAAATTGACGTACACGGCATCTATCTCGAGGTGTGCCCGATGGGACTGCCATGTACTGATGGATCCATTGTTTGGTCAGGACAGCGAAGAGTGCGGTAGTCAGGCTGAATGAGAGACTGGTGAACCACAGCCCATTGACTAACGAATCGGAAGTTGTAGGTCGAAATTCTGAAAATGGAGTAAGGCTTGAACGAGGGACGTCGCTCACGAGGGAGCCATTGGCTGTTGCACGTTGGACATCGATGAGCTCGAATAGCAGCGACGCAGTGACTTGGCCATAGTCGACTTGTAAGCTTTGGGACGTCTGAGCGACGAACGTAGTGACCACCGCGGAAAAAAGACCAGCCTATTCATTCATTAACGAAGGGAAATTAGATGTATTAGTAGTTGTACTCACGAAAACTAGCAGAACATCCAATCCGTCCCTCCATCCCTCCACCATCTCGATGTCAAACCCAGCGCACTCTTCAAGGTATGTTCTCCATACCCTGGCCGCAGGTCCTAGCTCTTCGTACCGCTTGTCTTCGGGGAATTTCTGTTCGTAGTCGAATGGATCACTCCCTTAAATTGAAATGAGTTTCGCGACGGTAAAGTAACAATCAATAACACCCACCTTTAACTAAATATTCACCTCTCTTCATGCCCATCGATCCTCTCTTAGATTTCCTTTTTCTGCGTGACGCGTAGTAGGTCGAACTTTCGGCCTCAGGCTGGCGCATTCTTTCAGCAGAATTGCTCTCGTTTTTATTGTCAGACATATCTTGGGAGGAAGGCATGGTCGTGAACCAAGGTGGTAACGCAAGGCATCAACGCTGCATGGCATTGAAAGAAGCTTCGGAGAAATCGGCCCGTAAGTATCTCTAGACGCGGTTAGCATTGACGGTTCTGTTCACCATGATGTTCAGCTAATCCAGTGGTACAGGTTATTCATTAGCTTCCCTCTTTACTGATTTTTCCGGATGTGCTTACGACGATAAATGGTCTCCGGTTGGTATTTTTGTACCTTGCGCTCGTGTCTGCCCGTGTGCGTTGCCGCCTCCGCCGCATGAGCTCAAGAGCTTCAGGCGCAGTGGGTTACTGCGTGAGCTGATGGCGGTGTCAACTTCTTTATGAAATTTAATATGCCTGCGAGAAAACAGCGAACTGAAAATGTAGAGAAACATTACATAATTTGAACATTGACAAGGACATTGTTGGCTATTTACCATTGTAGGTGCAGATGTATCCGATCTTCAACTACTGACGTTCCCCCAATAGTATTCAAAGCCAACGTAGATTACTATGTACAACGACATCGTACATTTCCCGTTTTAGGACAAAAAGAAAAGGATCATGTTGGAGGTTCTAGGAGGGCCACTCAATCTGACTTGCTCCTGGGAGATGACCCGGATGCCTTGTTGTAATCATCGGACAAACGGTCGTATTCAGCTGCCTGAGAGAGAGCCTGAGATTTGAGAGCCTCAAGGTCTTTGTTTGCTTTCTCTAGATCGCGCTTCAAGGCATCCTAGAGAAAATGAGCCTGGTGGCGACGACGGAACAGTGAGTGGCATACCGATTCATCTGCTTTCTTTCGCAGCTTCTCCAGCTCCTTCTTCGATGACTCAACATCACCCTACCAAACGTTCAGACATGCTTTTTCAAAGGGGAAAACGGTGGCTCACATTGCCTTTGTGTTTCAACAGCTCCTCCTGGGCTTGGATGAGATCGAGAATGATGGAAAAGGTACGCGTAAGGACGAGGGATAAGAAGAGAGTGAAGCCGGTAAGATACACGTTTCTTTGAGAACTGCATTAAAGAAACACGTCAGACCACGTTCCACATCGAGTCAGCGAACGCACTAGAATTTACGCGCAGCAAGGTTGGTCTCCGTGCGCACGTCAGAAACACCTTGCTGGCCCGACTTTGCGAGCTCAGCTTCGGCGGTAACACGGAACATTCGCTGAAGAGCGTCGAAAAATAGAATTCCAACGAAGATGAAAGATATCTTCAAGGCATAGGCGATTTTGGCGACAAACGGCGAGGTGGATAGAAAGTTGAAGACACGCTTCTTGACTGTGTGTGGCAGAGGCAACACGATGAGGCAGAAGGTGCCCATTTCTGCGGCGAGCAGGAAAAAAGTAAGGGAGTAGTAGATGGTCATGGTGAAGATGAAAGAGAAACACGTAGACGTCAGGCTGTGCAACATGGAGTGTATGGTAAGAGCGTGACGTCACATATCCATTTTGGGGTCACCCGGAATGGGAACAAAATTAGGACAAGAATTTCAAGAGCATATAATCGCATAACTCTGGAATTTCGTGTAGTGAACTGTACTGATTCGAAATAATTCCTGACTCAAAATACTCCTCGTCATCTTAATTCGGTCATTGCCGATGAATCACGTGCATTGCCATATATTCTCTCCGTGACTGTGACTGACGACGCGTAAGATGGACGTGAACATCAAGCATGCTGGCAAGACACACAATGTCGTCCTTAATCCCGAATTACCGCCTCTGCACTTCAAGGAAGCGATTTACCAGGTCACTGGCGTCCCAGTGGACCGCATGAAGGTCATGGTAAAGGGTGGCGTTCTCAAGGTAAGGCCCTTGCAAGAAAATTCTTCATCGATGTTGAACTGATTAGCTGCTAGGATGATACAGGCTGGAAGAAAATAAATCCCAAGGCCGGACAGACGTTCATGGTTATCGGTGCCGCCGGAGAGCTTCCCAAGCCGCCGGAAAAGCCTATTACTTTCCTTGAAGGTGCGACAATATTGTCTGAATTTCAGCGACACGGTTTAATGACTATCTCGCTGCAGATATGGAAGACTCTGAGCTTGCGGAAGCATTGGCGATGCCTGTGGGCCTCAAAAAGTATCTCTTTTCATTCTAGCGTTATCATATCTTTTCACTGAACTTCTTTAGCTTGGGAAATACTTGTTACATGAACTCTACAATTCAAGCTATCCGAGCCATACCACCTCTTCAATTGGCGCTCAACAAGGCAACCACTACACCACCCCTTGTATTGACCATTCGCGACCTTTACAACAGCATGTCTCGCACCACGGAACCTGTCGTTCCCTACGCCTTCCTGACCGCACTTCGGCAAGTACATCCCCAGTTTGGCGAAATGGACAGAAGCGGCGGCGGCGGGGCACCTCGTGGATTCGCTCAACAAGACGCGGAAGAAGCTTACAGCCAAATCCTCAATTCCCTGCGTGAAGTCCCCGACTCGGATGATCCAAGCAAGAGGTTCCTTGATCAATGGATGGCCGGTGAGATCCAGCGGGTGACGAAGCTTGAAGTGGATCCATCAGAAACACCTGAACCTCCTACTATTACCTCCGAGAAGGTCATGAAATTGGAGTGCCACATCTCAATTAATACGAATTATATGGCCACTGGAATCTCCAACGTGAGTTTTTGTACTATTTCATGTAATCATAATGTGCTCATGTCGTCGGTAGTCACTGAAAACGACTCTTACGAAACACTCCCCTAGTCTCGGACATGACGCGTCCTATATCCAAACCACGCGCCTTACGCGTCTACCTACTTACCTTACTGTCCACATGGTTCGATTCGCGTGGAGGGCCGATGTTGGACGCAAAGCCAAGATCATGGTGCGCGAAATCCCCTTGTCTCTACTACCAATCTAACTTGATGGGACTGCAGCGTAAAGTCAAGTTCCCAACCACTTACGATGCACTGGAAATTGTATCGGACGACCTCAAAGACAAGCTCACGAAAGTGAACCGACGTTTAGTAGAGATCGAGAAGAGTCGAGCGGAACGTCGGAAGGCTCGAATGAGGCGCCGAGGCTTGGCCGGTGGTGCGGAAGCTCAAGCCATGGATGTTGATGACGGAGAACCGGAACCAGTTAAGAGAGCCAAAGAACGGGAAGAGATTGATAATCTTGTAGATCCCGCCATCAAAGCCGATATCGGAGCAAGTTGGAGTGGATTGTACGATCTCGTGGGTAAGAAGCTATCGTGTCTTATGTTGAATCACCTGGCTAATTACACATTCCAAGCCATCGTAACGCACAAAGGTGCAGCTGCAGATTCAGGTCATTATATTGGATTCGCTAAGAAAAGCGTGTTTCACGACCCATCATACTCTGGAGGTACGTCAGTTTCATTTTACGGGTGGACATTTGTTTATGTTTCTGTACAGCTCCGGTCGCTGACATGGACATCAACGCTCTTGATACCATTGAAGCTGATGAAGACTGGTACAAGTTTGACGACGACAAAGTATCCGTGTTCCCCAAGGACAAATTGGGTACCCTGGACGGCGGTGGAGAAGATTCTTCAGCGTACGTTCTGGTGTATCGAAGTCGATTCGTGTAGAGATAGAAACCTGCAAAATTAACATGTGTACAAGTTATCGTCATGCCTGTAATTGGTGTAATTGCAAACCGTCTCAACGGAAACTCGTGACCCTCGGAAAACACAGCGTCATTTGTTCGTTGTAACATACTCCGTTTTCTTTGACTTCCATTTGTCTGCTTCTTGTTACCATCACGGTCGAAACTCCATACTCAAGCAGAACTAGCCCTTCGGGATCACTTCGAGCTGATGGACCATTCTGCGTTTCCTCCGGAAGACTATGAGCACACGCAAGTCGGCAACCAAGCACCAGGTGCACAGCTACTGGCTGCTGTTGGACAGTGGATCCGGTATCATCACACTGTTGTCATGTTTTCCCAGGATTATCTATCTTGACGAGATGGAAACGGAATCATCGCCGCTTTCGATAAATACTTACAAGCTGACATACGGGTTCCTATTCCACCGCACGTTCAGTGACCACTATCTTTTCCCACTGAGAATCTTGTACTACTACTACCCTTGAGGAGCGTTGAGCGCCCAGCATCGATGCCAAAACTTACACGCGAGTGCGGGCCGCCGCTGTTCTTGTTGACGTGCGCATCGCTCTTTATCTCCAGCATCGTTTTCATATTTTCCATGCTGCATTTGGGATATGACTCGTTCTTCACGATCCCGGCGGTCTATGCGGTCACCCTCATTTACCATGTGACGATCCTCGTTTTGGAGCACCGGAATAGCGCCCGCTTGGATCCTGCCTCGTCGACGACGCTGGGGAGCATTATTTGCGGGGCGGCGGTGGGCGCTATGTGGTTGGGGGCTTTCACGGTCGTTTTGTTGGTTACGGTCTTGTTTGGGGATAAGGCTATTGGGGAGGATAACGGGGAATTGTGGATCCTCATTGTACAATGCTTTATAGCGCCTGTGGAAGCGCTCGTCTTGTTGGCGCTTGTCTTACGGAGCGCTCAGGAAAGACGGCAGGGGGCGTCCGAGAGCTGGAGGAAGGTCGAAGAGTAGTCATCTATTTATTCTGAGGTAAGGATGTTCTCTCTTGATGTGTTCCAGAAGGCTGATTTTGTGCTGTTGGAAGATACTCCCGATGCAATGATACCAAGAACTGACAATTTATGTACTTTCAGTACTTTCGTTACCGGACACCATTCTACAGACTCGGAATACCCTTTATCTCAATGTCAAGGAAAGCATGTTGATACCAATCTTACATCTGCTACAGCAGGACCAACTGGAAGCACACAACCCCAGGCCATTTTTATCGTAGCCTACAAATGACGGGTTCATTTTTGGACTCATCGTAGACTCGTGTATTCTTTGTAAGTAGACTGGGTAAAAGCTGTGCTCTCCAGCTCGATGCGTGGTTGAGGGATCTTACACATTCAGATCCTCTCAGAACCATGTACATCAAACGGGTGTTAGAGTAGGTGATGAGTAAAGGGGGAGATGGTTTTGAACCTGTGCTTTACATAAAATTGATATGTTGAAGTGGGATTGAATAATATTGGAAACGGGAAGAAACTACACTGTTCCACCACCTTACTCAGGCCTCATATATTCTTAGAAACGTCGAATTGTGATCAATACTATGAGGGATCACGACTATTTCGCAGGGGGGTTCCGAGGGTGTATTTAGTGCTAAACAGCGTGAGATAGGTCAAATTAGCTGCGAATCTGAAATCAACCTTACTGGGTGGGTAAACCGCCTTACCAGTATGATATAATCACTTCTTGGTCCTCCCTCCCTTGCCATTGCCCATACAATTTCAAGAGCTGTGTTCAGCGGGCAAAAATGTGCTTTCGTACCAGTACAGATTGCTGCTGTTGATGCGAGGTAAAGTGGGGGGCTGTCTCAAGTCTCTTTTACCTTTGTTGATAACCCTAATATTGATCACTGGTCGACTAGCACACGCCAACGCGCCTGGAGCCTTTAGCTTTGACACTCAATCCTACCTGGCGACGAGGCTGAAGGTAGAGCACCTATTTCGCCCCAATTCGCGTCAGAAAACCGGTCCTAGAGAAGCCCTTTGATAAATAAACAAACGTTGAATAGCAGCTGCGAATATGATCCACAGAATGCCCTTCAGTTCAATGTCAAGGAAAACACGTCGATACCATCTGATATGTGCTACAACACGACCAAGAAAGGGATATAATACCAACTCGAACAACTTACACCCACTATCATAGAAACAACTCCAAGGAAATAAATGATTGGCATCTTCGCGGCTATGAGGGTGCACCGTTGGGTGCCGGTGTTTCTCCAGAGTCTAAATCGTCGGCAGAAGGAACAGGAGCAGATGCGGCAGCACCAGTAGCCACTCCCTCTTGTCGCGGAGGCGCGACATCCCTAAAAAGATATGAGAGAAGAATATTCCGTGGCAGGCTCAAACGCACCATTTTATCTGAAATCGCGTAACACGGGGCTTGAGACTGATATCTCTCACTAGCCGCTCGAACATGACTTTTGATGGGGGCGTCTCTTTCATCTCTTCGTTGTCGTACTCCGTATTCTGATAATATCCCACTCGAACAAACTCCTGGTCCTTGTACGAGCCGGTTAGGATTAGAGCTGCCACTCCAAGGACATCTTCTAAGGGTATTTTTGAGGGATCCGGGGGAGAACCTTCGAACTCGAATGAGTTGACGCCGGATGGCACAGGTCCGACAAGACAATCGTCAAGTTCTTGGTCCAGCTCTTCGTTGCCGGGAGACGAGACATAGATGAGCTTCCATTCGAGATCTGACAGTGAAATGAGCCTGACATGTGCGCGCCTAACGTCCTGGATGCCACCGTACCGTCTTTCAGTGGTGCTATGCACTCGAAAGTGACCCGAAAGCGGTACACGTCGGAAAATCGAGCTGGATTGTTGATGAATTCGACGTTCTGAAGAGATATCAGATACCTCAAAGCTCTGTGAAAGATAAAACGTACTCGTATCGTAACGATGGACATTCTGCTGGTGTTGGTAGTGGTGGTAGGTGGCAAGAAGTTAACGGCAGAAAAATCGGTAGACGCGAAGTGAAATCACGTGCTACCCTTTTGTTTTCGTCGTCCCAACAATCTTGACCATCTACCACCACCATCATCGGCGACGAACACGGTGGACGACGGCGAACGACGTTGACCACGACGACGTCCTCTTCGCTTACTCAGGAACGTCATTCTTCCTTAACCTTTACCTGCCGGTACCTATTCTGTCGACCCCACTACCTACCACCCCAGCGCCAATTCGCTTTCATTATCTCTTCACGAGCTGTAATTCAAGTTAACGACACTTCCTGCGATATATTCGGTCTCTGTATAGAATGTTTCAATAGTTTTCGTCTTTTGTCTCCGCATTTGTCACTGTAATTCTTGCATCCACATCTTATCATGACCAGTCTGGGCGGGCCTTCAAACCCAGGCGTTGACGACCATTCGCGTGCAGGACCACCACAGGTATCGTCTAGCCGTAACACCATGCCAGATCTGTCCACTATAGTACCTGTATCACCCTCCTCTTCCGCGGCACAGTCACCTACGTCCTCGACCAGCTCTTCTCAACTACTTCCCATACCGACGCCGTCGACGAACGTATCCCAGGCCTCGTTTGTCTACCCAGACTCCTCTGACGAGGGTATGAGTCTGGACCCGCTGCCTCCCGACATTGCTACCGCCGACATATCCATCGCTCGTGAGTGCATTTCCTTTCATCTCAGTGCCTTTCAAGTGTTTCTTCAGAGACTGACGAAGGCCTTGTAGCCGATGGAAGCTTTGTCGAAACATCATCCGGACCCGCAGCACGCGAGCTCAAGCGTCGGTATGACCAGCATTACGGTGTAGGGAAGGACGTAAGGTCACCATACGCTATAACCGCATTCGTGAACCAACACGGGAAGCAGATGTTCCGAGTTGGGTGCGTGTCCTTTGCCTATCTCTAAGGATTACAATTGACGGCGCCTTATGACAGCCATCGGGATCAGTCAGCCCCTGCCGCCTCAGCAGCTGAGGTAGAATTTACTATTCAGCGCGCGCCGGCGCAGTCTCATCCAAGTCGGTCAAAGCGGCGTTCACGAATGAGTGTACACGCACTTCCGAATTTGTTCAGGAATAGTAATTCCACAACGGCGACAACAACGACAACGGCAAGCGGCATCGGACCTAGGAAATTAAGGAAGACGCGATCGATACCGGACATGGTTAATCCCCGTACACAGGACGGGGATCCTGTGCTTACCCGCCCATATTCTAATAGCGTCACGTCGGTTGATGCTCCTCGACTCCCGGAAATTGATGCCTCCCTTAATAATGGAGGGATGGACTTGTTTGGCAAAGTCATGGATTGGACGTCCTTCGATTCTCTCAGTACATCTTCACAAAGCTTTGAGGAGGACGTCGACATTGGTCCTTCTGTTCCATCCATCCCTGTTACACCTATCATGCGGCCTTTTGGACCCGGAGTACAATTCGATTCACCGCGAAAACCCGGTCTCGACCGCCTCCGCTCGACTCGGCTACGCGAGATGCAATCCTTTGAATCCGGTTTAACAGCTCGCCAGTCCGAGTCTCCGAGCAAAGTAGCATCTACTAGCAATGTCCCGATGTCCCCCATACTGTCGGAGCTATCCTCCGAGCAGAAAGAGCTCACTCGCTCTCCCTCTGCTATCCGCCTACGACCACTCGATAATGCGGAGTCTGAACCGGATCCATATATGCCTAGCCCTGAGACAGCCATGCATTCTCGATTTTCGACTGACGTTTTCGATGTCATCCAGACATATCGAGGAGTTCCGCTTATTGATAAGCTCTCCGCTCAGGCTGAAGAAACGGCAGTCATCAGGTTGACACTGTCTGAAGGCAATGTAGCTGCACCGCGGAATGATCCTCGATTTGTCATATGGGGCGAAGTCAGGCATGATAGTGACGATAAGTCTGTGTCGCAAGGCAGTTATTCATCTGCTTCGAGCCTTTCAAGACGCCGCAGTCGCAAGGGGAAGAGTCCAGAGGTTCCCCAATTAAAGATTTCGCCAAGGGAGGAGCTTCAAAAGATTCTTGTCGCTGCATCCATTGAACGATGGATCGCACAGCTGACGAGCGAATTGAATTACGATGAATTACTGGACTTTTTCCTCACTTACCGCACTTATATCGGCGCGGTCGATCTGTGTCATCTTCTAATTTGTCGATTCCATTGGGCCCTTCAGAAGCCCACTTCACCGAGTGACGAGATGGTCCGGAGAATTGTCCGCGTTCGGACATTTGTTGCGTTTCGGTACTGGCTCTTGACCTTCTTCACCGTAGACTTTTTGCCGAATCGGGAGTTGAGATTACTTTTTGCGAGTTGGTTAAATGCTTTGATCCGCGATCCTATACTGGAAAAGCATAGTGATGGCCTGGTAAGCTTCTTTCCTTACTTCCTAAAGGGTCACGAAACTCATCTTTTTCTGCCCAGAGTATTGTCAAGAAGTTGAAGAAGATTGCGCAGGACTGTAAGAAGGCGCATACGCGTACATCTTCAAAAGCGAAATCCCGACCGACTAGCACTAGTGTTCAAGAGAACTCTTCAGGGAAACAAGAGCATCTGCTCGGGGAAAAGTTTGCTGAGGCAACTAAGAAGCTCCATAGGGAGGAAGACGATAGCGAGTTGGATTTGGACTTCGTACCAGAGGATGACGATGCGCCCATATATGCGCCAAACTATCCACCCAATGCACATATCAGCAACATTCATCTCGGCCCCAATCTATCACCCTCAGGGACCAACTCAATAGCCTTTTCGTCATTATCTATATTGCCACGACCGGATCACATCTCTGGTCTCGGTGAAGAAGCCGCCGCTCCGTTCGTACAAACCTCGGCAACATTACCTATCCATCACAACGCATTATCTCGCGCGTTCGTGAAAACAGCTTTGGTGAAGACCATTGGCCGTCTTGGTCGATGGAAGCGTGTCTTGAACAATAGGACAGCGCCTCGAACACCTTTGGATGCATACACCACCCACGTGTCCGCTTTTGATTTGGAGCTCTCAGTATCCCGGGATCTATTAACTGTTCAAGGTGGAGTTGAGCAATATCTTAAGCTCATCGAGCCACCACCAGATAATTTAAATGCAGCCGCCTCTTCCAATACCATTACGCCCACTTCTGCAGCACCGACTAAACCCGAAGTTCCTACTCCACCAGCACAGGCTCGTGAATCTTCTCCAATTCCCGTGCATTCATCTGTCGATAATTCTGATGAAGTCAGCGCGCCTTCTTCAGGTTCGCCATCTTCAATATCTATGGAAAGGCCGCCTTCCTACATCCACGCCGGCACTCCTTTCTCTAGCACCTCTTCGATAGATGATGAAATGCGCCCTCGAACACCGGAGGCTGATACAGTCTCTCTGGCGAGAACATCTTCCACGGACTCTTTCGGTGAGCCTCTATCCGCCGATCGGAATTCAGCCAAGTTCCCGGCGTTCCAGTCTCCTTGGCAGTTTGACGTCGTATCGATCGACGAACTGGACCTATCAGACACATCGTCTGAGCATGCTGCCGGAAGTCCTGCTTCACCCCCCGGTTTACGAAAGCCTCTACGGAGGTTACCGCTCCGCCGAGACTTTGAGTTTGTGCGTCGATCAGAAAGCGTTTCATCGATGGGAATAGTATCGCATGAATCGATGGCATATGAGTCAGGAGCGAGTTCGGCTGCCTCGTCTGCCTCTGGGGTAGGCCTTGGAGGGGCTATACAGCAGTGGCAGGTTAATGCACTAGTCGACTCCTTGAGTGATGATGGTGAAGCAGGTGATGTAGAAGATGCTCTGCGTCGCTTGGAGGGTCAGATCAATCCGAAACGTCAGCAGGAGAAGGCATCTAAGGTAGATGGTTGGGTGAAGACTATGCAGGCTCGCATGGCGACTGGCGATTATGAAGATGAGGAACCACGATTCTCAGATGAAGATATCTATGATGACGAAGCTGATGAAGATGACGGCAGCGAAAGGGGCGACGATGAAACGGGGGGTTTACGTTCGCCCTCTGATAATCTCGACGCTGCCTCCATTGCTTCGTCGTATACGGATGCGGAGCAATTTTTGGCCGCTGATAGTCCTACGGCTGACGTTGTAACGACTCCAATAGCAACGCAAGCGTCGCATAGTATTCCAAGTCCTGGGGAATCCTCTTCTCAACGTTCTCCGCAAGCAAAACCTGCTCCCGAAGACGCGGTTCCCTTGGAAATCCTCCAGAGCCGTATGCCGAATGATATCCCATCAACTTCGTCATCTAACGCCGCGACCGTGTCTTCTGCAAGTTCTAACGCCCCCAACACGAATCTTCCCCGTTCATCTAAGTTTGCTCCCCATGAAGCACCCCGCTCTCATAAATCGTTCATTCTTAGCTATACCGCTGAGAGTCTTGCTCAGCATTTCGGTATGATTGATCGAGAACTGTTCATTAGCATCAAATTTGAAGAGCTCATCTTGGACGATTGGATTGGTCGAGAGAATGAGGTAGATGTACTGGATTGGGCTCAGTACCTCAAAGACAGAGCGAGATGGAAAGCAGAAGGGAGATTCCCTGAGAAGACGAGTGCGCTCGCGGCCGTGAGAGCGAGGTTCAATCTGATGGCTAATTTCACGGTCTCCGAGGTTGTGTTGACGCCCCCAATCGAGCGTTTAAAGGTGGTCGCTAAGTTCCTCAAGATCGCCATCGTAAGTGTTAATCATTAAATGTGACAGCGTCAAATAACCTTATGTGGCACGTTTAGAAATCGTACGAAATGGGTAGCTATAACACCGTCGTCGCTATCGTGAGCGCCTTGCAAAGTCCTTGGGTAAAGAGGGCTATGAAACGTAGATGGGAGAGCCTCTCGCATCAAGACAAACGCACCTTCGATGACTTGAAGACGTGGACGACGAGCGACGACAATTTCAGGCACATCCGACATGCAGTGGACACCATTGTCGACGCGAAGCCAATCGAGCCATCTTCACATGCGCCGTCCATCGTCAGTGGGGGTGTCGGGACGACGAATGGAAACGCCCATACAACCAATGGGGACAGAGCTAGCGGCGCACCAATCAAAGCGAGACCTACGCATTCCACCCATAATAGCACCAGCACGTCATCGAAACAGGCCGATATTACGGAATGTATTCCTTTCATCGGGATATATCTTTCTCAGCTGACAGAGTATTCTCATCTGCCCGATCTGATTGACCCCACGTCTCCCACTACACCTGTTTCCATCGATTTGGTCACATACAGTTACGATGCGCTCTCTCACCCTGAAGTGTTCAGCGCGCTGCAGCCATTACCGGCTGGGATACAGATGGAGCCGTTGATTAACGTGCATAAGCAACGGATGCGGGCGAAGGTAATCAAGCGTCTCGTGGCTGGACAACATGTGGCTAGCCGCGTCGGATGGGGGGTAGAGAAACGGTTATTCCAAAAATGTTTGAGGTTGAGAGGTTTGAACGACGAGACGCTAGGGAGGGCGCTAGGAATGTATGACCATCCTGGAAGTAGCGGTGGAGCGAAGGCCGACATTCAGGATTGGGGGTTGCACATATGAGCGATTTTGGAAGGGTAGGAAAGTCATCGTAACGACATGTACGACTAAAAAACGGACACCGTTGATTAACTATTTCTATGACTCGTTTGCCTTTGTTATCATTGCTTTTTGAATATGTAACGTACATACTCTTAGAATTATCGCTTTCATTCGTCTTCTGTCATTATGTATTCTAGGTTTTTGTTATCTTGAATACAAAATCTATAACTTCGTTTATAGGATTGGCTACTTTGGGAAAATTGGACCTATACCGGCTCACAGGCTGTAGGTTGCTTCATGCAGGAAGGCAGCATCCGTTTAGCACTCGTCTGCCATCGTGCAGGTCCGTGCGCAGTTCGAAAAGAAAATAGCAGAACTCCAGACCGACTTGTCCGAAGTTTCCTTCAACAGCCTTCAACATGCGGTACCGGCGCCTTTCGCAATGTTTGCCTGGTAACACCATCTCCCGTGGACATGCCTTTCTCTGCCGTATCCGACAATGCAAGGGAGAAGAAACCTGCTGAAGGAGAGACTCAACACAATGACGAGGAACCTGACGTCAAGAATTCGACCTACTATTCTTCCCGCAGAAGAAGGAAAATCCCGACTTCCCGCTGATTCTCTCCGCTTCTATCACTTGACTACCGCTTCCTCCTCCTCGCACCAAAGCTTGACTGCACATACCAAAATATTATATATCGGTTCTACGGCGCTATAGCTTGAGGTCCCTCTGTCGCGAATACTATTAGGGATGCGTTTTTCAGCACCAAAGGTGCGTCGCAGCAATGTTATATATTATCATTCCTCTCACTAAAACCTTGTACTTCTTACAGGATATTCTCTACAACTTTCATTTGTGTGTGAAGTCGCGGCCGGTGGTGAAGAGTGCTGCTACCCGCTTTCGTTCGGATCCACTGAAAGAACGCCTAACCAACCCTCAACAGTCCCCACATTATATAGCACGAAATCTCGTCGTCAACCGACAGAAACTCTCCTTCCGAAACTGCGCATTCATCTTCTCCCACTACGACGACCTGGTATCCAAGTTCCATGAGCCTTTTCTCGTCTTAACCATCCCTCCATCTTGCTCGTAATCTAAAGTCCCCGAGATAGGAAAGGTCATATTCAGTACATCGTATATTCTCTTGTTGCTTACGACCAGGTGAAGCGCATGATGTAGCCCTGAAACCGGGCGTGCTGTACGCACTCCGACTTCCAACGACAGGATCTAAGCGATTGATGAGGCAAGAGGGGAGCCTGGCAAGAGAACGACGTTGAAGACGAACGTGTACAGACATGGACGATGATAATATCAGCGCCCACATAGCCGGGATGAGAAAGGAGTGTGAGACTGAGAGTGAGGTAAAACAGGGAGAAGGATATACACGCAAGCGTCCGGGTACTTTACTGGGGAGAAAACATTCGATGAGTTCGTTTGGTATGTCTGAACTTGATGGGTCGTTGTGGACAAAATCCTGACAGTCGTTCCTCGTCTTGACCATACTCGATATCTCCTCAAACTACCTCGTCTTGTGCGTAATACACAAGTCCTCAAGATAGGGAAGAATCATCGAATCGAGTGCATCGTACGCACTCTCATTGCTTACGAGCAGGTTTCAGCGGGTGATGGGGTATGAGAAGACTCTGGCGGAAGAATGAACATTGATGACGTCGTGGAAGATCAGCGTGCCCGGCTGATAGCCAGAGTGACGATCACAGTGTCGGCAAACCAATTTGAGGCTGCGAAGGACCAGGGAAGGAAATATACGCGAGATCATTGGAGATGGAGGCCGAGCAAGTTACGAGTTATTTGTAGCTTGCGGCGGGAACGGCCCTTTCGACAGTCGAGGTAAGCTGGTTTGCATCTTTGGTGGAGGCGATAAGCCGTGTAGAGTCGCTGAGCGCCCATTCTAGGTGGCGGATGGAGGGGAACACATTGTAGAGTCGGCCAATGCTGAATGTATGTACGCGAGGCACCCGGAGAGTGTCAAGCAGAGTCGAGAAGATCCACAAATCGGGCATCTCGGCACAAGGTTTGTTGGAATACAATGTTCGAATGACGGGGTGGCAGGGACAGAGGGAATGATGCATATGACACGTCTGGACCCCCGGATATACTCCAATGCACGCCCAACGTACGAATAGCCCATGCACATTGCAGACAACAGCGTCGGCATATGCGCAACAAGGTCACGCCATGACAAAGACACCACCCCAGAGAACGAGCGGTTTTTGATCTTTGAATCGCATGGGACCGTGTTCCAATTGACGAACATTAACAGTAGTTCTGGTGGAAGATGGTAGATAGGCGCGCACAAAGAGTGATATTTTTTGAGTATGGAACTGGGATTGTGTGTAGGTAGCGCTTGTCGGTGACCTGTGAATGCATGGAGCGATTGAACGGCAAAATACCATGAATCTTACAGCATCAAGTACCTTTGCATAGGAGACTAACGGCCGATAAACGGGGCAAACAAATGCGCCCGGCTGTCGACTCCCTGGTCGGAACCTTCCATCCGTTCCTTGAATTGCACAGGCGAGGACTACACGTAGTCGTCAAAGCGATGAAGGTGTATCATACGAGCAAAACTTACTTGCAAGGACACCAGATCGAATTCCAATGGATTCAACTCGACATAGACGTTAGACATCCTGCAAGAATAATATGAGCTGCGTAAAACCAACGACTTGACAAAGGTGCACGTACCTCTTAACCCCTAACCACTCGCTGTACGGTTCACCGAGCCACACCTCAAACACTGAACCCCTCCCGTCCTTCGTTTATCATCTAGATGCTGCCACCATGTCCATCCCTACAACTCGACCAAGTCAAGATGCGTCGCATCAGAACGAACGACCAGTCTACATTCGGCGAAGCGAGGAGATGGAGAGGGCGTCGCGGTAGCAGTGATGATCAGGAATGTGCACCCCTCGACGTGTGGAAATGGGTGGGTCCTGCCTGTGATCAGTGCGTTGTCCTACCCAGTTTCGAGAGCCTTCTTAACGCATTGCACTTCTGCCCTGCCCTCGTCATCCTCCGTGAGTGTTCCATACCGGTAGGAAAGCAGTTACACCATCTCGGCAAAGAATTTGACATCCACCGAGCTCATAGTGACATGGATGTCATCGTATTGGTGTTCAAGGAAAACCGGTGGAAAGGCGAAGCGCAGGAACTTGGTTATGGTAGATTAGCCTCATTGCTCTCTTCAAAAACTGGATACTGTAGTTCGTTCACTTCATAAGCCGGTCGGTAGTTTTCAAGAGAGCGCAGATGTCATAGTAGCATGGAAGCAAAAAGGAAAGAAGCACGTTTTCTCGTTGGCCTCGGGTCCGCCCGTGCACACGTCTTGTTCAGGACAAACGTCATTAACTGCTTCGGTTGGTTTCGAATCTCGATCAAGGGTTTCTCCGATTCCTACACCTATATATTCCTCTGAAAACAGCACATGCAAGTCGAATCAGACTTTGATCCCACAACCATCATGATGTATGAACCTTCTGCCCACATCGTCTACACCAAGGAGTTTATCCACAAATGCCGTGGTTATCCATTTTGGCATCCAGAGCCAGATTCTTTCGCACCGGATGAGTTCAAGATACGGGGCATATTTCCCGGAGATGTCGGGATCCTTAACAAAGATGGAGGCTTCGACTTTCTCTTCAGCATCTTCGGGAACGCTGATGGCCTAGTCGTCGGAAACGCACCTCCTGGCCTTCAACCTCTCCCTGTACCGGACCAACCAGAGGTACAAGCTTATCCGGAGCTCTGGGATGTTCTTAAAAGTCAGCACGTATCCTGCAGATACGTTTCAGATGTTCCTGCTGAGAGTCTTCCCGGGTGAGTAGATATCCATATTCGTTATTTCATTTTCTTATCTTGATGATAGCATTGTGGATACTGGCGTGGCCTTTGATGTTAGTATCTCAGAGGATCCCGCAGCAATCTTGCACCTTCCAAATTATTCGACGAGGTATGAAACTATGAACGAAGCCTTCTTTCAAAACTACGCTCGACAATATGGAGTATCATGGTACAACCATGCCAACAGAACCTTGGGTCGGAATGTGCGAAACGGTTTTTTGTATCTTGTAACCGGGTGCGACAAAACAATGACTTGGGGAAACGCAGTCATCAGAAAGACAGATCGGTCTTTCACGTTTTATCTCAAGTGTACTTTGGAAAATGTGGGTGGGGAAGCAGTTAAAGTTGCAAACAAGTGGATCGATGATGCTGGAGTGGAGGATGGCTTATTCCCGAATCCTTACGTCCGCTACCCTTACCCAATAGGTCTTCAGAACCAGTGCATATTCGCACGAGGTTTTACCATATCGCTTTCAGAAAAATTGTTCCGCAAAACGTGGCTGGCAGTTCCTCATTTCATCAAAGGCTCCCCCGAAGATAGGCTTCCCTCTTTCGATAGTAACAAGGTACCCCTCCCGCCGAGCGACGGAAAGACTAGATTTTCGACTTATCTTTCCTCGTTCATTGGTTCCAAGACGGTACCAAACAACTCGGACTCGGATCAGAGAAGGACGATGGCAGAGAACGCTGACTCCCATGGATCGTTTATCGCAGAAGTACCTGAATTTCCACCTCTGGGAAACCAGGTGAGATTTATGTCGATCATTTTCGGTACATACTGAAACCAGTCTTACATTTAGGTCTTAAACCCTTCGACGGTAATGAATGAATACTTGTTGAGCAAGGTAATTAATTACACATAGGCAACAATTCACGTTGATACATACTATTCCTCATAGGACCCTTCCCTCGAGATAGTAGTCACACATGACAAAGAGTGGATGGACGTCATGAAAAAGTACGAGAAGGATACGTACTTAACGGAAGAGGAGCTCTGGTGCAAATTAAAAGATTCATTGGATGCCAAGCTGTCCAGCAACGTTTATCAAATTGTGAGTGTTTATCTCTGACCATAGAGGTTGATACTAATCAACACTGGTTTAGCCCTTACAACTGTACAATGGATCTCGACTTTGGGCCATTGACGCATATTCAACTTCGGCGACCTTCCGCTCTTACCTGAATATATGCATACCTTCTCATAGGATTGCCCTCACACGGGCTCTTACCGGCACGCATGATCTCGCTATCGAAAGAGGTAAATGGGTTGGCCTCGCTCACCAGTGGAGACACTGCAGAATGTGTCATGATGACATTGAGGATGTCATTCACGTCCTATTCATGTGCCCCCATGACGCATGTGGGGAGCGCCGAACGTCCTTTCTCAATATCATCCGGATCACCTATCCTGCTCTGATGGGATCGTGCCCTCCCAAAATCCTTCTTCATCGATTGATTGAAAATAAAGCCTAGCTAGTGGAACCGACCGGTTTTGTGCATGACATGTTCGTATGGAAATCTGTCCCACTATATTGATCCCCCGGGATACTGCTCTATTGCGCCAATCGTGTCTTCTTGAATCCTTCCCTTCACTTCTCATCGGTTCCATGCGTTATTGTTCTCACCTTGTTTTTCTTCTTTTCCTCCTTTTTCTCGTTCTTGCCTTCTTCACCTTCCCGTCGCCGAGGCCGTGAGGAAGTACTCACGACGGGGCTTGACCAAAGCAGCAGAGCATGGGATAGGTTCGGTCCCGTAGCAGTTTCTCATCTTACTATCGGTTCAGGTTACAATCTGACAAGTATATACCTCTGTAGTACGGACGTCGTTACGTTTCTGTTAAGGAGCCACGACGACTAATAAAATCAACTTCCTTCCGCCCGCCACATGGTTATGTATCGGATGCAATGGAAATGGCCAAATATCTGATCAAAGTTCTCGGTGTCCCAGAAGATCATATTCAGTACCTTCCGGGTACCTTTTCACAGCCATATTCTCAGTCAGACACGGCTACATCCATTCCCCTGAAGACTTCGTACAAAGCTATCCCGGCGTCGGCTCCAAAGACAGCGATTCTTCCACCCATGCTAATATTATCAAAACACTTCTTGGTTTACTGTACGTGACTGTACAGTAGCAATGCCAATATGAGCGTTACGGGTGGCAGACAAAGAAATTGATTACAAGCAGCCTCATGTGGCAGTCACACAAACTCTTTGGTGAGAATTCATCATCTTCCATTGCCCAGGCTGCTGTCGTTGCTGATCACAACTCCTTTGCTAGAACCTAACATCCATGTTTAATACTTCTAACAAGAATATCAATGTTTCCGTTTTCCTCTCTCGTCGTTACTTCAATATGTATCGGCACGGAGTCTGTATTTATAAACGTCTAATGCACTGCAAGATGCTTCACCTGATGGGTTTCCCCCCAATGAGGAGCGCCACGACCATACAAAGAGCAAGTAATCCCACAGCCATCAAACGCCGTCCATCCTTCGGCAATATTATCGTACATCTAGAAAGGAAGGAACGTTACCAAATCACACGCTCCACAAAAATTCATGTACCAACCTGACCGCCCACAATAGGTAGTAAAGAATAACAGACCTGAGGATCCGATCGCGTACGCCAGATTGCTAAGCGCATAGACATGCGCATCTGGGCCGACGCGATTTAATACGGGGTGCAAAATAATCCAAGGTTCGCATATAGCCAACGCCATCAGCGGTACGTGTGATAGATGCACACTCCGTAAGCACCAAAGTCGCAAGTCCATAGGTGAAAAGGGCTAGCGTTATCTCTTTAGCACATGCCGGAGCAGGGGGAAACGACTAGTACTCACTTGCACAGGCATAAGCTGCGATAAGTAGCGCCAGATGCACATCCAGGATCATCACAAGGTACTCCGGCATGGCAGAAATTAGAGTAACCATGATAACTATGGAAACACCAAAGCGATCTGCGAGCCAGCCTGAAATCGGCGGGGCTGAACAAACATTGTGGGTCATTGAAAATCATGATACAGTTGAACTTGTTTTGTGCACCAAAGATAGTGGGAATAAGAGAAGCCAAAAGAACAAGGCCAACTTTTGAAGCATCCAGGCCCCAGACACTGCTGAGATGAGAAGATAAGACGGTATTCAACATGCCCTCCAATATACTGTGAAAAACAAGTCAGACGTTGTAGACCGGAACAGAAGAAGGGCAGAACAACGAACGCGATTATAGCCGAGACGCATGCTGCCCCTAGAGCGCAGTGTGATTGGAGCAAAAAACGAAAACTTCGCACGAACGAGATTCTAGCTTCGTCCGATTGAACTGTAACTCCAATCTCCTTGTTATCTAGTTCCTTCCTCTCTAACGGTATATGATCCGATATTACCGAGGACGGCGGGGGCCTGGATGCGCCGGTGATGAGGAGCCTAAAGACCAGGTCGGGCAAGGAAACTATGACGCCAAAAATGAATGGGCCACGAAGACCGAAACGGGCGTATAACGGCCTGGCTATTGGGGTTCCAATAAACAGACTAAAGAATAGTTGGTGCTTGATTACTTAAGGGAAGAAAAATGTTGGATGCGGACCCAAGGAGTACACCGGACATCACAATGTCAAGTTGTCCTGCCACCATGAGAATTAGTAAGAGGCCAGTGAAGGCGACATACTACCAACAACTCTGGAAGGACTGCGATCACACCTAGGAGGTTAGATATGAGCATACATTGTAGACGCGATATCCATGTACTATGACTTACAAAAGAGCTGAACCAACAACCAACCTTGTATAGTTTCCTGCGCCCTGAAGACACCGCGCAAAACACATGACCCAGTAAGAAGGTGCCTCCATGAACATGATTTGGGAAACTATGAGCGTCAAGACACCAGTAATGTAGGGAAGCCTTCGCGTGTTGTACGCTTCAGACCATAGAGCAACGGGCACAGAAGCTGTAAAATCAGTATTTCCAGTCAGATCACTTGCAAAAGTTAGTGACAACGTACCTATGATACCGCCTGCACTCTAGCAACAAGTTCAAATCAGGCTTAGCTAATAAAGAAAGGAAAAGGGCCATACATATGCGAAAAGAAGCCACCCATTCAGAGAAGCGACGTCCTTGTAACCGAGGGCCTTGAGCTGGAAAGGGACCATGGGTATACTCAAAGAAAAAATAAGAACGTCTACGACGGTGCCTGTGTTGTAACAAAACGTGAGCTCACATTCAGAGAAGCGATATAGACTGCACCTAGCCACATCACGAACGTTACGAACCAGTACGACGACCTCCATTTCCAACCCGAATGGTATTCTTCGGCTTCTCCGTGGTCGGCGCTAGGAAACATGCGGTTGAAAGGCTTGAAGTTCGTATGGGATGTGCAGCCTTCAGGGAACCTTTATACCCCCTACGGTAGGTACGTTTTACGTCCGTTAACTGAATAGCAGTCCCAGATGTTACGTCGCCCTAGATAAAAGAAGCGCCGATGTCAATAGTCAGGCTCAATGTACGAAGGCGCTAGACCCACAAGCTAACAGTGTAAATACAGAAATGATAACCGAAACCAGGCTTAGATGGCTGCCAAGCAAGTAAAACCTTAGAAAAAATGTATGTGAGGTTCCTTCTTATCAGTACGGCTACGTACGCACCTTCGGGTTGCGCATGGGCAGTTCCGACTTCTCTCCCCGGCCTTCGTATTCGAGGTAGTATGAACTAGCGGCGGATCGACGAGGGATGTAAGATTCATATTGTGCCAAAAAAAGAACATCCCTGGTCGCCCTATAGCATCTTTCACCCTCAAACGATAGCAGAGAGCCCGCCTTACCAGCCGCAGGTGTTTGAACTCTGGCAACGAAAATGCTCGCCTAATACTGTTGACCGTTTCGTGCGCCTTACTCTTTTGCCAAATTGCGGGCAACTAACTTGGAATCTTGAATTCGTAGCCAAAACTCGGATTGGGCTATGCCGTCTCGTTCCTCATACGTGGACTGTATGTGCAGACCTACGATACTAAATGTCTGATACGCCGGAAGAAGCTTCGCGCGATGGGTTTCTCTCCTATGTAGAAGAAAGCCATTACCATGCCACATACATGTAGTCCGGCCGCCATTAAACAGATATCCATCCATCCATCGGCGAGGTTATCGTACATCTAATAGTCGGCATGCCAGTAAATTGCTTATCCTCTAGGACATATGCACCTATCTGACCGGTCAAAACAGGTTCAACTAGATATGGAGTAAGTCAACAAGATTTAGCGCTGCGCAGGTGACAAACCTGTCAGTCCAATCCCAAATGCCCAATACAGAGCCCCATAAACATGAGCGTCTTGATCGATGGGACTTAGTACCGCGAGAAAATAGTCTATGAACCACTTACAACCAACACCATCAATGCTTCATGAAGCAGACGCAAACTCGGCCAATATCGGCGACAAGACTCCAGACCCGAAAAAGACTAGAAGATCACCCATTACCCATTAGAGGAGCTAAAATGAACGAATTTGACCACTTACACGCGCAAAAGTACACAACAATGAAGAGTGACAAGGGCCTAGCTATGCTCAGGATTACGAACCATGGGATAGCCAAGGCCGAGGTGATTACGATAACTACAGAAACACCTCGACGGTCTGCAAGCCAACCAGAAAGAAGTACAGACTACAGATGGATTAGTGAATTTGTACTTCAAGAAGGGATACGCGTTGACGTACCAATGAAATCAGAAATGGTAGGAGCCAAGAAGACAAGCCTGAGGCTGACTTGAGAAACATTGAGGCCCCAGATACTGTTCAGATGAGACGGCACGATGGGTTGCATAAAATTATCTAGCATGCTATGAAATACGTTCAGGGACAGTAAGCGATAGAAAGTAAGGTGCAAATCCATGGATAAATGCGAGACACATCCCTGCAACCATACGAGGCGACTGGAGCATGAGTTGGAGAACCTTCACAGGCGAAGCCTTATTCTGCATTTCGCCTGAGGAAGCAGTAGTTCCTATATTGTTGCTTCCTTCTCTCACTTTCCAACGGGATCTCGTCCGACCTATCAGCAAAACACAGCGGCGCGGACGCATATCTGACTGGGATGATGAGAAGCCAGAGAGCCAGGATAGGCAAGGCGGCTATAGAGCTAAAAACGAAGGGCCCGCGAAAACCGAAATGGGTGTATAGCAGTCCGGCTATTGGGGTCCCAAGAAGCAGACTAAAAATACTCGATACTTCATTTAAAAGGAAGAAAGGGGATATTCGCACCCAACGGGAGCGCCCGACAATGCAATGCCCAGTTGCCCTGCAGCCAGACGATGAGAACTTCGCAAAAGACCAGTGTAAGCGACCTACTCCTGACAACTTTAGAAGGACCTTGATCGCACCTGAGGGAGCAAGGGGTAAGTGGGAACACAATCTCAGGGTACTATAGCTTATATAGCTGCCGGACCAATGACCATCCTTGCTGCACTTCCTGCGCCCTGAAGGCACTGCGCAAGACACATGACCCAGTAAGAAGGTGCTTCCATGAACATGATTTGGGAAACAATAAGCGACAATATACCAATAGAATACGGAAGCTTTCGCGTGCCGTATGCTTCAGACCAAATAGCAATGGGTACAGAGGCTGTAAAAAGCGGCACTTTAGTCGGGGCGAAAGCGAAAATTTGCAGAAAACGTACTCATGACATTGCTTCCACCCTAGGAGCAAGTAAGCGTCAAAAACGGCAACAGAGGACGAACAGGGTCATACATATGCAAAAATAATCCATCCCGTCAGAGAAGCTACATCCGTATAACCGAGTGCCTTCGGCTGGAATGGGACAACAGGTATACACAAAGCGAGTGATAGACTGTCTACAATAACACCTAGTATTGGTACAAGATGTCAGCTTGTTCTGAGATAAAGTACAAACTTTACCTAGCCATACTACGAATGTCACAAACCAGTACGACGACCTCCATCTCCAGCCCCAAAGGTGTTCTTGGACGTCGGAGCGGGGAAACATGCAATTTGGAACGCTTGAAGTCTGCATGGGACGTGCGCTCCTCAGGCGAACTTTATACTCTTAGAGGAGGCATCCATAATCGCTCGATGACTGATAGTGTAGTCCCAGACAATACGTACATCAAAATGAGAGAGGTATGTGGAGTACGAGTAGAACCTTGTGTAAACTGTATGTGAGCTTTTCTCTTGGCAGAATGGCTACGTACATACCTTCGGATTGCACATGCATCTTTCAAACTTCTTCGGCCTCTCTCTGACCTTATTGCCACCCTTTGGCAGCTCCTCACTACCTTGGCGCGTGAAGAGGTCGTTGGGAAAATTGACGAGTCGTCGCGGCTGCACAAAAGACAGTTTGATGCGCGTATATACAAACGGAGTGCCTTCATTCTCGGCTTGTTGCCCTCAATGCAGTTCGACATTGCAGCGAAGGTGGATAAAAGTATTTAATGATATTAACGTGCCAGTGGATTGAGCGACGATGTGGTGGTGGAGTGAAAACCATCAACGGCAAAAACGGATCGGATTTCCGAGATGAGATCATTTTTTCTTTTCCCGTGACTACCACGCGTCTATCGCGTCTATCGTCGGCTTGCTACATAGGAGGGACAGTCACAGTTCCCTCCCACCACCTAACAGCTATGGCTTCCATCCATGCAGCACAAGACGGAAACGATGCAATCCCGCAAAGACAACCCAATGAATCTCAAGGCAACTCAGAGTCACTGGATGCTGCTGCTGATTCTCAGCCTCTGGCCTTGGATGAGAATTCGCCAGCTTATTCCGTGTCGCAATGGCGCCAGCTGTTTCATAGTGTATTTGACATGCAGCAACATGTATCCCAGGCTGGAGGTGTGTTGATCTATCTTTGTACTTTCCATATATCTCATTGAGAGTAAAGGAAATAACATGTTCGATTATGAGCAAAGATTCCCCGAAGACAAGCAGTACGAGGAGCTGGGTCCATTTGCAAGGGTATGGAGAACATACATCGAAGAATGCGCGCCATTTGATGCTGAGATGGTAGAGGGATGGAGGGACGGATTGGGTGTTCTGCTGGTTTTCGTGAGTACGAATACTAATAAATCTAATTTGCCCTCTTTAATGTATGGATAGGCTGGTCTTTTCTCTGCCGTGGTCACTACACTTGTCGTACAGACGTCCCAGAGACTTCAAGTCAACTATGGACAAGTCACAGCATCGCTATTGTTCGAGCTCATTGATGTCCAGCGCGCAGCAGCCAATGGTTCCAGTGTGAACGACGTTCCTCGTTCAGGCCTCACTCCATTCTCAGAATTCCGTCCTACAACTTCCGATCTGTTGGTCAACGGACTATGGTTCACCAGTCTCTCATTCAGCCTGACTACCGCCCTCCTCGCTGTACTGACGAAACAATGGATCCATCTGTACATGTCGATTCCATCAGGCACACCTCAAGATAGATGTCGTGTACGTCAGTTCCAATACATGGGACTACAGCAGTGGCGTGTAGCTTTCATTATTGGACTACTACCTGTCCTGATGAGTGCGTCGCTCTGTGTCTTTCTAGTGGGTCTAGTTGTTTTTCTAGTCCCGCTACAAAAGTCAATTGCATTTGTTGTTGGGACTATCACATTCATATCCTTCACTGCATACTTCGTCACCAACTTCCTCCCCATCATATACCCCTCATGCCCGTACAAGACGCCATTGTCACAGTACATTTTCTTTCTGTACTCCTACATTGCTCATAGCAGCATCTTCACTTCAGTCATCTCTCTGATTTCCAGATACTGGTCTGGGACCTCACCAGTTTCCAAAAAGCCCCCGATTCGTACACTTCAAGAAGCAGAGTGTGAGGCTATTAAGCTGAATGCTGATGCAATAGACGCGCAGGCCTTGTCCTGGTTGTTCTCCATGTCATCCAACCCTAGCGTTCAAAGGATCGTTGCAGAATCAACCGGCGCTTTACCGATCCGATCTGTGAGCTCTGTACAGCGTTATGCCGAAGGGCTTCCGAGTGTCTGTGCCTATACACTCCAAGAACTTCTGGATGATACTGGACGAAGCGATGCTGTTGTTGACACAAGCAAACTGGACCGCTGTATACGTGCGCACCTTCGTTTCCCGGTTCCAGGTGCCTCGATCCCAGAGTATAAGGGGCGGGGCCAATTGGCACCGGATCTTCGTGCAGAGCTTTTGGCTGCTAAAACATACGGGGACCATCGACAAGTCCGAGACATCATTGTAGATCATCTACGAACCCCTCCAGGCAGTCAGAGTCTACGCCTGCAACCTATAGTATGGGGTTGTCTTCTTTCTAAGATCTTACCTTTTGACCGTGAAGTGTATGAACTTATGGTTCATACACTTCCGATGACCTACTGGCGTGCCGATTTTGAACGTCCTCCACAGATCTATCCATATAATCCATTACCGATGTCAGTGATACCCACAGGTGACCGTCCACAGACTCTTGCCACAGCCATCTCCGAATCCCTATTCGTGTCCATCGGCGATATCTTGCTGAATCCCCCTGCGGATTTTGAATTCTCGGCTATTGTATCCTATCCTCCTATCACATCTCAGCAACCTACATCCAACGATCACCGACTTTATTTTCTCTTGACCATGGCAGATTCCCCTTTGACATACAGGACAAGTGCACTTGATCCCTCCCGGGGAACACTTTTCAGCGCCATCCTGCGGGGGATTATGGCATACATGGGTCTTGAAAACTACAGAATCCATCAACCCCAAGGTGGCATGGTCCCCATTCTCCTTGACAGCGATCGCTCCGCCATACTAAGGCTGCTATACCAGTTGGTTTCATCAGATGACAGCGGTGTTAGCAGCAATTCAATGTTTGCTCAGGATCGGCGTCTCACCTTGATCGCTTTCCTTCGGGTTGTCAACTGCATATCCCCTCGCCCTCCTGAATATAGCTTTCCTGCTAAGTTGACTGCCAAATTCTTGTCCATTGCTTTCCAGGATGATACATGGTTATCATATGCCCCAAACGATACCACCACAGAAGCAGCTGAACTCGTCATTTTTCTATTTGAGCATCCACGCACCATGAATGCGGCTTTTGATCATTTTGTTAACAAGCGGCTATTCGACTCTTTTACTAAGAACTCTAACACTGCCTCCGTCCCCACCACTACCTGGGGACTATCAGAGATCATAGGTGCCTTTGTCGCTGGGCTGTCGTCCGGGAAATTGGATCCTCAGGTACACCAGAGATCTTTGGAATACCTCTACAAACCGAAGTCCCTCCACACAGCTTGCGCTGTTCTTCTTGTTATGGATAACATCACTGCACTCCATCAACTTGCACTTTTGCATCGTGATGGCGCTGTTTGGTCTCAATGTTTGCAGAGCCTTCAGGAAGTGGTGCAGAGTCTTCAAGGGGTGGTGCAGCGTCTTCGTGTGGCGCAGTGTCTTCAAGAGACGCGGCAGAGACCTCAAGAGACGCGGCAGAGACCTCAAGCGCCTGTGATCTCAGACTTTACTAAATCAGCATCCAATTCCCGCACCGTAGCCCAGCGCATTGCAGATCTCGAGACTTACATAAAACAAATTTGTGCAGAGCTCAGAACGGACAGGCACGAGTCCCCACATGCGACTGGTTCGGGGAGACAATAAATCGACGAAAAGTGCTTGGTCAAAAGTGAAGTCACTTCCCTTTCTATTGCGTTGGGTCAGGCAACTCCGTACTAGAGAAGCTCTTCCCGAGGAAGTAGCAATGTCTAGCAATGTTGACCAAGTTTGATGACATTCGAGAACAGACCGATGTTGTGGTGTACAAAGATCATTGTGATAGCTCCTTTATTTTACTGAATCGAGCTACTTGTATCAGGACTTAGATAATCATGATAATGAGTTTGTCGTCGAGGCTCGGAGCGGTCTTTCGTTTTAATATTTAGCTTGCAAACAGTCCACCTCTTTTAATTACATATCTACTACACTCGAACATAATTACACCTTCAGTTTCCTCCCTTGCAGGATTCAGAAAAAAAAAGCCAGTCTTGGGACTTGACCAAGATGGCTATTCATTATACTGGGACCCCACCATCATTTCCCGGGACTTCCCCAGGTTTGTCTGAGTCTGCCTCTTCAACCAGAAACCATCCCTGAATCCTTCGAGCGCGTCTGCACTCCGCGCGGTGAGATGCACCTCCACCGTTGAATATTTCCCGCAAACTGAGGTTTCCATGCCAAGGTTGGCTCCACGAGAGTTTGTACTCGGAATTCGTGCTGATTCGAAAACTGCAAAAACATAAGTTAAATGTAGATCGTGTACCTGGTTGGCGTCGAGGACGACTTGGCTCTGCGGTCCCATTCCGCTGATTTCTAGCCGGTCCTGCAAGAAAATCTGCTTGAAATTCGAGCAAAAATAACAGAAAACAACCCAAACTTACGTTTAACTTTATTTCCTTGACGCGTGACGTTGACTGGGCAAGGATTCAGTCTCGAAGATATCGAGATCAAACTCGAACCTAGAATATGTAAACATTTAGCACGGCGATATCAAAAATACGCAAATAACAACTTACCGTGAAAATCTGACATTGACTCAGAACCGAGAATAGCCGGAAAAGCTTCAAGGTGGGCAGCTCCAAATCTGGCTTTCGGCTCCGCAAGGTTCGCATTCTGGGAAAATCCATCTTTGTCCCTGTGAAAAGGATGAGGTCAGCATCAATGAGAAACTTCCTACAAAACAACTTACCTCGCTCGCCGGAAGCCGATACATGTACTCAAAGCCTTCGTGGCACATGTTCAAGCTTAGGTACTAGAGAAAGACGTTAGTAAGGATGTGAAATGAAACTCGTAAAGTGAACGTACCTTGGTCGCCAGCGACAGATACACCGTCTCGGAGCAAATCTGTTCCTGGTTTCATTTTGGTATCTTCAAGCCAGCGTCAGTGCGAATAATAGTTTAGCGAAGACTTGCCTCGCCTCGGCGGACAGAAATACGTCGTCTTGAGGCAATCCTGGGGTTGGTTGAAGTTCGGAAGCTTCAAGACAATGTTAGTTATGATACCAAGTTATTGACTTAATCGAAGACTTACCTCGCTCGCCGGATGGCGATACGTCGTCACGGGGAAATCACCGTGCTAATTTCTGTTCGGCTGGTTCAAAACCCCGGCATTAAAGAAAGTAGTGACGGTCACTGAATTGACCGTTAGTTCAGTCCTGGAACTGGTAGCTGTAGACCAAGACTCACCTTGGTAACGTAAACACGCTCTGCTCCTCAAACACTATGTGACTTAATATGTTCAGGAGACCTAGAGGTGATAAAACGATGTTAACATCACATCATATGTTGTCCGTCACGAAAATTCGAGGCTCGAGGCCATCTAGAGTGTTAAGGATTCAGCCAAGGCATGAACTAAAAAACACGTACCATAGTTTTTTGTTGCTAACAAGACTTTAAATTTGAGGTCATGAGCATAACAACACATGACGAAAAGGAATAAAACATACCGTGGTGGTGGTAGGAGGAAAGAAATCACGGTGTGCACTATGCGGTTGATCAATGTCATCGATCCTGATATGGGCATCAACGCTCAAGACTCTTCTTGCATCGAAGACAAGTGAAAATAAAGAGAATGTGCTGTCGCCGTGTTCAATGAAGTGGAGGAAGGAATAGTGAGGGAGGGAGGTGAAGGGAGGGTCGTCGCAGATCAAAATTGCACTGTGGAAAATCTGAATGCAATAAGGGACAGAGAACTTGGCACCGCTGAGATCTTGAGATCAGCGCTCAGCTCGCGATTCTCATTTTCCACTAGCATACATTTCTGCCCAGAGACGATGGTCCCTGGGATGCGACAAGACGTTGGCACGAGATAATCCTCCGGTAATGCTATCCTCGTCCTGGGAGGTGGTGGCTTTCGCTCATAGGTTGACGTGCTGACAGAATCTCGCGCGGATGGGATCTGGCTAACAATGGGGTAAGCAACGAGCGACGTAGGCTGAATGGAAGGACTCACCATCCACGGCATATACGCCGCTTCCCTTCCTTCTACAGCTACTCCCATTATGCCTCAGAACTTGAGCGCAAGCTACGGCTATAGCCTGGGACACCACATGGAACCCATCCTCCGCGTCTGTTTTGAGTGAACGACACGGTATCAGCACCAATCAAGCAACATCGAAGAAGTTTTGGGTGTGGGTGGGTGCGTTATTGCCAACATGAGCAGCGCACTCTCTGAAGCAATAACATATGTGCATCATCATGCCGGGGATGATGAAGGGATCTGGGGATGCGAAGCGACAGCAGTTACCCATTCCCACCCTGAACGATGCCCACTAGTCTCGCCGCCACCCGAACAAGCAGATCCTTCCTCATGACGGGTCATGGCACGCTACTGGGAAGGTTGTCGCGTTGATCAGAAGAAGATCGGGCTCTCAGTCCGAAGGGCAAGTTCTTCTGAATGTGGAGGAGAGAGAAGACACCCTCAGGCTGACGTCCTTGTGTCGGAATTGCGTGCGCCTTGGCGAAAGAGGGGAAAGTGGATCGCGGGTTGACGCACTCCTGCTGAGACGTAGCTTGAGGGTCCACACAGATGAGATTCCGGAGTGACATCCAGCTAACGAAAAGGTGGGTAGTAAACGATGTAGACTGAGTGGGAGGGACTGTCCATCATCGGCGCACCCTCCCTTCTACAGCTGCTTTTGCCACACTCTGGAGCTTTCCCTATGCATCGTCTGGGGACAAAAGATGTCCTCTTCGCGTTGCAGAAGTTGACGCGTTACCAGGGTGTGCTTCCATGGCATCTTCGTGACCGAGGGAATGAAGATGGCACTACAGAGATGGTGAGTACTATTATTGGTGAAAGTGAGCAAGAAGACAATACCTACCATTCCTCCTCCGATAACCCCTCACTTTCCGTTCAGACAAACATTCATGACGCCAATGTGCCATTCCCCAGATACTAACTCAGGTCGTCCAGATTACAGAAAGCTTCTTATGTCGTCGGCGAAAATATCGAGGGGAGCATGTCTTGCACTTGAGAAGTCAGCTACAAACCTGAATATTTGAATAGTAAATCTCGTATAAAACCAACTCACTAAATGTTCAAACATCTTCAGAGAGTAATCGAAAGCCTTGATGTTGACAACGTTGAACGCTAACGTTGATAGGTGATTAATCGAAGCCAAGGGCAGGCCATGCTAAGTCGGAATTGTTCGTGTGTTGACGCGCTGTGGGAAGGGTGAATTCCATCGTTGAGAAGAGTGTTGCGCGCGAATGAGGTTCAAGGCGTGGGAAAAGAACCAGGACCCCCGTTTTCGCTTTGATAACCTCGTCCTCGCATTTCTAACGCACCCTCAACGTACGTTATTCGCCGACAGTACACTGTGTCACCGAAGAAGCTCGCCTGAAACATATCTTCATGAGGATAGATTTGTTGGAACGGAAAGCGAGTGCAGGTGGTGTATCAAAGGCGGGAAACGGTAGGTAGTTGTCTCGTCCACTTTGATGGGTACTCAAGTACTCACCGGCACCCTTCCTACAGCACCATCTTTTCACGGCGACGTATCCTGAAAAGAACTACATCGGCGTGTCAAGGCGCGACGCGACAACTTCGATACAGCACTCTGCTCACCTTCGGTCCTCGCCAGCGACCTCTGTAGAGTCGTGTTACCTCCGCTCCCATCCAACAAGTCTGTACCCTTAAACGTTAAACGTCTGGGACTGATACAGTACATCGTTGATCCACCAGGCATTTCGAGCCTATTCTGATTTCCTCTGGGAGTGAAAGGTCGGAACAAGACACTGGTGTCATCTTGAGTGTTTCAACGACAAGAAACTGCGGTTGAAGTCATGGAAAATGTGGTGTGTATTCCTGAAGCTGCCCACCTTTACCTATACTCACCTCCTCCATAGCGCAAGGTCCTGACGATATCATGCAATCACCCACCGCGAGCGAGTCCTCTGCAACGCGGAGAGGATGACATCTTTTGTCGCCAGATGATAGAACGGGGCACCAAGGATTCCTACGTCACTGGTTGCTCACACCCTCGTTAGTTGGATCTCGAACCTCCCATCCCCTCGAGCTATGACATCACTCTCACCCTACTCACTTTTCCACCACGTCGTCTGTATCCCTCTTCCCGAAAGGACGGTGACATACATCGCTTCAGAGTACACGGCGACGCATGCCAGGTAGTAGCGTGTATGCAGTGACCCGTTCTCGCAACCTCCACTACCTCCTATTCACTACCTCCTTCGACTTCTAACGCGACAACCCATAGGAGTAACGCCTGTCCTTGACGTCAATTCTTGGTTCCATCCTGGCAGTGACACCATGTTGTTCGCTCGGGACGGAAAAACATTTTGTGACAAGAATGTTGACCGGACGACCTCTCGTCTGCCCCACTTTGATCATTCCCTTCCTCCTCCGCCCGGGTTTGTGCACGCACTATTCCATCTATTTTCTGTTTTCACTCCCTTACCTCTGCTTTCGTCTCATCCCGTTTCAAAGATGATTATAGCTCTCTCTCTCACCTCTGGGTGACATCTAAGCGTCCCGTGAGTAAGATTTGACATGTGTTATCCATTCATTCTAGCTGATTTTGTTTTTATTCAACCTTCAAAAGAGCGCTCAAAATCAAGACTGGTAGTTCAGATTTCCCCCTCGCGTGTCGTATGGAAAGAGGATTGAGCGCACGGGAGACTCGGATGCTATTAGGTAAGTTCTCTTGGCACATCGAGCAGCGTGTACATCCTCACCTGCTTTACGCAGTATCATCTCTTCCATCGATACATTCATGATATTCCCTCGACGAATTCGTGCAATGAGCCTTGCGAGGACAAGCTCTCTGCTGATGGAAGGACCCGATTTTGAGCAACGTCAGAGTCGCTGTTAGAGGAGGTGCCATACCTAGGAGATGCGATAAGGAATCACAATCTTAGGGAGAGTTCTAAAGATGTGAACTTTGGGGGTACGTCCTTCCCTGCATTCAGGAACTCTCATCCCTCTCACAGCCCTACTCATCCAGTATACATTGCGACATGAAAGCCGTGTTTGGACAATAGGGCATATATGAGGGCAAGCTGCGAAGGCGATGAGGGATGAAACTCGAGATGAAAGCGGAGGAGGCTGCGCATGACATTGTGTCTGGCAAGATAGGCGCGGAGCCATCTCATGTCAACTCACTCGTTTGCATAGTTTACTAAATGGTATGCCATCTTTCTTTTGGTCGTGTTGATCCTGTTAACGATGTCTTCATGCAGGCTCATCGATAGCGCCAGATAGCAAGCGGTAAGCGGGCTGTGGTTGAGGGAGATGTATGCGCGTGATAAGTGGATGCAGACTCATCTCGGTTAAAGCTGGTCCACCTCAGACCCCCTCTCGCCCTAAACACGATCCATCCTATTGTCCAAGTCGCATCAAGGAGAAGAGTTACCGTGATCGTCACATCACTCGCCTCTCTTTCCTCTGACTGCATTGCCGCAAACACGTCCCTCCTTCCATCTGCCTCCGCACTCAGACTGTATTCCTCCCTTCGACGACTAGCCTCAATGATTCCTACGCCGACGAACCATAGGAACGAACGAAGAGTCCAAGATGGAAGACTGCAACACAAATGAACGAAACCAGTCAAGGCACGGCATCGACGTCGTCGTCAAAGGAGAAAGCAGCAGACTTGGAGAACAGACGTGCTTTCGGGCTTGGGCTTGGGTGGGGAGACCTCAGGGTGATCGGCGTGTGAGTGGTTATGGGAGTAGTAGGGTGTGATCGACCCGCGCGCGCACGCATATGATCCAAGTGGGGGACGCGTGCTCCTCCTTGTATTCGAATGTATGTCTATCCGAGCTCTTATTATTAATGAAGATGTACAATGTTAACCAATTTATATTCAATTGAACTATATACATTCATGCTAGACCATGCTAGACCTAACGAAGTGCTACCAGGCTTTAGCCCAAGCTTGAGCTAGCCTCCTTCAATCTCCAGCAGGCCTTCGTTAGGCATATCTGGAACACAAGCAAGTCGTCAGTCATTCGTTCCGGTCAACGAAAACAGATTCCTAACCTTACAACGCGAACACAACACGTCGGCGTTGCACAAGCAATCTATCAGGTCGACAAAAGCTAGCGGCTGTACAATACATACCGTGGTAAGCCGAGATTTAGTCATTTATTTACTCTGTCCGATCCTAGAACGATGCAGTTCAGTTGTTAACCAAAGCAGTGCCAGAAAGAGGAAAACTTACTACTCTGTATGTATCCGTTCTTCCAGCACACGGCATACTACCAAGCACACGAACATACCTTTCCATCGACGAACCCTTCGACTACCTTCACGGGCTTCCCTAGCGAGTTCACTCGCGTTTTTTGCCTTCATCTTCCTGAGCTCGTTGACACCGCTGTGCAGCGTCGACTCTCTAACGTGCGGGCACTCAGGCTAACGGTAAACTAAACTAGTCTACTCGCCTTCCTACCAGTAAGATAACGTTCGTTAGTCAACGGAATCCGCGAAATGACAGGTTTACTAACCTTGTGAGCTATGCAAGATACGTTCACTGCTAAATCAAACCAAAATTGTTAGCACAAGCTAACGGGAAGGTAATCTGAGGCTTACCATCGAAAGTGGGAGCTTGTTATGGTGAGGATAGCCGTGAATCCACCACGAATAGCTTACAGAAGAAACGAGGCATCTGGCTGGTGCTCAGAAACACCGCAAAAGGACCAGGGAATCTGTCACCGTTCATTCAGGCAAGGATTAGCAATAATCCACATACCAGCCATTGTGTGCCTGTTTCCTTTGAGGCGCCGTTCATTCAATTCTTAAGTACAATCAGCTAAGCAAGATAAAGAAGAAACGGTACACGTGCCACTACGAACGAAAGCATCATCGTACTTTGCGCCCTTGCTTGTCCTAGAACTCCCATAGTGAAGCCAAACAGAAAGGAACGACGTCTAGGCCTGCTCTAAATCAAAGAGGAAGGATATCTGTTAGAACTGGAGCATCAGTACTAGCCACATAAGAAAGCCGCAACCTACCGCTCACATCGACGTCGTACAAAATTATGCTGCCAGCATGATGAGCTTGCGAGTCGCAGTCAGGGGAGGAGAGATCGAAACAGGAGACGAGGAAGGAGACGAGAGGAGGGAAGAGGGAACAAACACAGCCAGGGATGCTGAACTCTGACCGTCTCCGCCCCTCCTTATAACCAAAACAATTCATGCGGAGACCCAATCCACTTGGAGACGAAAACCGCCAACCGGTACATTGATGGGGGGCCCGACTCGGTGAAAATCAGGGTCTGAAAAAGACGTCATAGACCTAGAGAAATACTCACTCGACGAGAGACGAGGTCGAAGGGGAGGACGGGCGTGGTCGCCGGCTCGGAGAATTCACATCAAGATGACACACGTTCGGAAGTCAACGTGATGAGAGGGAAATACTTTCATTGTTTGAAAATCTCCGGACAAGAATTCAGAGCAATCGAAATAAAAAAGAAAGGCATTAACGGGGTGGGGAAATGAACGAGCCCGGGGCGAACTAAACAATCATGGTGAGAAGGAAAGTTGTAGGACTTGTCAATGTCCATTTCGGGACGCGTTGTCCACGTGCGACCTCACTCCTTCCTTTCTCTCTCCCATCTTCACGCTCCCTCCTCCACTCTCAAGTTCCAGTTCCAGCACACACTTCTCTCTCTCTCGTATTGCAGCAAAGTCCAGCATTTCGGCAGGATGGGAATTAGATGGGGATCCACTGCAATGACATGTCCGATGGTTGAAGATGGGAGACGGGACGGGAGGCGGCCCAAAGGGAGGTTGGACATGACGGAGGGCAGACGGTGGAGACAGTGGAGGAAGGCGATGTTGGCGCACGTAGTTGTATGAGGTCTCCTTTGGATGGATCAATTGTTGGTACCACTTTCCTTGCTAGTCGTTGTACTGGTATACTGGCAATTTCCAAGCAATTCAATTTGTTTACAACTTATTCTCACCTACCTCGATAGATGCATATAAATTCGGCGGTTCGGCAGCATCTGTTATCACGGATTTTACCGGAGACGCTCAGCATCGCACTGGGCGCCTATCTCACTCTTCTTTCCCTCCCACCACAACAGCTATGCCTTCCATCCATTCAGCACAAGACGGAAACGACGAGACCACGCAAATACCATCCAATGAACCTCAAGGCAACCCAGAGTCACCGGATGATGCTGCTAGTGAATCTCAGCCTCTGGCCTTGGACGAGAATTCGCCGGCTTATTCCTTGCCGCGATGGCGCAAGTTACTTCGCACTGTATTTGGCATGCAGCAACGTATAACCCAGGCTGGAGGTGTGTTGATCTATCATTGTACTTTCCATATATCTTATTCGGGGTAAAGGGAATGACACGTTCGACTATGAGCAAAGATTTCCCGAAGACAAGCAGTACGAGGAGCTGGGTCCACTTGCCCGGGTATGGAGAACATACCTCGAAGAATGTGCAAAATTTGACGCTGAGATGGCGGAAGGATGGAGGGATGGATTGGATGTTTTGCTAGTTTTTGTGAGTACAAATTCCCAGTAAATCTAATTTCCCTTTATTAATAGATGAATAGGCTGGTCTTTTCTCTGCCGTGGTCACCACGTTTGTCGCACAGACATCCCAGAACCTTCGAGTTGACTATGGCCAAGTCACGGCATCACTGCTATTCGAGCTCATTGATGTCCAGCGTGCCGCAGCCAATGGTTCCCTCGTCAACAACATCCCTCGTTCAGGCCTTACTCCATTCTCAGACTTTCGTCCTACGACTTCCGATTCGTTGGTCAATGGACTGTGGTTCACGAGTCTCTCATTCAGTCTGGCTACTGCGCTCTTTGCTGTCCTGACCAAACAATGGATCCATCAGTACATGGCAGTCCCATCGGGCACACCTCGAGATAGATGCCGTATACGTCAATTCCGATACATGGGACTAGAGCAGTGGGGCGTGGGCTTCATTATTGGACTACTACCTGTCCTGATGAGCGCATTGCTTTGCGTCTTTCTAGTGGGTCTAGTTATTTTTCTAGTCCCGCTGCAAGTGTCAATTGCATCCGTCGTTGGAACTATCACATTCATATCCTTCACTGCATACTTCATCACCAACTTCCTGCCCATCATATACCCCTCATGCCCATACAAGACACCATTGTCACAGTACACTTTCCCTCTATATTCCTACATTGCCTATAACAGTATTTTCGCTTCACTCGTCTCTCTGATTTCCAGATACTGGTCTGGATCCTCACCGCCTGGTAATGGTGACAGTACTAGTGACAGTTCCAAAAAGGCTTCAATTCATACACTTCGAGAAGCAGAGTGTGAAGCTGTTGAGCTGAGTGCCAATGAAACAGATGTGTGTACATTGTCCTGGTTGTTCTCTATGTCATCCAACCCTAGTGTTCAAAGAATTGTTGCGGAATCTACTGGTGCTTTACCAATCCGATCTGTGGCCACTGTACAATGTTATGCAGAAGGGCTTCTGAGTTTCTACTTCAATACACTCCAAGACCTTCTGGGTGATGCCCGACGAAGCGATGCTGTTGTTGACACAAGGAAACTGGATCGCTGTGTCCGTGCACACCTTCACTTTCAGTATAGACATTGCTGGATCCCAACAGGGCTCATAGACCATTCAACACCAGATCTTCGTGCAGAGCTTTTGGCTGTTGACAGCTTGGGGGACCCCAAAAATGTCCGAGACCTCATTGTGGCTACTCTACGAACCCTGCCATACAATCAGACCCTACGTCTGCAACCCATTGTGTGGGGTCATCTTTTTTCCAAGATCATGCCTTTCGACCGAGAAGTGTATGAACTTCTGTTCCATGCACTTCCGGCAATCTACTGGAGTGTCAATTCCAAAGATCTCCCCCGTCTCTATCCAAATGAAGGATTATCGATGCCGATGATAAGCACAGGTGACCGTCCGGAGACTCTTGCTACAGCCATCTCCGAATCCCTATTCACGTACATCGGCGATATCTTGCTCGAAGGCTGTGACGATTTTAAGGTCCAAGATAGCATATCCTATCATGATCCCACATCTCAGCTCCCTGAACCTGATGATCCTCGAGTTTGTTTTCTCTTGAGCATGGCAGGTTCCCCTTCGATACACAGGATGAACACACTTGATTCCTCTCTAGGAACATTTTTCAGTGCTGTCCTATGGGGAATTATGGCTTACATGGGTGTTGAAGAATATAGAATCGATGAACCTGAAAACAATGTGTCCTCCATTCCCCTTGACAACAATCGCTCCACCATACTAAGGCTACTGCACATGTTGGTTGTATTGGACAAGTACGATGTTGGTAGTGGTTCAATGTGCGCTGAAGATCAGCGTATCACCTTGATCACCTTCTTTCGAGTTCTCAGCTGCATATCCCCTCACCCTCCTGAAGATAGCTTTCCTGCCGAGTTGACTGCCAAATTTGCAACCATTGCTTTCCACAATGATGTGTGGTTATCAAAAATTTCATGGTACAACATCACAGAAGCAGCTGAACTTGTCATCTTTCTATTTGAGCATTCATCCACCATGAATGCAGCCTTTGCTCATTTTGTTGACAAACAGCTCTTCAACACTTTCCCTAAGACCTCTAGCACTGTCTCCGCCGACACCTTTACCAGGGGCCTATCAGAGATCATAGGTGCCTTTGTCGCAGGGCTGTCATCCGGGAAATTGGATCCTGAGATATGCCAGAGATCTTTGGAATACCTCCATGAACCGGAGTCCCTCCTCACAGCTTGTGCTGTTCTAATTATTTGGAAAAACATCGATGAACTTCATCAACTTGCACTCCTGCATCGTAATGACCCTGTCTGGCCTCAATGTTTGCAGAGTCTTCAAGAGATAGAGTTTTCTGAGAGTATAGATGATATGCTAATACTATGGATCCACTTGCCAGTGAAATCGACATCCAAATCCATCAAAGATCTCAAGGCTCTCATTGAACAAGGTCCTGGAGAGCTCCGAATGGATGCAGATTGGTCTGGCATGACTCCCGACGTGCGACCGGTTTGGGGAGAAGATGAACCGACGAAAAGTGCTTGGTCTAAAGTGAAGTCACTGCCCCTTCTATTGCGTTGGGCCAGGCAGCACTGTACTACAGAAGCTCTTCCCGAGGAAATAGCAATGCATGGGCCTAGCAACGATGACCAAGTTTGATGGCATCCGGGAACACATCGACACTGTAGTGTACCATGATTATTCTAATAGCTCCTTTACTTTACTGGACAGAGCTACGTGTATCATCACTTACCAGTAACCACAATGCCTTCGCCGTCGAGGCTCGGAGCGGTCTTTCGTTTTAATATTTAGCTCGCAACAGTCCACCTCTTTTAATTACATAACCACTGCACTCGAATATAACTACACCCTCAGTTTCCTCCCTTGTACAGTCCAAAAAAAATAAATAGTCAGCTTTGGGAATTGCCCTCGAAGATGGCTATTCATCTTACTGGGACATCATTCCCTGGGACCTCTCCAGGCTTGTCGGAGTCCGCTTCTTCGACCAGAAACCATTCCCGAGTCATGCATGCTCCCCACACGCCTGCACTCCACGGGGTGAGATGCATCTCTGCCGTTGAATATTGGCCACAAACTGATATTTCCGTGCCGAGGTTGGCCCTGCAGGAGTTTGTACTCCATTCCGGTCATCGACATAATTCCCTCCAACAATGTTGTTCGATACATAGTCAGGCGGCATCATTTGAAGGAGAGTGTTACATGTAGATAAGATGGCTACAGAGAGGTGAGTGCAAGTGGAGTCAGTGAACCGGAAGGACTTACCTCCCCCTCGCATATCTCCCCTTACACACATGCCAGATAACAATTGACCATCTCAATGCAAAATCGGGAATCTAGCCGCCCACAGAAAAGTTCGAGTTGACATTGCTGATGAATCAAACAGGTAGTGAGTGGACTATTTCCGTCATTGAAGTTTAGACTACGGAAGGGTTGAGAACTTCTGGATATGGACGACGAGGGAGAGAACCTACCACTCTTCAAGATCTTCTCCCACTCCTCCATCGAGTCGGCGCCAGATGAAGTAGGCGAAGGACAGCCGGCGTTGCAAAAGATCGGGGCAGCGCATGCACATCCACACTGAAGAATGCAGTCTTGTGCGTGCGGATGTAGTGTTGTGGTACTGATGTGGAGTGTCATTGTGGTCGTGGTCATTGGTAGGTGCACGCACGCGTTCTCGGCTACCTGTTATTAGAATAAAAAGGGATCGATTATACAGTTGACGCACCTTTTGACACGTCCCAAGCCTTCGTTTACCACTATAACGAATGGGGTGAGCACCCAGCGACGTAGACTGCATGAGCGGGACTTTGTACATATGTTGGTCCTTCCTCCCTGCACACTCCGGGGCTTGTTCGAGGCGTATTCTTCGCGTTGCAGAAAGTTTGCTCGTGCTGCCAACGGGAGGAGCAGGCAGTATGTGCTCTCTGAGACTCTGTATAACGCTGTTCTTCAAGGGGGATATGCAGCCATAGTTGAAGGGACGCTACAGAGAGGGTGAGGATCCCTTATAGTGGGCGAGGAGCGGGTTACCATTGCGCGCGCCGGAAGAGTCTCGCTGCAGTCGCTTCCCGTCGTTTTGAATGGCACCCAACGTATCCTCGAGCCAAAGTACTACTCCCCGGAAAAAATGTGTTGTCTTGTCTCGGGCAAAAGTCAAGTCGTCCTGTCCATTTGCAGGAGACGGAAAAGTGTTGAGGGAGGCGATGCTGCGGGAGAAAGTTCCCAAGTCAGGATGAAAGTAAGTACAACCCGGTGCGTATGCGAACTCACTTTGGATCCGTGTTCCCACTAGATCATTGCCAGCATCGATGGCGTGTAGGTCCGCTCGTCAAGGCAAAAACTTTCCGTTCTGGTTGCGGCACACATCGTCTCGAATGCCTTCCCCTTCCATACATCACGTCAAGTCAGTTTCCCGTGAACGACTCCAAGCTCTCGTATATTTTCGACGCGGTAGTTCGAGGAGGAATGGATAGGGTTAGTAGTCGTGAAGAGGGAAAGCTTGATCCGGAGCGAAATCCCCTCCAGTGACGCTGCCCAAGTGTTGATAGGTGGTTAATGGAAGTCAAGGGTAAGCGATGTTGTTTCGGAGTTGTTTGTGTGTTGACGCGCTGCCTCCGTGTATTCTGAAGCGGAGTATGCCGTCATCCTTTCGGGGAGATGTGAATGTGACCAAAGGGATAAAGACGACACTGCAGGAAAGGTGAGTACCATGAAGGTGGACAAAGAGTGGGTGCTTACCATTTCCCGCCGGGGATTCCCATTCAATCTACGTCGCTGGTTGCTCACACCCTCCCATCCCCTCGAGCTACTATGACATCCACCCTCACAGTACTTGTCATTTACGCCACGTCGTCTTTATCCCTAGCTAGACGGCGACACACATCCACGGTACTCATTGTGTCAAATTCTGACAGAACAAATTTATTGATACAATGCCTGCCCTCGACTTGGATTACTGGTACTGCACCTCCAAGCACGAGTGCAGGAAATGTGGCCCCGACGCCGTATGTACGCGACACATGTCGGGCAGTAGCGTGTGTGCATTGACCCGTTCTCGCAACCTCCACTAGCTTCCACTCACTACCTCCTTCGACTTCCAATGTGATGACTCATAGGAATAACGCCGTCAATTCTTGGTTCCATCCCGACAGTGACACCGCGTCGTTCGCTCGAGATGGAAAAGCATTTGGTGACAAGAATGTTGACCGGACGACCTCTCGTCCGCCCCACTCCGACTCAACACTTCCCCTTCTCGATTCGGTCCCTCCTCCGCCCGGCATTCGTGCGTTCCTTCTCTGCACGCTCTCATCCTCAACCCAGGGAGGGAAATCGAGGGATGTTTATGCTGAATATCAAACAGGTCGCTGTGTCAACCTTTGGTGGGATCGATATGATGTTATTTCCCTTGCAGTTGGTTGTACAGTTGGGGATCGGGATTTGCATATCTTCCGTGTAATTGGGGAGGAAGGACACGAGATGGCATTGTCGATTAGTTACATTTATTCAACGCATAAATAGTCCCCCTGTTCATGTTGTAGTGGGACGAGAGTGAGTACATCGACGAGGAATAGATCTCTGTCCTTCAAGAGCCTTTGCCAGTCTTTCTGAGAGACTTATTGACTATCGTTATCTTGTGCCAAGTCGAGTGCCAACGTTTTCTCGCATTAAATGAATCAGATTGCCAAACCAATCTTGTGGAATGACGTAATGTCACTTCTGTCTCTTGACGTCCTCCCTCGTCCTTCCATGTCCTGTCGTGTTCTCTATCCGACGGTGATGCATCGCAGAACACTATGACCAAAATGGAATGCTGGGACAACTTCGAGTCAAACAATCCAGTCGGCACGCCTCCGTTTTAAATAACGATCACCTATTTTCTTTCTCGCTGCCATGCTCGTTCATCTCCTTCGTCCCTCATGATATCCTGAACTGCTGGGTAACGTCCTGTGGGTAAGCTTGATGGCATGTGGTATCTACTTTTTCCATTTTAGCTGATGTGTTTTCAACCTTCAAAAGATCGTTCAAAATCAAGACTGGTAATCCAGATTTCCCCTCCACGAAGAGGAGGACCTCGTCGATGGAAGGAGGAGGATTGAGCGCGCGGGAGATGCTCAAAGGTGGATATTATTATCAGGTGAGTTCTCTTGCGCGTCGAGCAGCGTGTACATTCTGACCTGCTTCACGCAATATCCTCTTCCATCGATGTTCCTTCGAATTTGCACAACGATATGCGCCATGACGAGCTCTCCATTGACAGAAGGATCCGATTTTGACCAATAGCAGAGCCGCTGTTCAGCGAGCAATTGTCGGGGTTCGTTAGAGGAGGTGCCACGCCTTCTGCCGCTAGGAAATGCAATACTATGATTTGAGGAGGAAGAGTTCTAGAGTCGTGAACGGTGGTGCGTCCTTTCTTTCCTCGTTCGCATTCAGGGATACTCACCCTTCTCACAGCCCTACTCGACGACGAGGACCAGTATACAGTGACGCACCCCAAATATTAATCTTTTGCAGCATGAGGACCCTGTTTGCTGTCGTCCGGATATACGACATGTACATGTCTATCCGAGCTCTTAAGTGCAAAGCAATTAATGAAGATGTACAATGCTAAGCAATTTATATTCAATTGAACTATGTACATTCATGCTAGACCTAACTACGTGCTACTAGGCTTTAGCCCAAGCTTGAGCTAGCCTCCTTCAATCTCCAGCAGGCCTTCCTTAGGCATATCTGGAACACAAGCAAGTCGTCAGCCGTTATTCCAGTAAACTAAAATGGACTCCTAACCTTACGACGTGAACACAGCGGGTCAGCGTTGCACAAGCAATCTACCAGGTCAATGGAAGCTAAGGCCAGCATAATATATACCGCGGCGAGCTCAGACTTTTACCTTTGCTCAGTTACTTCATAGCCTCGTTCACCGACACGCTGCCGTTCACACTCGTCAGCCAGAATAGTACTGGAAAGGGGAAAACTTACTACTCGTAAAGTACCTCGTCTTCGAATCAAGTACACGGTACACTTGGAAAGCTAAGAAATGGCACGTTAGCGAATTAGCAAAGTAACTAAGAATACAATCATACCCTTCTATTGGCGAGGCCTTCGAGTACATTCACAGACTTTTCTAAAGAGTTCACTCGCGTTTTTACCTTCGTCTTCCTGAGCTCATTAACGTGGCAGTTCGGCACCGGCTCCCTTACATACTAGTAGTCTGGCTCACAGGAAACTGATACTAGCTTACTCTGAGAGCTTGCTCTTAGTCACAACAACACAATACACTGTTACTCACCTTACGAGCGGTTCAAGTACTAAATTGTACCCAAAGCCATTATCCCATACTAATGGAGAGGCAATACAAGGCTTACCTTCGAAAGAGGGCCACTTGTTAGAGCTAGTTAGCGTGAGTCGACAAGAAATAGCTTACCAAACAAACAGGATATTCGGCCGGTGCTAAGAAACACCACGAACTCGCTACCTAGGACCAGGGAATCTGTCAGCATACGTTCAAGCAAGGATTAGTTAAAATACACGTACCAGCCATTGTGCACCCGTCTCCTTTGAGGCGCTGTTCATACAATTCCTAAGTAAAATCAGCTAAGTAAGGTAAATAAGAAACGGTACACGTACCATCACGAACGAAAGCACCATCGTACTTTGTGCCCTTGCTTGTCTTAGAACTCCCATAGTGAAGCCAAACAGAAAGGAACGGCATCAAGGCGTTGTCCAAGTTTTGTAGGAGAGATATCTGTTAGAACGGCGGCGTAAGTACTAGTCGCACAAGGAAATCGTGAGCTCAACCTACCGTTCACATCGACATCGCACAACCTCGTGCATCCAGCACGATGAGGGCAAACAGCAGGGGGAGAAGAGAGCGAAAAGGAGACGAGAGAGGGGGAGGAGACGAGAGGAGGGAAGACGGAACGAACACAGCTGGGGATGCTGAACTCCGACCGTCTCCGCCTCCTCCTTATAACCATCTGCAGCTACTTCCACCACATCCCATCTTTGGTACAGGGATCCACTGCAATGACATGTCCAATGTCGCGCAGTGGGAGGTAACGCACGTTTTCTTATATCGTCTGTCGCTAACTGCAGGTTGAGTGTCATTTCAGGTTCTCGTTTGAGAAGGGGCCCACGGGGACCTCATATATTGGTGCAGCTGTTTGTACGACATCGATATTCGGTGACAGAGAGATATGTCATACTCGCGTTGAGCCTGGCAGGTCATGCTCGGATCCTGGGCATTGATTTCCGATGGATACTATCCTGGTACCTGCTATCCCCGGCATTGGTGTTCTTATTTTGTTTTGGGTGCAAGCGATAGCCTGGGATACACGGCATGGACCACATTCTCCGTGTCTGTTCTGAGTGAACAACACGGTGTCATCACCTGATTCCTCGAGCAACGTTGAAGAAGTCTTGGTTGTGGGCGGTCGCGTCGTTGCCGACATGAGCAGCATACTCTGAAGCAATAATAGATGTGTGTCATCATGTCGGGGATGGTGAAGGGACACGGGGACGTAAAGCTAGGTGAGGCGACAGCAGTTACCATCCCCGCCCCTAACGATGCCCACTAGTCCCCCCACCACCTGAACTCCGAATCACGTCTCGCCATTAAGAACGGCGACATGCAGGTCCTTCCTCATGATGCATGATGGGTCGTGGCACGCTACTGGGAAGGTTGTCGTGTTGATCAGAAGATTAGGCTCTGAGTTCGAAGGGCAAGTTCCTCTGAATGTGGAGGCGGACGGCATGGAGGACGGTTGTGTATGCACAAGTTATAAACCCTGACCCAGGTGAGGAGGCGAGGTTCTGAGGAGGGGTAGAGGGAGACTGTCGTTCTGAAGCTGCGTTTTATCTTCTCTCAGTACCACCTTCTGGCATCAAAATTCCTCCAACGTATTCCTCGTCTCGACCATCCTCAGCATATCCTCAAAGCACTTCGTCTTTTGTGTGATGCGCGAGTCCTGAGAGTGGGATACATCAGGAAAATTGAGCACACTGACGACAGGATCAAAGTGGTGGATGGGGCATGAGAGAGTCTAGCTAGAGAATGAAAGGTGACGGAGTCACTGAAGCTGAGCATGCACAGACACGGAATACGATGATTGTTCAGGATATCAACGTCTGTAGCTGGGATACGATGGGGTGTGAGACCGGATGTGACGGCATAACCCAGAGGGAAGGATATGTACGTGAAGGTCCGGATACTTTCGTGAGGAGTAAGCGGTGAAGAAGCTATCTTGAGTCTGAACCAAGCAGCTTGTGACTGACTCAAAGAGGATGACTGGCGTCATCAACCAAGTTGAGAAGCTGTGTAGAGTCGATGATCACCCATTTGAGGCGGCGAAAGGAGGGGAGCACACTGAAAGGTGTGTTGTAGAGTCAGCTAATACTGAGGGTATGTAGGGGAGGGCAGCGGAAGAGCGGAGAGAGGCGAGCGGGGCTAAGATGCGCAGATCGAGCTTCTCAGATCCAATGATTGTTGGAATAAAGCCTTCAGAATGCCGGAATGGTAGAGTTACAGGAGATGACATGTATGTCACGTCGAGACACCCGGATAGACTTCGACACAAACCCAACGTATTCGCATTGTAGACCACAACGTCGGCATACGTGCAACAAGGGCAAACCAAGCCACACGAACACCCACGGGAACGAGCGTTGTCTGACATTTGAACGACTTGGAGCGTCGTTCCAACCCGTGGAATATTAACAGAGCACGTCCAGCGGGAGGGATGGAAACCGCCGATATACGTGGGTGAACAATGGCGTCCGGCGATTGACTCCCTAGTTGTGTTCCTTGATTATACAGGAAATGACTACACATAGTCGTCAAAGCGATGAAGGTGTATCATACGAGCAAACTTACTTGTAAGGACACCAGATCGAATTCCACTGGATTCAACTTGACATAGATGCTGGACATCCTGCAAGAATAATATGAGCTGTGTAAAGCCAACGACTGGACAAAGGTGCACGTACCTCTTAACCCCTAACCACTCGCTGTACGGTTCACCGAGCCACACCTCAAACACTGAACCCCTCCCGTCCTTCGTTTATCATCTAGATGTTGCCATCATGTTCATCCCTACAGCTCGACCAAGTCAAGATGCGTCGCATCAGAACGAACAACCAGTCTACATTCGCTGAAGCGAGGAGATGGAGAGCACGTCGCAGAAGCAGTGATAATCAGGAATGTGCACCCCTCGACGTGTGGAAATGGGTGGGTTCTGCTTGAGATCAGTGCGTTGTCCCACCAGTTTCAAGAGCGTTCTTAATGCACTGAACTTCTACCCTGCCCTCGCCGTCTTCCGTGAGTGTTCCATACCGGTAGGAAAGCAGTTACGCCATCTCGGCAAAGAATTCGACATCCGCCGAGCTCATAGTATCGTATTGGTGTTCAAGGAAAGCCGGTGGAAAGGCGGAGCGCAGGAACTTGGTTATGGTAGATTAGTTTCATTGTTCTCTTCAAAGACTAGATACCGTGGTTCATTCACTTCATAAGCCGGTCGGTAGTTTTCAAGAGAGCGCAGATGTCATAGTAGCATAGAAGCAAAAAGGAAAGAAGCACGTTTTGTTTGGTTCTTTGGGTGCCAATTATCTCGGGTCCGCCCGTGCACACGTCTTGTTCAGGACACAACGTCATTAACTGCTTCGGTTCCCGATTCTTTCCGAAGAATGAGGAAACGACAGAGGGTCTTGAGCAGTGCCAAACTGTCTGGACAGGGGCTATACTCTGGGTAGGCTTAGATAATTGGGTTTGATGGGCGAGCATTCGGCACGCAATGGCTTGATTGTCGGGAGGTCGCCGCTGTGGCTGAGAAGTATCTCTTTCTGAATTGCTTCCTATTGGCTGGCCGGAAACTACGTTTTTCTTGTCATCCATCACCATCTTCTTACTGCATGGCTTGCGCGTCGCAAGTGATTCATGTCTTTGCTATTGTTTCCTATGCTCTGCGGGTGCCTTGCGTCGACTACCATCTGTTCTACCGCCCCTACTCGGCAGGTTATTGAAAATCTACTTCAGTGCTATCGCTCTGCGCTGTCTTGTACTGTCCATATATCTCTTTATCTTTGACAAGGTTCTCCCAGTTGTGATACTTATTATCATCACCAAAACCTCAGCCATGTGTTCTGGTCCAGGTCGGCCTTATCTGGGCAGCGGTACCAGCCAACAATGATCTGAAGTGCCCTGTCTGATACGATCAGATCAGGGCTGGTCTGATCAGAATACTCCAGACCTCGATAGGATCTGTGTGGTCTACTCGAGGGGAGATAGACCTACATAGAAGAGGCCTGAACCAGAAGAGATCCGAAGTAGTCAGTCAATGGCTCTCAAATTGTATCGCATCAGCCTTATCAATTATAATTATGTTAATTTAATTTCAGTCTAGTAAGAATTACAGAGCAGAATATCCGAAAAGCCCATCATCATCAAACTCGTCGTCTTCTTCAGGCTCATTTAGCTCGACATAGTCATCTGAATGCCATGAGCTATCAC